TAGTTAGTTATATTTAATAATATTATTAATTTAATATATGTAATTTAAGTCTAAGTATATATTTAGCCTAGTTTCTACTTATTTATATTTAATCTAAGTTATTAGATATATATATCTAGTATATCTTATTTCTCTTCTTACTTAATTAGTTATCTTTAGATTATTAGATTTCTTTATTAATTAATATAATTAGTATAATTATTATATAAGGCCTCAGGTTAGTCTAACTTATTATTAATATATTAATAAGAAGAACACAAGATATTCTTTATTATAATTAATCTAAGTTACTAATACTAGCATGGCAGAAGCATCAAAGGATCCTAGGGTCTTGACAATTATTTAAAAAATAAATAATTAATAAATTTATATACTAGATAAAAAATAAGTTAGAAGATTATAAATTAATAGATATATCCTTATTATTATTAAATATAATAAGAAAATTTGTAAGAAAGAAGAAGATAACATTCTATTCTTAGTTTATAAATTACTGAAATATAATATAAGCTAATTAATTCTGATTAGGTAAGAGTAGAGAGGCTAAGTCCTATCCTATCAGTAATCTGACCACCTTGGCAGCGGCTGGCAGAATTATTGGGTAGTAACACTTTAACTTAATATATTTATACTTCTTAATTACCAGTATAATAGTTATTTCTTATATAAATTATAAGTTTCTTTAGATAGAGTAGTACTCTGTCTAACCCTGTATAACATCTAATTCATTATGCAAGCTAGGACAGGACAATAAGAACTACTACTACTACTACTACTTCTATTATTGCACCAGCAAGCGGAAAAACAGTCTTTGCCAATACTACTCACAAATCACTTTGTGCTTGGAGTTGTAATTACCACTGTACCCAAGCCAAATTTACATCAAGAAGAATTCATGAGCATAAAGAATTGCATTAAAATAATAGTATAGGAGTGATACATCAAAAGAATTAAGCTATGTATGAGAAAAGCCCGTTCGGGAACTTTCGCCGACACTTAAACATCCACGCGTATAAACTGAGTAGCTTCGTTTCCGTGATTCAGGCAGCGCCACATCCCCCAAATGCACAAGTTCGGAGATTCACTGCGCCTTCTTGGACTCCTTATCTTCTCTCCGTCGTTGGCTCGCCTCGAGAGAGTACTCGGTATTCAACAGGTAATCCCACCACCTGAAACTGCTCGAATAGTTTCCCACAAATTTCTCATGATGCAGGTCATGATGATCGGCTCCGGCCCAGAATGGAAGAAAGTGGTGAAGACTCCAAGGAAACTCATAGCCGCTGTGCGAGTCGACCGCCTGGAATAGACGTAGTACAATCCAAACGTACATGGTGAAAATGTGCAAGTCCCCGGTGATTGCACACCAGAGAATCGGGCACCCAACAGTGCCAAAGCCAAGAATCATGACTTCGATGGGTGAGGCGTACTCAGCTGCCATTCCAAAAGGCGCTGAGTACTGGTGATGGATCTTGTGGATCGCCTTATAGAGAGGACCCCAGTGTAGCGCGCGGTGAGAAAAGTAGTGCCAAGTATCTTCAAGTACAAAGAACACCGCGATTTGGTAAGCCATGGTCCAGACAGACGGGAAGGGAACGGAGGTCGAAAGGCCGAAGAATTGAGCCATTGGGTGAAAGAGCCTAACAAAATGACAGATAATTAGCCGCAAGTCGCATTTGTTGACTCAAATCTAGATCCTTACCAAATCTGTGGCAATTCCACAGTGAAATGACTGAGCAAGACAAACTTCGCACAGTCCCATTGTTCTCGTACTGAGGGTATTTTGTTCTGCGCCAGTCAGCCAAGTTCCCATTTTCGAACATATATATTGCCCACATTTTGAATTTTGTAGTTTTTCAAAAACCCCGTGCTATCTATGAGGATCCATGGCAAGGAGCGACCGAAATAAACAAGCTCATGCATGACAAACGACATGATGCCAGTTGCGAGAACATCGTTTTGCATCCAAGCATACCAAGCAGTCCAAAGTCTTTCGACAACGTTAAGCTGGGGGTTGTATTTTGAGATGTCATCGAATTGCCCCCAGTATGTCACTGGGGTTTCAGAAAACAGAGTAGAATTCCTTAACATGACGATTAGCAACCACAACACCTTTCTTGCTGATATACTGTAGGGCGGGATGGAACTGGGGTAAGCGCTCACATTGTTTTTATTGACAATGAAATCCCTGTTGCCGTGGTGCCAAACAGTGGTTTGGCAATTGTAGTGTTGCACCTTCCCAAAAATCACCTAGGTGTGTGTATAAAGTCGTGCCCTGGATTGAAGGCAGATATATGGCGAAGAAAAGGTTATGGAAGAGTGTACAATTTGCGGATTGATGGCGGGTTAAGGGCGGTATTTCAGGGACAAATTGGTGGTCGGGGGCCGCGCTATCAGGTCCGCTCCCGAGGTGGCGAGACTTCTTTTTTCTCACCCCTTGGCCCTGGCCCTTCCACATCATTCTGGCACCACCTGCTAGCCGATTAGAACCGGTTCGACTCCTTAATGCTCCACCTCCCATTCCACCCTCATTTTGGTCTTGGCCCACTAATGGAATGATCCTTATGAATTCGATCCGTAACAGCTGATGATCGTAAGAATGGACCCCAGGATGACCCCTGACATCCCATGTCGTTGTTAGTACTGTGTAGAGATTGAGTTGTTAGATTCGCCGTAGGTCGGTTTATCTTTCATGATCTCAACACATCCTTGCCCCTTTCTTGTTTGTTTTCTCTCGTTCCGCTCTGCACCTTAATTTCAAATACAGTCTTTGGGATTTGTATGTAGAATATAAGTATCCCAGAGATGTCCTGAATAAAGGTAAATTAGCCTTTCTCATTGTTTTCTTTTTTAAGTTTTGACTTTTATTTTTTTAATTACTTTTAGACATGAATAAATATATATGTACATATATTACAGTTTGGTCCGTCCTTGAATCAACTACTGCAAGTAAGCTCTGAAGACTCGTCGGAGAATTGGCTCTAATTGTTCGGCTCAAGACTGCGATATGATGACCAGTTTCTCTCATCTTAAGCGACCAATGAACAGTTTATGTAAAGTCAGTGTCGGACTCATAAGTAATGATAAACCCACATTTCTGGTTGCAAATTCGAGGCATGACACTTTATGAAATGAACTCTGTTAATGGTAAAGATTAAAAATGTGCCACCACGGGAAGTTGGCGAATTTCTCGGATATCCAACCCAGATTACTGATGTAATAATTCCCCCTACCAGCGTGTATGGGGTTTTTTTTTGCGAATATCAACCGCCCCCGAACACCAAATATCACCTACTAACTCCCTGTGTAAATCATACGATGTCCATAATAAATGAGTAAGTGTTCCTTAGTGTTTTTAACAGCCTTCATACTCAAGCATTCTCCTAGCAATGTCAATCGCATCAACATACAACTTGACAAGTTGAAGGAGCGCAGCAATGATGTCTACATTAACCTGGAGGAATTTCCTGTGATCGAGACACCCGCAGTGACAGAATTTTCGGCAAGATTAGAACAGCTGTTGGACAATCTTTCCGTGACATCCAAATCGCGTCCAATTTTACGACCAGAGCAAATAGCGGACTCAATATCAAAATTCCCTCGGTTTCCTTTCGATGAATTTAAGCAGCATCCTGATGTACTCGCCACACGCGAGTTGGAAAACTACTGGATATTAGTCGCGAAGGCAACGGTACAGACCCTGGGTGTAGTGTCTAAGCTCTTCTTGGACCGGACGCTCACGCTCAGCGACGAAATCCTGTATTGGGACGATGTTCTGGATTCCTCTTGGTATACTGGTTTGCACATGATACAGACATCACCCCTAGCATTGTGGAACATACTAGTGAAGATAGGAAAGGGCTCCCATTATGCCGACTGCCAGTCAAGATATCCGGCCGCTGCTTTATACGGACATTCGCGATTCTATGGTATAATGTCTAAATCCAGATACCCTCGGATATTGGGCCCTATATCGTCCGCGTTGACATCGCCATTCATGATTTGTAGGTGGGACATGGCGCGAAAAAAATACGTGCTGAAAGAGATGAGGAACGCCCATGCAAGTGCCATGGGACTTCTTATGGATCAATGTGCCCTCTTCAAGTCAGATTACCATTTACACCAGACAAAGTCCGAACAGAAGTTAGAGGACATCATATTTAGAAGTGTCATGGTAATCGAGTCTCTGCTGCAGAGCCTGAGTGATAGTGCCGAACACCACAAATGCGAAGAAATCCTTACCGCGGTCGACAAGAACATTGCTATGTACTCAGAGGAACAGCCTAGCGGTTCACAATCTGCCCAGCAGATCGATCACCTAAGCCAACGGCTACTTTTTACTTTGAGGGAACTCCTTCCGGCCTATACTCTGCGTTCTGCGACTGTCCTCAAAGACTCAGGACGTCCGTCGCGCCTAGTGCGTTATTGGTTACCAGCCTCGTTGATGATCTTGTCAGCTAGTACTTCCCTGAGAATTCTGACTGCTCGGCGCCATGATATTCTCGAATGGGTCCGAGAATTAGGGACTACTATTGCTGGGTTCTGGAACAATTGGGTTCTCGATCCCATAGTAAGGCTTATTGGAACCATAAGGCACGATGAGAAAAGCGAGATCGCATTGATGAGCAAGAACAGCCTCGAAGCCGACAGAGCCAGTTTAGAGAGAATGGTTGTGGACTTCATCGTGGACCGCGGTGCTTCACACCATGGCGATACTGCGATCAATATGCACGACGCCACAATTAAAGTGCACGAAGGTGACTTGACTCCAGTTTTGAAAGCTTATGAAAAGGACTTGCGGACTCCTTTCATTGGAACCGTTCGCGGTGATCTGGTGCGAGCTCTTTTGATACAGATCCAAAAGACCAAAGTTGATGTTGAGATCGCGATTGGTGGTATTGACACTCTTTTGAAAAGTCAAGAGCTTGTCTTCGGGTATGCAGAATCCTTGAAGTGAATCCAACATGAGACTAATACGCTCCAGGTTTGTCGGTCTCACACCGGGAATCCTAGTGTCATACGCATTGGCGCGGTGGTTCTCTGGCTTCTTTGGTAATCGAAGAGGGTTACGTATGGGTAGAAAACAGGACGACTTGCGATACGCATTGCGGTATAGACCCCATGAACCCATGACTACAAAGCGAGAGACTGATGTGTGAATAGGAATGTTCACCGTACCTTATTATCATCATCGACAATCAGTCCCAGCGGACAAATCGCTCGCAGAGACCAAGGCCTCCTAATATGCGATACCGAAGTTGTACTTCAAAAAGCAAGGCCCATCCTAAATGCTGCCAGCTTTCGTGCCTTCCGGGAAGACATCAGCGACTTGATAAACCAAAATAGCGTTGATAGGAAGATTAATGTTGTAGAGCGAGTTTTTTGGGTGTATTTCAAACACATCCAGTAATTCACCGAGGTCTATACCTGTTTGTCTCAAATCTTTGTGTCTTCTTGCATGTTTGTATAATCATGATGAAGAAATACAGCCAGGTAAAATATCAGTATCCATTTCACGGTATTGTGTAAACATTGAAAACTATATGTGGTACGAACCCGAACCCCTTTAATATTTGGAGTAATTCTACTCCGTACTCAGTTGTTGCGCGTTCAACAAATTTGGTCGACGCTCAGCTATTTTTGAGTTTAGGAGCTGTTTGACTTTCTCATCTAAATTTAAGTCTATTTACATATTGAAGAGGTAGTAACTGCCAGGTAGACAGAAGTTAAGATAAGAATCATCAAGCATGCGAAAGTACCCCGTAAAATTAAAGCAGGAACGGTAATGCTCTTCCGACCCGTAACATAGTAGGAGGGGTGCTAAGGTAACTTAACTCTTAGCGTATGAATGGTATGGCCCCCGAATAGTGGACGGTGGGGGTGCCTGACTGTTCGATTTAATACGAGGCAGTCAACTACCCAACTACCACCAGTGGTGTCCGCTGGCGTCTGCAAGTGTATCATCGTTGCATCCCTAGTTTCCACTTCCACATAACTGCTCTTCAGAGTATACTATCAGTCACTTTCTCGAGATACATTGTCTACTTGTGGAGGCCAGGACGTCAGATATCGCGGAGCGCTTAAATTAAGGCCCAGAACAACCCGCTTAAAACTGTCTATTCCACCTACCCCAAGTCTTATAAATAGACCGCCCTCCACGACCGACACAAATAGCGCTCACCCATATCTCCCCGACTTCTTGTTCCACCGCCCGACTCGTCAAATCTTTTAGAGACAGAACACTTGCCACCTTTCGGTGGCTGCAGCTGTCCTGCAGGCAAAACCCCTTAGCACGGAAAGTGAAAAGACGAGACAAGACGACCCAGGCAAGACAAAACGAAAGACCAGATCACAAGATTTAGCGTGACGAATTATATCCCGGTGATTCTCACATTATTGATAAGGATATCCATCTTCGTTGCCTTCTTCGTCTTCCTTGAATTCTACTCCACTCTATACTTCATTCTGGAAAAGAAAATAGAAGGGAGAAGAAAAAAGAAACAAGCCACACACCTACCCACATAATCACCCTTTGCATCGGCCAGCTTAGGGGCACCGAGCTTATCCCATAATGGCCGGGACTAGGAATTACGACTTTCTGGTAAGCACCTCTACACATATCTTCTATGAAGGAATAAATAACTAAGGACTGTGAACCTAATAGATCAAACTACTATTGATCGGAGATTCCGGTGTAGGGAAGTCATGCTGTCTTTTGCGATTCAGTGAGGATTCGTTCACTCCATCATTCATCACCACCATCGGCATCGATTTCAAGATTCGCACAATCGAATTGGATGGCAAGCGTGTAAAACTTCAGATATGGGATACCGCTGGGCAAGAACGGTTCAGAACCATCACAACCGCGTACTACAGAGGAGCGATGGGCATCCTTCTTGTATATGATGTCACGGACGAACGATCATTTCAAAGTAAGCTTCCTTTCCTTTGGACTTTGATCAGAACATTCTGATGTTAATTTATCGATCGCCCCCAACAGACATCAGAACATGGTTTTCGAACGTCGAGCAACATGCTAGCGAAGGTGTGCATAAAATTCTCATCGGGAATAAATGCGACTGGGAAGAGAAGCGGGCTGTTTCTATTGAACAAGGCCAGCAACTCGCAGACGAGCTTGGCATACCCTTTCTCGAGGTTTCGGCGAAAAACAATATCAACATCGAGAAAGCCTTCTATAACCTTGCTTCGGACATAAAGAAAGGCATGGACACTTCCAAAGAGCAGGCTGGTTCTGGTCAGGGGGTTATCATAGACCAGCAAGGATCCGCACTCAATGGCAGCGCGGGGGGGAAATGCTGTTGAAGACATCATACCATGATCTTTTTTTTTTCTAGTTGTCTAGATTCTATGCTCCTTGCCCCCATTCCCCCGTTGATCGTCATTGCTTTTGTGCGACTCAGTCCATATGTTTTGATGCCTGGCTAGTACCCCGTCGCGCCACTTGGCGCTCAGTCTGTTGTCACTTCACCAGCCTTTTTATTGCCCACCCAATACATGTGTGTTCATATCGTTACGGGTGGCTAGTATTCACGTCGGACATAGTTTTCTCTTCGTTTTTATTAGGCGGCGTTGCTGAATGCATTTCTTTTCACCTGCTTGCTTTCTATCTTTTCCGACCATGGCTTGGGATACCTAATAAGTCTATTATCATATCTAGTCGGGAAGCTTCACCATTACAGTACATGGTGCTGCATGCGCCTGGCAAAATATTCAGGCTTCGTGGGAGAGTATCAAAGAGCAGGGTCTCTAGGCTACGGACAAGCGGGTACTTTATCCCTGGTTTCTGTTGATTCTTATGGGTACTGCCGAACAGGGGAGCATATGCCTGTGATGTCGGGAATTTTGTAGGACAATTCTCGTCAGGGGCAAGCAAAACAGGTGGATATATCAATCATAACGATGTTATGATTGTATGACTACATCCATGTTGGTATAAAGATTATCATATAACTATCAGCCTGTATAGATGTTACACCCCAAAAGAAAATCACGGGATCCGCTCTGCAGAGGCCAAATTTATACACATCGTTGTACAAGAGAGCTTGATCAAAGTGACCTTGCATTGCATTAATCGCAGCTTTGCCTTGGATTTGAGGGGCAGTAACTAAATGGCGGACACGTGGAAGGAGGATAGTAGATATAATTTGCCATTTACGGTTTGCCAATGGGTCATGGCATAATCCTCCATAATTTTGACGCCAGGAACAGTTGAATTATAAATAAGGCGCTGTGTAAACTGCTAATTTCATGCGGATTTTACACGGTTTGAGCATGTAGAGGAAACAAAGTGTTCACAGTGATCAAATGCTAGGTTACACTGAGTAGGCCCAATAGATTCATGTTGAATAGCGCTTGTGTCCATGATAGCAGAGTGTATCAAATATCCAACATGACTAGTTACGCTGTGGATTTCTTATCATACACATACATCATAAAATGTCTGGTATGCCATTGCGTGCCAAGGAACTTGCGCTGGATGAAGCTTCCCTTGAGAGATGTGGAGCCAATAATGTTCGCATTTTAAACAGCTTGAGGATATTAAATAATTCGACTTGGATAGAAGAAATGGAGGACAAAACAATTATCTTGCTTGGAAATTGCTATTAACTACTACGTAGTATGAAGACCTTGAAACATTTTAGTTTACATAAACTCCTCTGCACTCTACAATGTAATTCCTTCTTAGTGGTTGTTAGTCATGTGGGTGACGGGGAAAAGAAAAAAAAATATCTACTTCACGCCATCCGCCGCACCACTGTCTATTTTCCAGAGTCTCTGTATATACACGCGTTTGCACTGTATTGATTGACTTATGGTGGATATAAGAATCCCCAGTCCATCTTTGAACTAACAAATTCCTCCTGGTAAAGCCGGTCCAATTCAAACATGTATGTACTCTGACACTGCTTGTCCAGAAGTCTTCAACAACATACATACCCACGAGGCTTGTTCTCAATAATTATGTTGCTCCTAACACCATATTCTGCAGAGTCCCATGCCATGATATGCTAGAAGTCAATGCCGCGATAACAACTTGCTCGAACTCAATTGTGATTTACCCCTTCTGATCAGTTCGCCAAAAGATGTCGGAACCTCGATCCTTTACAGTACGGCCACTTTCAAAACAACCCAGAAGTGATCACAAAGATGCCTTCTGTATTCATCTCGCTTCGTCTTCCTTGGCATCCCTAAGACTCCGTCCCGGAGATCCTTGCAGTCTAACCCCCGCGGGTGAAGCATCTAAAACAGCAATAGCGTGGAGGGCATCGGAGAACATACAAACTACGGGTCTCCAAGCATCAAGAACCCTCCAGGATTGCTATGGAATCAAGCCCGGAGACAAAGTTTCAGTTAGCAAACTCGAACAACCTCTAGAAGAGATCGAAGCAATCAGCTTGATTGAATGCTCAGACTCGGACAGGATAGCTAAATATGGCTCGCTTGCCCATGCTGACAAAAACCATTGGGCTTGGTCTCTAGAATTTGTTCTCTCCAGGTGTGAACTTATTACTGCCGGTCTCGTCTTCGATTCGGAGCTTAAAGGCCAAAGAAGGAATTTCAGGGTTGCAGACATTCGGCCCCAGAATCGCGACACAGAAACCACATTGTTTCGCTTCACTGAAAACACTAAAATCTTAGTGAACGAAGATTTGCCCACGGCAGGGGAAGTAAGTGGAAACCTCAGGATTCAAGTGCAGCCAGTCGGTTTGGGTGGAATGAATCGCCAAGTTGCTAGTGTGAATGAGAGTCTCGCGGACTTCAACCCTAGCCTACACGGACTGGAAATGCCGCATTTCTATGAGCACAGCAAGGGTATACTCTTGTATGGTCCAAAGGGAACCGGTAAATCATCTCTGCTGTCCCGGATTCAAGCGGCTGGATGGAGAAAGGCAATCACTATAGGCTCTGCTACACTTGGCAGAAGTGCGGGTGATGGCGAAGCAAGAGTGCGCAATTTCTTTCAAGAAGCCATTCGCAACCAGCCCAGTGTCATTATAATCGATCAGCTGGATATTATAGCTCCTAAACGAACTTCATTAGATTCACAGTCCCTAGGGTCAGTCTTTTGTGAATGCCTGGATCTTGTGAAAGGTGCCTTTGTTATGGTTGTGGCTGCAACTCGTCATCCAAATGAAGTGGATGATGCTTTGAGAACGCCTCACCGTCTAGCCACTGAAATCGAGTTGCAGGTCCCTACAGCACATGATCGAGCTGAGATCTTACGAGCGATATGTGGAGGGCCGTCGCCTGCGTTAAGTGACACTCTTATAGACATGATGGCCGAGAAGACACACGGATATGTCGGTGCTGATCTGTTTGCCCTGATACAGCTTGTATGTCGTAAAGCTAGGCAAAGACAAGTATTCGAGGCCGAATCAGAGAAGTCGCTCTGTGACGATATAGCCGCCTTGGAGATTTCCACGGGAAATGACCAAGAAGTGAAGGCTATGCTCAATATCCAGGAAATTGACATTTTCTCGGCCCTGCAGGAGACCCGTCCCACTGCAATGCGGGAGGTCTTCTTAGAAACACCGAAAGTGAGGTGGTCGGACATTGGTGGACAACACAGTGTCAAAAGGCATCTCCAGAAAGCTGTTATGAGACCTCTGAAGGTGCGTCTTTGCCATGAGCTATCAAGTCCAATGCACTAACGAGTGTAGTACCCGGAGAGAATGCGCAGACTGAATGTGAACAGTAAAAAAGGGATTCTTCTCTATGGACCTCCAGGTTGTTCAAAGACATTGATGGTTAAAGCACTTGCTACTGAAGCAGGTCTCAACTTTCTGGCTGTCAAAGGTGCTGAAATTCTCAGTATGTATGTTGGAGAGTCAGAACGCAGTGTGCGGGAGATTTTCCGAAAAGCACGGTCTGCGAGGCCTAGTATCATATTCTTCGATGAAATTGATGCGATAGCCTCAAAGAGAAGCAGCACTTCACAGGGGGGTGTCAATGTGCTCACAACGCTATTGAATGAAATGGATGGCATTGAAGAGCTAAGAAACGTCTTGGTTGTTGCGGCCACGAATAAACCAGATGTAATTGACCCAGCCTTGATGCGTCCAGGCCGCCTGGACAACATACTTTACATTGGACCTCCTGATTTTGAGGCTCGCAAGGAGATTCTGAGCATCTGGTTTTGTAAGTCCGTGATCCACCCCGAGGTAGGACTGGACGAACTGGCTTCCAAAACCGAGGGTTACTCGGGAGCAGAGATCGTGAGCATATGTGAAACAGCGGGTGAGGCTGCGTTGGATGACGAGGAGGAGACTGGTCAAGAGCAAAGTGTCAGGTGGACACACTTTGAGTATGCTCTTGGGCAGGTCAAAAGGCAGATCACGGATGATGTGATTCAAGACTTTGAACAATGGGGTGGTGGAGTTTCTACCTAGGACTAAACACCACAAACACCATCAGGTAGCCGTTATACATCGGCAAAGTGACGAGATGGGAATATTTCAAAGATAATCCATGACTAGAGAGTGTACGCATGGCCAGCTATAGCCTTTCTTCATGGTTATCCATCACATAATCCATGGATGACATGTAAACAAATCAGAAAGGACGAAGGGTTGACTCGGTGTCTACAGGGTTACCAACGTTGCCTTGAAGGGGGTCTTGTTCAGAACCTTTCTCTGGTCTTTAGCCCGAAACTGTAATTCTCCTGAACACTTCGAGATTCTCTATCATCTCCTCGTTTCATGCATGCCGAGAGACATATCATTATTGGCAACTGCCGTATAGGGTACTCTGTATAGGGACATATATAAGGCCTAAAGCCAGGCCCGAGTCTACAGTATGGAGTGACTTTTGAGCCCATTTGATGAAATGCTAGGGAAACCGACGGACTGTGGTTTTTTGCTTTTTCATCACACTACTACTAGTAAACATCACTACTGCTGGGTAGACACAGATCCCTCGTAAATTCTAGATCGGCGTGTTTTCAGAAGTATGATCAAGATATATACACTTTGCTGTATGTTAAATTGCATAAAGATATCCGCTGACTAATATAACTGCTGAGTCATTTTATGTGAGTGACTAAACTCATAACTGTTTAGTGAAGTTAATTAACGGGCTGGGGTAGCGGAAGTCCAATATACTCCTGCAGTCGAGCTGGTACAGCTACATTTTTCTATTGTTTTCGACAGCTGCCTGCTTAGTGACTCTTTACAATTGCTCATCTAGGCATTAACATTTTATTTTTCCCCTTGCCTTATCCAAAAGGGTTCCACAAAACTGGAAATACGTTTTCAACCTGCCCAGTGATAAATACCGGAAGGTATTTGGATTCGCAACAAAGTGCTCTCTGATCGCATGTCATAAACGCAGCCTGGGCAATACCCACCAATGCGCTCACCATCCTACGAACGAGGACAGGAACGAGTTCCGCCCCCTCGGCATTCCGTATCACCTCAGAGAAAATCCAGGTCTCGGAGTCCTGGTCGAAATCCGTCCCTCTCACCAAAACCAGACCACCGCAATGGCCGCCGTTCTAGAAGTTGGACCCGCTCCCCTTCACGATCTCGAAGCCGAAGTCTGGGCTTTCGACGGGATAGGAGCAGAAGCAGGAGCAGAAGCGCGAGCATAAGCCGAAGCCGAAGCAGGAGCAGGAGCAGGAGCAGGAGCAAGAGCATCCGTCGGTCTCGCAGTCCGGTCAATTCTCTCCCAAGGAGCTCTAAAGTCAGTTTATAAGCCCTCTACGCCTTTTAGCCGATAGCTCGACACGTTCAAGTCTTGAAACTTACATGCAATTAGATTGTCATCGAAAAGTTGACGAAAAATGTAACCGAGTCGCATGTCCGGGAGATATTTGAGAGCTTTGGCGATATACAGAGTCTTGAACTTCCCATGAACAAAGCGTGTAGGTTGACTTGCTCCTCGATTGATGAAGTGGAGATGCTGATATATCTGTCACTAGTCATGACAAACAGGGGCACCGCCTATGTATTGTACCATGATCCAGCAGATGCCGAGGCAGCCATTGCACACATGCACGAAGCTCAGCTCGACGGCGCTGTTTTAAATGTGTCTATCGTTCTCCCGAGAAGGGCTTTCTCTCGGTCACCTCCCCCTGAACGCGGAAGCAGAGGTAGTTTCGGCCGTCAAGCACCTGGCCGTGGCCCATCTCGAGGGGACGGTCGTTCCTCTCAACTTCCTCCACACAACCACCGATCCTCGAGGGGTTACGGTCGTTCGCGGCACATGGAAAGGCATGACATTTACAGACCACGATCCTTATCTCGTTCCCGGTCGCCACGCCGTTCCCGTTCACTAGCTTCGGAGTCAGTGTCCCCACCACGCACTCGTCCGCGTGTGGATAATTCTCGACACAGACGTCGCAGTCCGAGTTACAGCAGCTATGGAAGCAGCTACAGTGGCAGGAGTAGAAGCCCAAGTAGAAACAGAGGCCGTGACCGGTATGATAATGGAAGAATGTAAATTATGTTGATGTGTGGCATCGAAACTTGGCGGGCTTCTCTGTGCATGTACCCTTTTATGTACCTGCATTTCCTTTCTTAATATCCTAGCCAGGCTACCTTCAGAACAAAAAGAATGAACTGGGAAAGGCCACAAACGCCCAAAGAGGAATTGTCCGAATTCGCACAACGTTATTTGGTGCTGCGTGATGATGATCCGTCCACCCCATGCTTAATGCCGCACAATACCCATTAATACGAAAGAGTGTGATCAGATAGTCACTTCAAATTCAAAAGAATGAACACCAACCAATATACATTGCAGCCAGATTTTTATGGTCGGTGGCTTGCATTATCAGTTCATCCACGTGGCCATCAACGGACAAGGGAACAGACTCCCCGGGTAACAGGCCTCGAAGTTTGTTGCGAACATTCTCCAAAACACCTGCAGGTGTTTCTGGAACATTTGCCTGAGCACGGCGCTATGGAAATCAATTAGAATAACAAAAATTGAAACCTTAAATGATTGCAACGGCTTACCTTTTTACCAATGAAGTCCGTTGTCGGATCATGCAGGAATGTTTCCAGGATTGTCATGAGTGCATCTTCGTTCTGGCGCAATATGTCGAGGCTGATTTCACATGTTTTACGAAATGGCCCTACCAATTGGGTCAGTCAACGTCCTATATTAGGCTGGTAACTTGTGTGACTCTGGGTCGAGGGCTTTTGCATACCATTATATCCGTAAGCACCAAACGCATCCACCATATTTGGAGTAAGACGAAATGGAACCAACTCAGGTTTATCGAACGTCAAACCCTACAAGAAACCGCGGTCAGATCAACATCTCGGGAGCCATCTCTTAGTTGTACCACTTACCTTGTCGAAAAGGCAATTGAAGTCAACGTGCAACACACCACCAGTGCCTTCTTCGAAGAGGATGTTTTCTCCATGCCGATCCCCTAGTCTGCAGTAACACATCAGTTCCGAGCATATGGAAGTCCTTAGGATTACAAACCCAAGTACATATCCGACCATGGACATGACGGCACAGGATCGAGTGTAGCGAAGCCTTGCGGCAAACCACGCCCCAGTTTCCGGGAACATCTCCACGAACCACTCGTGTAGAACTGGGGGAAATCTGTGCACAGTCAGATATCAATTGCAGCAGCGGAAACTTAGAGGCCATACTTGGATAAGATCTTGGTCGTAAACAGTGAGGTTTTCGAGTCATCAGAGCATGCCTCATTGAGATAATGCCTGATTTCGTTGTACTGTAATAGGTGAGTTGGACTATCACTTTGCTTTTGGCCATAGCCATGCGGGGATCTCACGTTAGGTGTAACGCCTCGTTCTCTTAGTAGCTTAATGATAAGATCTCTCAGTGTCCTCAGATTGTCGACCCATTCGATGAGCCCACACTCCTCGTTCAATGGAGTAACGGCATATGTTTTGATGTCTTAAACCCGAATCAGTATTAAAGGGCTCCTTTAGATTCGTGCATACGTCTCGGGAATACTCACACATCCTTCGTTTACTTGACTCCACGTCCCGCTTGAGAAACCTGTTGATCATATTGTTGAACTCCATAAGGCGCTGGTCCTTGCGAAGGTCATCTTTTGGTTTGCAAAGGATGTTGTATATCTTTCCATCTGTACCTCGAATACTGATTTTCCGGGGTTTTTGAAGCGAGTTTAGGACCTGAGCTTCATCAAGCACACCTGCCATGTTGTTAGTATTCGTACGCATGTTTCATCCAGGGGCCAACAGTGACAAACCATCAATTGCCGTGGGGTCTCTGGGAAAAGCTCTGAAGCCCTTCAGGTACTCAGACTCATGGCTTGCAGGTAGACTAGGAGTCAACATAGTCTGAAAAGGCACAACAAGTCGACAGGGCGCTACTTTATGATTGAATCCCAAATTCCGCCCCAAACTTATCCTTGATGTTTTATCCTCGATGCGTGCTACACATAGCCGCAGCATCTCCTCGGAGAACTTTTGTCCTTGATTGATCATTGCACGCATATCTGATGGTGATTCGGCCTTGAGCTTTTTGTTGACGTCCTGTGAAGTTTAATAACATTCTCAAAAACGTGTATTTCGATGCCGCAAAACATACTGTTATTTTTTGGAGACAATTGATGCCCCGTGAGGCCCTGTCTTTGGAAGACGACTTGACCACGGCAAGAACGGTCCATAGTCCCTGCTGGGGGAAGAAATTTACTGCTTTGGCTACAATCTTCGCCAGCAAATCGTAAACAACAGTGTTTGGATGGCAAATTCTTGCAACAACTTGGGTGAGAATGGTGAAGAGCTGAGTCCGTTAAACAAACTTCCGAATGCTATTGGTGTTGACGGACTTACTAAAGCAGCTGGCATCCGATTCACGTATTTTTTCAAATGTGAATGCATGTCATCGAGGCTCTTCTTCCGTTGCTTCAAAGTGTGTGTTTGAAATTCTCTATTGATTACGCGTGTTTCCCCTGTATTTAGCCATTGAATCGTCACATTGGCATTCGCATGCGAAAATGAGAAAGCTTACTCGTTATCTCCTAGTTTCGGATCGAGCGGTTGGTCCACGGCTGATGCATGTTCCAACCATAGTGTCAAGACCTTTGGTAATGACTGGAACACATATTTGTTTCCATGTGCTAGCGAGCGAAGATAGTTATCGATTACAAGCTTCGAGGCCTCGCCGCTCAAACTGAGAGACAATTGTGAATATCGGGGTCGTTAGTTTTTAGGGTTGCTAGCGACATACTATATCTGGGCCTCTTTCCCTAGAGGTTTGGCTCGCTCAGAGTCCACTATCTTGTTGTAGTGCTTCCCAAGATAATAATGGGCCTTTTCCCACCTAGTAACGCTTGTTAGTATGACTGTTGGGGAAAATAGAGATAAATTGTTACCTTGAGTGGAGTTTGATGGCTTCACGATACCGTTGAACTATTACCTCCGACTGAGTCTGCCCAGCTCTATCCGTCCATTTTGCAAGCAAAAGGTGGGCCTAAAAACGTTAGCTTTAACCATATACAGGCGTGTTCAATTGTAAGATACCCTTGCAGCAAGCATGTTTTGGTGCTTCTCGCGACTAGTAGACAGAGAAATCGAGCTAGGCTCAACCGAACTAGACTTGTCTGGGATGAATTCGTTGGTGTTGATTGCACCTTCGAGGGTTTGTATCGCTTTCCGATGATGCCCATCTTTCCAGAGTAGCCTGGCGTGTTCTATTGTTGCAGAGCGATCTTTCAAGCGGGCCGCGTGAAGCATTGATTGATATGCTTGGTTGGTGTAGTTCCCCTTCCTTGAAAGACGGGTACTGGCTAGCCATGTGGCAGCTATATCAGAGTCGGTAAAGCTTCCACTGGAATATGTTTTAGCGTTGCCCTCAATGCGTTGATTCGAGAAAAGGCATACTTGAGTTCCATCGTCGCTCTTCGTAGACTTAGAAGGTATTGCTTATCAGAGATATACCCGCCTAGAGCATCTAGCCGGCGGCTCAAGACAGCCTGCGCTTTTGAGTGCTCATTATCTTGATTCCCATAACTGGCTATGGACTCGATTTCCATAAGGGCATGTAGCTTAAACATGTTATCGTGGCATGATTGCAGTGATGTGACAGTGTTCGCAGTTAGTGATTTGGAAACGCTCAGTCGTAGATCATTGACAATCTTTTTGAACCCTGCTTTGTTACCATTACCAAAAGCGTCGAACGCCAGCCCAATACCAATATCAAAATCTCCTGTAGTCTCTTGGGGGCAGATTTGAAGATATCTGTGCAATTTGTCCCATTTTCTCGTAACCCAAGAAGCCTCAACTGCGAAGGGCAACACTTTGGAAGTCAAGCCAGTCTCCCCGAGGAGCTCAAAACGATTGAGAATAGCATCTAAAAAGCAGTGAGAAACGCACTGGGTAGGGGTGAAAACTTGTATGGAGCGATACCTTGCTGCCCCGATTCTTTGAGGCATGTCAAGAGATTCCACTGGGCGTCACTATTACTGGGCTCTTGTTCAAGCTGTAGCTCGTACCAACTTTGGGCCGTCGCCAATCTCCCCCCCTTCCTGTGTTCAAGAACTTGTTGATCGATATTTAGCACATGCAAATGGGTAGAGATACCCTCAATGCCATCTGGCTCGTCGATCTGGCTGTAAATGTCTTGAAGGCGCTGGTACAGCGGTTCAATACTAGCAGGAGTATGTCTATCCGGTTGACCCTTTGATAAACGGATGTACTGTTCCCAATGGAACAGAGCCCTAGAAAAAGACTTGCATTCAACGGCTCTCTTCGATATAATTGCAGGCGGTATTGACGCCAAAAGAGACTCGACTGCTTTAGCTTGCGACAAGTACGTCCCTATTGCCAAGTCGCGTGAAGCTTCTCGGCTACTGCGGCTTGTGTGATTTCGGAGACTGTTCAGCTGCTTCTTTTTGCCTTGCAACCACCGGGAAAGGTAATCAAGAACATCAAAAACACTCTAGATGAAGCAAAGCATAGATATCAGCATACAACACTATAGCGGGTGATTCCATAAGATTTACCTGGCTGCAGAGCAATATGGCTTCGGAGAGATTATTGCTTGTATCTGGAAGAGGGTGAGATAGAACCAGAGTCAGCTCCTGTAGTAAATCATTGACTTCACTCTCAGTGCCCCCAACAATGCGATTCAACACTGCAAATGGCAAAAGAAATGCAGAAATTGAGATGTCTTGGCCTTTTACAATGCGACTGCAAACACTGAAGATTGTCCGCGCATTATCACCGCTCCCTTTCTGCAGCAGATCTTGTACGAAGCATCTCAGCCAATCACCATGTGTTAGACCTGCTGAAAACAACGGATAATTGTAACCCGAAGTGACAGCTCCAACTGTCACTGTGTATTTTGAGGTGAGAAAAGGGGTCAAAGTGTTGCGAACGGTCTCTGGAATCTCGAGCCAACGGTGATACTTCTCTTCTGCTTGTATGTCCCGAGACCTCTGAGTGACAGCCGAATCCAGGCCGCAAAACCTCAACAAGTTTTGCATGGCATATGCAAGAAACCCTTGCGCTCTCGTATTAGAGGCTGATAAAAATGCTTCAAAAAGCACATGTTGAAGGAAAAAGAGAATGAAGTCAAAGCTCTCCTCCATCTTATCAAAGTTTGATAAGACAAGGATGTCCTTCTTTTCTTTGATTGTGTCCACCCTATTAGGATCCAGACAACCGATTACACCTAAACATCGAGCAGAAAGGAGGGTCACGGAATTGGAGCTTGTGTTGAACTTCACACAACAGTCAAGCAAAGACCGTACCAATTGAGGGACGACTGGGTCTGGTTGCTCACTGAGAACAGACATATGGAGGAATTCCTCATGTTTTGTAAGATAACTCACAAGCTCAGTTAGAGTTTGCTCAACCACTGTGATATTCTCACTTTGACAGCGACGAATAAATGCCAAAAACTGGGTCCGAACATCCATTTGCCCTTTCATTTTTTGGATCTCATCTTCGAATGGGGACATGGCTGGAATAGAAGCCAAAGAGGGCATGGTACTGTAGACTTCCTGCACCAGCCCATTATGATTTCTCAAGATAAATTCAACCAGATCATAGGCGCATGCTCTTGTGTCTTCGGTGAACATGCACCAGTATTTGATAACAATAGCAAGAGTTTGATCAATCAGGGGCTCAATCTCTTCCTCTTGAAGAGAGCTCACCATTACTGCCCATATCTTGAAAGCAGTGTTACATAGGTCATCAATCTCGAGCGCAGAGCGCAGACAAGCACATATCTATATAAGTTAATCATCCCGTTCGGCAAGTTTGTAGGGTCTATAGACTGAGATACATACCTGTGGTAGGGCACTACTAACATGGCCACATGCAATTTTGACCATTTCCCCTATAGCTATGATGTTTCGTTTCTTCTCAATCAAGGACTGTCTTATTTGGAAATCATTCACAGCATGAGCAAATTGCGTAATAATACCAAGAACATGCTCTTCGATGAAGTAGCCCAGAAGATTAGATTTTCTTGCTGAAGAAGTAGATTTCCGCGGAACAAGTCGAGCTAAGAGATGAAGTGCTTGGTGGAACTTCTCCTTATCAGCACATAATGCCTGGATATGACAGGGGAAGACAACACATACCCTTGCTTTTTGGTCTTCACCGGAATCTCCAAGACTTTTCAATAGATCACATGTGATCAGGATCGGTTCAATCCTCACTAATTCTGCTAAGGCGCGGCCTTCGAATGCAGAATCGACATTTGACAAAGTTGACATGATCATATCTTCGGGATCCGTTGAGGGTTGGATAAGAAGGAAGGCAAGGATTGCTGCGAGGTTATTTTTCTCTGAGCAAATATCAAATGGTGTTTTGCCACCGTTGTAAGTTGCCCCGATCCTAGCAATGATATCTCGTTTCCGTGTGAGCACCAAGTATGGAAGGATGTGGATTTCTGTCAGCCGAAGATAGTCGTCGACTTTCATTCCCAGAAGATCGCACAGCTGCTCAGCCATATGGGGTCGAGATTGAAAATTTTTGATGACTGTTAGAGAGATGGTTCGCCAGAAAGGTCGTAGCAGGCTGGCGGGGGTAGATGAGAGGTTTTGTGCAAGTTTGGAAAGCTAATTCATTGTTATACAAAAATACATGCACATTCGAACGAGTCCTACTCACTTCAGTATAGACGATGGCACATATGAATGGATTTGGATGCCCTAGGTACTCTACTAGACGAAGAAGGATAATATTCAATTCTTCTTCCCCGGACGCCCTGGTACACGTGAATTGGTTAGTCCACGGCAGGTTTTGATTGCAAGGGGTCAATGTAGTCATACTTGGCGAGTCGGCATAAGGTCAATATACAACTTTCATGTAGTGGCGTTTCCTGCTTGTCAGAAAGGCCCTTTAGCCAGTCCAGAATGACAACAAAATTACGCCGGCGGGTCTCGCGGTCCAGGCCTTTGTTCACAAAGGCAATTATCGAATACCTGATTATTAGTTGGATTCCATTACTCCAAGTGGACGTGGAAAACATACCCAGTGGCTATTCTCAGTTCTCTGACCGAACTCCGCAATGAATGTAGACAAAACTCGCCGAAAACAGACGATGTGAGCTGTAAATGGGACGAGTATGGTACATGTACCAGATTCCTTCTTAATGCGGCCATGGCAGTTATCCTGAGTTTGGGGGAACGCGAGAGCCTCGGGATTATACATACTAACACATTGCACAACTCACCTACTTCTGAGCACTTCCATTCTGTTCCAGAAGAGTGTTCATAGTCATCTGTGTCACAGACATTGCAGAATATTTTGGCATTGAGACCGAGTCCCTCTGTGATCTCCAACCTCCCGCCCAGAGCACATGGTATCTGGTTCATGAAAATAAGAACTTGATGCTTCACCTGCTCATTTAGTGAATCAAATGAGTTGCTTCATTGACCGTTGAGTTAGCACATTGGAAAATAACCCGCGGGAATTTACTTACGATAAATTAGCTGTCAGATCTTCCAAACGCTCAATATTCTCATACCCCAACAATTGGAGCAACCCAGAGACAAGACCCTGCGCTACATCTTGGTCTTTTGACTCGGCGTTAGGGAATAAAAATGAGGTTTTTTGGGGCGTTTGTAGATGTCTATGCTCTTCTATGGTATGGCATGGAGCCGTTGAGCTTCCAGAGAAAGTGTTATTGAGGGACCCCGCGTTCATGGTATTCGTGGCACCAGATGGGCAAGCGGCATGCTCAAAACGATTTAAAAAGTTTTGCACGGCATCCTGTATTTTGTGTGTTAAAAGGCATGATGGTAGAGCGGATATCTTGCCCAAAAAACCTACCTGAAGACTTAGCTCAAGATGGTCATTAGAGGCGTTCTTGATCGTTTGCAATGTTGGCAAGAGATGATTTCTGGCGCAGGTGGGATATGTGTCGGGTGCATTAGAGCAGCTAGTAACACTTTCGATGAATCTGCTCAGCTCAACTTGCAGCCCAGTGAACTGGCCCAGATTGTCAAGTGCCAGAAAATCGTTCACGATTTGGAGCAAATCGGGGGTTAGCATCACGCCCGTTGATAAATAAGACCCAGATGCGCAGTATGATTGAATGCGGCCTAGCAATTTGACAGAGACTTCACCCATGATGTCCACCTCATCTAGTCTTGCGTGGTGAAGCCAGATGCAGATTACTCTCCCTAGTCGTTGGTACCCGTTGAAAACCCATCCCAAAGACTCCCGACTCACGGGGTGCTCTCCAACAACCCCGGAACAATCTGAGTCTTTAAAGTTGAACGCCTCAAGTAAGCAGAGTACTATGTCGAAGGTTTTAGCCACTGTTCCAAGTCGGAGCCTTTTATCGAACAGTTCGCGAGCAAGACCCAGTCTGTCCAAATCATCCAACAAAGTGCCTGTGGATATGGGTATAAGCACATAGGCTGTAAGTCCACCTCGAAGCCCATGAGCGGTGAGGTTTTCAAGAGCAAGTAAAATGTCTAGGACCAATTAGCTTATGGCCGAACCAGTTCCGGATATCTACAGACCATTGGTGCAGGCTCGCAGAAACCCTTGGATTGAATGGCAGTCATTCCAGATTCTGGTGTTTTTATACTGTGTACAGATTATGCTTGTAAATGTGTCACTGACTCTCCTTTTGATCTTGTCATTGTCACAAATACCAAGCAAGCGAATGAGCTGAATGACCACCCAAACATATAACGGCGCATGTGCTCCTTCCGCCACAATGTCCGGATCAGGAATTTCTGTCAACGACTGAGGTGCCTTTCCAACCGCGGTTTCTATGATATCTAGGCAGTCAAACACCTGACCCTCGAAGTTGTCATCGTTCAAACGTTCCCCCTCGGCGCTCGTCTCTAGACCGGCTTTGAGAACAATGTAGACTAATTTGGCAACATCAGTGACACTATCGTCAAGGCGTGTCTTGTTATATTGGCTTCCTATAAGCTCTTGCCGGAGTTGGTAGAACGTCTCTCTGGTAAGACGATGGGCCTGGCTTCTTTGGGATGACAGTCGCGGGGCTAGTTGCGCAGCCAAGGTAGATGGGACAGCCCGTGTAGGTTGTCTATCGGACTCATCCGGGGTCGAGCGAGTCGCAGTAGGCATACTGGTGGTCATTCGATATACGTAAAACAGGACTCGACGTATAGTTCGTCTGTTGCTTGATGTGACTTGATTTTTTTGTTGACAATCCCACTGGCAAGGACCGCTGGTACAAGTGCCAGGCACTGGGCGCGAAAACCTCAGTGTGCCATGTAATTCAACAGAAAAAAGAACCAGCCATGAAGTACTGTACAATCATCGAGGCAAGTACTAAAGCCGTGTCTTTATGAGCTTAGAAGCTTGCAACGAGAGACCGGTACACTTTTTTTTCATGAATATTGTTTCCCCGCTCATTGCTCCGATAAAGTTCATCAGGACAGGACCACAGATAGACACCGCGCACGGGCCAGTTGTTATGCGCCAGTAACTCCGGTACGCGCTCGCGATATGATGACGTCAGCCAAAAAAAAAAAAAAAGAATGAACCCCATTATCAGGCCTAACCATAACAACCTGACCTGGTGCTACTTTGCCCTACGGTGCTAAATACGATAATAGATATTGCTTGAAAGTCAAGTTGCCAAAGCTGATTCCCCTCAGATCTAGTGAATGACAGAAACCCTACGCTGAGCATAATGGCCTTGGAAGACAATATCCCCGACACACAATCGGGTGATACAGATCATGATTATTTCATGAAGCAAGCTCTATTGATGGTGATTAATGGTCTTACTCACTGGTAGTTTTACAAGGATGGCACTCATGGTTGGCATAGGGTGAAAAAGCGCTTGCGACAGGCGAGACCCCTGTGGGATGCGTTCTAGTGTACGATCAAAAGATAGTCGCTCGTGGAATGAACGATACCAACAAATCAATGAATGTAGGTTGCCCTTGCTCCTGTGCAATGGGAGAAGTTTGCTATGATCGGGGGCAGATATCCAGGGCGCTGTCCAGAGTTCAACGTCATGTTGAGCACATGAGTTGGATCAAGTTGGACAGATGCGGACTTCCTACTGATATCTTGTTGTTAGGGTACAAGGCATGCCGAATTCCTTGCAATAGAAGAAGTTCTCCAGAGCTATCCTAGGTCGATACTACGCTCCACAGATTTATATGTGACAGTAGAGCCATGTGTCATGTGTGCTTCAGCTCTAAGACAGTACCAGATACGTTCGGTCTATTTTGGATGTGGTAATGAGCGATTCGGAGGCACAGGAAGCATCCTATCTTTGCATTCTGAGTCTGTTGCCCATACAAACTGGTTTGACAGTCAAGAACTGACCACTTCCTAGTCATACGATAGATCCGCCCTATCCCGTGTATGGTGGACTTTTTCGCGAAGAGGCTATCATGCTACTGCGGCGCTTCTACATTCAAGAGAATGACAAGGGTGAGAAAAAGAAACCATATTCACTGATATCACATAGGCTTACTTCAGCAGCACCGAAGCCTCGACCGAAAAAGAACCGACAGCTAAAAACCAAGGTTGAATATGAGTAGATGACTAGGGCCTTACCGCAAAGAAAACCATAAGCGCGACTGGAATCCCTCTTTTCTATAGCTTAAAAATTATTTTCTTCTTTGGGCACGGCACCAGGAATGATAAATAATACATAAGGGTCACGGAAACTTGCAATTAGATAACAGACGATCCCTCTTGACATTGTACTATTTGGGTTCAGGAAGAGCCACCCCCTGCCAAACGTTCAGTTTCCAGTTCCCGCTCAGCCTGCTGATAATATTTGGCCGTATCGACACCGTGCTTGAGTCATGTCAGTACGTCGCGCTAAAGCCTCCCAAGCCTGAAAACAAAAAAGTACAATAAGGAACAAGGGAAGTAGGGGAAAGGCCGTACCTGGTCGTGGTTGACGACATTGAACCACGGGATGACGTGAATAAAGAGCTCGGAAAACCGCGAGTTTCTAGCTGCGACACCTTGCAAGTAGGGAGAGACCTGAGAGGTACCGTATAAAGGTTGGCCAGTCTTGACCTTGTCCACCATTTCCCTCATGTCCATGTTAGCCTCCCTCGAGTTCTCCGAAAAGCCGTAGAAGCGATCTAGAGCCGCATTAGTCCATAGGTGCTTAGAGCTAAGCGAGGGTATAAGGAGACACACTGCAGGATCTCTGATAAAGGATGTGTAGACCACCAATGAGACCAACAGCAGTCGCCAGTCGCATGACAGGAGCAAAACCTCCCCGACCAACATGGGAAGGGCTCACTCTTTCCATCATCCAGAATGTAAGCGGAGAGGCGGCTGCCATTCCACCGGCGACCGCATAGTCTGAAGGTCTCGCATAACCGAAAACCCGCCTCAAATGCCTGACAGGTCGTGAGTAACGTTATAATATGCGATGGACAAAGGGGGTTCATACGGATCCGAGTCAATTAACTGCAAGGCCCATGTTAGCGATGATTACACATTGTTGGGGATCAGGGACAGAAGGATTGTCTGACTGGGTAATCGGTATTAGCCCGTTTAGAGGGCACAGGCGCAGGCTTAAAGTCAGTTGACATTGTGTGGATTCCAGCCCAAAATACTTTGCAATGCGCAGGCTGAATGAGTTGACGTCCAGTACTTGAATTAGGTCCGACGGAGTTGAACTCGGAGGAGGGAAGGTGTGCCAAGAAATCAGTCTTTTGCCAATAGGAAGAGTCCTGGATGTGCATAGCTCATTACCTAATTGAAGATTATCCCGCCTATGCAGACTCGACGCGCCAATAGACGGGTGCCCGTAGTAATAGTGCTATGCAGTGGCAGCGGATTAGGGGCGGAAAAGGGTGGCAGAAAAGCAGCATTATTTGGTGAAATACACAGGCTCTTTATACCGTATCTTTTCTTACGTAGTCCTTCGGGCTTTATCCTCGTTTCTGGTGGTAATTACCGTGATAATGTATCAAGATCGTACTAGAGTCAGTGAGGGACGAGGAGCGTTATCTGACCCAATGAATTACACTTTATGTATGTATGTAATTATCTAATTATCCAACAGCCACCACGCGTTGACGCGACTTGATCAGCACTACTTGATCGCAAGAATAGGCTCATGATTTTACGGCCTCAAAATCGATAAACCCCAGGCATTATTGGGCCCAACGCAATCAATTACTGAGTTTTATCTGAAATCGCCCGTGTATTATCAAAAGACCCTGCTCCTAGGGCACAGCGCATAGCAATGGCTCGTTCAGACAATCCAGGGATCCAACGAGATCCTTCACCAGACCATCTAGGTGACGATCTGTTTACATATGATGATATGGACGCAATATTGAATGACGCGCCGGCGCCCACAAACAATGACCGTGCAATGTCACCTGCAGAAGCAAATGGTTCAGGGTTGGGACTTGGGCTAGACGAAGAGGTCAAAATATCCAAAAAGCGCCAACCCGTTGCGAAATTGGACGAGACTAGGTAGGTTGGCTCAATCGTGGGTCTTTTCCTACCTCCTCTCCTTGTTCTTTGATGCATAGGCTAATGTCTGTTTTTCACCAACATCAGACTACTATCGCAAGCCGGAATACCCAAGCTGCGCTTCAGAGCGAAACGGAAATTGCACTTCAAGGGAAAAGGCCACGAGGTTTGATGTTTTTCTTACCATAGGATTCAATATGCAGGCGCTAATACACCACCAGTTCTCCGATGCAGCGCGTCTCTTGAATTTTTACCAGCTTTGGCTGGACGACTTATATCCCCGAGCGAAATTCGCCGACGGCCTCGCTATGATCGAGAAGCTGGGACATTCGAAGCGCTTACGGACCATGCGAAAAGAGTGGATTGAGGAGGAACGACCAAAGTCCCAGTCTGCGGACAATGACGATGATGTGCTGGCCACAAAGCTACCTGATATGATATCCGAAATTGGGACGAGACTCAATAAAGCAACGAGTACAAGCGCGCACCAACCAGACAGCACCGGCCATGAGCTACAATCGGAGACGCAAAGGCGCTCGGAACAGCAGTCACCCGCTGATGACCCGGTAGGGAATCATTCTGTCCCTGAAGAGTATCCAGGGATGGATACAGCCGGACAGGATGCTCCGGACGATGACGAATTAGACGCGCTTCTAAGAGAAGAGGAAGAAAATATGGCTACAACTGAGTCTGCGCTGGCTGGATCCAAGGCGCCTCAGAGGGACGCCGATGAATTTGAGTTCATGGATGATCTAGATATAATTTAACCACTGCTTTGTTCCAATCAAAGACATAGAGCTGTGGTGGTCTCAAAATCTTTCTGGCATACGTTCCCAAATACTGCAAGCTCTGAACACCGCCGATATCTCTTGTCAATATCATTTTCGAGGATACCATCTAGAACGAAGGCTTATTCCTATCCCGGCCGGCGAATACCGATTGTATCCGGTCATCAGTCAAGGCCGTCAAAAGCATTAGGGATTGTCATTGAATACTATATACATGGATTGGCTGCTTTCTATCCGCTTTCGGTGCGGGACGTATTGCAAACAAATAAACAGAACAATGGATCGAAGATATGGGTATCAATCACTGATAAAGCTAACGATTTCAGTTGCAAAGTGCATCTTACAAAACATCATTCCCAGAAGAGTACTAAATTCAGGTCTATATTGTCGCAGGCCCTGTGAAAACAGAGAATTGACCACCAGCACCGGCCCAATTTAGCCTCTTTCCCCGAACAGCGGTGTTCTCTATCAAAGTAGCTACTTCAATGTCATCCTGGGTTCCTTGCCCCGTTTGATAAGTAGCTGAGAACCCCCAAGACCAAGGACGGCCACTGGTGTCGATGGTAATCGAATGATCTGAGCCAGCTGCCACAACACTTGCTTCAATCCCTGGCAATGGTGTTGGCTCGATCAGTATCCGGGGGCGTCCACGCTCATCTTTGATGACGGATTCGTCAGGAAAAGCATCAATCTTCAGTCCAGTTTGGTAACCGTCTAGCCGACCCCACACTAAACCTTGACCATTACGGGTGATAGCGAGCGAATGGTGGGCGCCACCACAGACTTGGACAACACCTTTGCCTGTCAGAGTATCCACAAGGGTAGGGTGAACTATCGCGGCTTCATTTTCACCGGCTCCGTCCCGAATACCTGTCTCGCCAAAGCTATTCAATCCCCAGGCGTAGACCTTCCCGGACTGATGGACGGCAAATGAATGGAAGGCACCACAGCCAATATGCACGATATTCTTTGGTAGACCGAACTCGCGAGGCTGGAGGCCATTGAGTTTATTACGCTCGATGATACGACGGCCCAGTTGATTCTGCTGGCCCGAGCCCCAGGAGAACACGGCCCCCTTGTCATTCAACGCGAGGACGTGGTTATCCCCGCAAGCCAAGTGCTTTATTTTCTTGAGCGATGGAATCAAAGTGGGGGTCAGCTGCACTGTATTATCGGCGTCAAACCCTAAGATACCATCGTTACTCTGGAGAGTCTGTCAGTATGGACCTTAGTCAACCGAGTGTTTTGCAGTGGCTTACTCGAAAAGTACCCCAACCGTATACTCGGCCTTCATCGGTCAATGCAAAACTTGAACTGTCCGCAGCAGCGACCTCTACAAATGCAACGCCCGCTGGAAAGGCCTCGGACGGAATCGCTATTGGCGTTGACTCGTACGGATTGAGAGCTAGGCCATCCGAGTCCGAATTTGCATCAGTCATGTTGTCGTCAATGTCCTTGTAACCTCCTTCCCAAGTAGTACTCCTGCCAAGAGCACCCTGATCGTTGACTCCCCATGTGAGTATTTGGTTGTCATGCGTGAGAGCAATGCAATGCATCCCGCCAACAGCGACCTGTACAACACCCACTTCGTCCGCGTTTATGTGAGGGTTGAGCCGAGGACGCTTCACGTCGACCGCATTCTTTGCTGGTCCAAGTCCGAGCTCACCTGAGCTTCCTTCACCACAGACGTAAACGTCAAGCCGGGTAGTTGGAGCATGGTTAATCACCACCTTGGCCCTCGCCTTCGGTACGCGAGGCTTAGCGACGCGGGCCTTTTTCAATTCCGGAGAAGGGGGCCCATCGACAGTTTCGGCCTTGCGTTTCTTTCCATTTTCTATTGGCGTGGAATTGGATGGCGGCTCATTCGGGGGCTCGACATCTTTGGCTTTCTTTGCAGCCGCGGCTTTTCCAGTGCGTGCCTTCGTTGCAGCTTTCTTGGGTGTAGTTGGCTTAGTAGCTTTAGGAGATTTCTTTTTCGGGGGCATTTTTATTCCAAAGAGTCGCACCTCATTTGATGAGGTTGATAATGATACTAGAGAAGGGGGAGTGCAGCAGAATAATGAGTAATATTTGGTTAAGAGATGGGAAGATTGGTGAATAGGAAGAAACTGGGGATTTAAAACCAGGGCAATGCGCGTGAAAGGGAACAATGAAAGACCAAATGGACGTCAAAGAAAGCCAGTCTTTCTCCCTCAGCTCTCATTCCACATCCCCTTCTCTCTTCCCCTTTTTTTTTTGCCATTGACATGTTCCCTTTGTCTTTCCCCCCTCCTCCTTTGATGAAAACGTTGTGTTGATGATGACGACGACGATGATGATGCTGATAGGAGGTATCGATAAGAAGTAAACAAAAGAATTCGCGCCACTTACAGTCCCACCAACATCTAGATATGAAGACTGGAACCGGAGTAGATTAAAGTTCACCTTCTTTTCTGCTGTTCTGATTATTTTCTCTCGTTTTTGATATTATTGCGACATAGTCGAAAATTCTTATGAGGTAGATGGTCCAAGACTTCAAGATATCAACTAAATAGTCCACTTCATATCACACTGTCACGGACCTCTCAGCACTATTTTCTGTTGAAGAAACCTGGACAAAGGCTCAGATGGGAGCGAAGACTTATCAATGCCAACTAGGGACATTTTAATGTCGAAGAAACGTAATTCAGGTTCATCTTACCATCATTGATTCTTCTCGTGTCTACGCTTTCTTTTTACTCCAGTTTCTCTGCTCATTTTCTTTCCATGATTTCTTAAACAAAGACCCCGTAGCCCATGTCGATTGAGTTGGGTTCTTTGATTGAATCTTGGAGCCAAACATTTCGTAACAAAGGTCCAATTAGGTTCAATGAGATCTTTGGCTCAACTCGATACTCTCATCATGAAGCATCCTTCGCGCGCCAACGCCCTCGTCATGTGCGTACGAGTGTAGAAAGTTGTCATAAATCGCCATCAATTGTATTTGACTTGATTTTCCCACACATTATGACATTTTGCCCCAAAGGCATCCATTTCACATCCCGTGGGTTAAGGGCGGCATTCGGTTTTCCCTGTCCATCGCGCTTGGAATCTGGACTCACTCCTACCCCTCCGCTGCCCAAGTAGGTCGGAGCCACGGTAACGATGATGGAATCGATGAACTCGGTATATTCGGGGTTCAACAGCTCGCTCAGAACAGTCCCGCCACCTTCGATCATAACGCTCTTGATTCCCTCGGAGGCCAAAGAACGTAGGATGGCTTCCCAGCGCAGTCGCCAATGTTGATTAAATTCCACGATGCGGAGGAAGTCGCCCCCGTATCCTTTGAGCATCATCAGCGTTTGAGGATGGATTTGAGCACCCGGCGACACGACAACCCAAGGGGCCTTTCCCTTCCCTTCAACCGCCGTCCGTAGTATTCGGCTTTCAGGGTGGACTGGCCATCGGCCGGTTGGATCAATCACCACAGGCCGCGGCTGCCACATCCTCCCAAGACCGCCAAAACCACCAGCGCCTTCCAGTCTACAGTTTAGTCCAGGATTGTCGGCAAGGACAGTTCCGACCCCTATCAGGATAGCGTCATGCCGTGATCTGAGGTAATGGGTCATTAGTTTTGCTTCTGGGCCCGATAACACGGTCTGCATCCCGGGCAGCAGCGATATTTTAGAATCCATAGAAGATGCATAGGATAATGTCACGTGGGGGAATGAGCGTTTCCCGTCATCCTTTGGAAGATAAGGTGCAAGAAATTCTAGTGAAAACTGGGGGAATTGCAGGATATCTGGTGGCAGCGGCGTGTCAAGACTCGGTTTGAGCGGCCCTAGTTCGCCGGCAGATTCGCTATTTCCATTAGTCCTTCCTATCCTCACAATCCCGTGGCCTTTCTGATATTCATAGCCATCGTGCGGTACGAGTTTTACTTCGGGATTTTGTATCCTCCATTTTGCGGAGACGTTGCGAACATCCGTAACAGTGCAGAATTTCCCTCCCGCCTCCGCCAGCTTCTCTGGCTCTTCTTGAAATTTCGTATAGATCGAAGATGGTAAAAAGCCTTTCACTGCCTCCTTCCGCGCGAACTCCATGAGGCCGGAGTTTCTTTTCACCCCGTCAATATGGTCAAGGCTATGCGAGTGAGCACAGCTACTCCCGGGGGTTCGCGCAATAGTCACGGTCGAATATGCGCCTTCGAAACGCACAACCTTGATCTGGAAATTGCAGACACCCCCCTCACGTGTACGTTTCTTTCGCGGGCGCTTGCCTTCTGGTAGGGGACGGGTCTCCGATGTGCGGTGAGTTGGGCGACGTAAGCGGCACATGTAATAATCAGTTGTGCAATGACCTTCCTTGCTGGAATTCGATCGCTGCTTAACCCATACATTATCGATATAAGGCCAGTAGGTCTCGAATTCCCCAAGACTGATCTCAATCGGGTCTTTACATTCAAACATGACCTGTCGTATCTTTGCAAGATTTGGTGGGTTGTTAATTAAGCAGTGGGCAGTAGGCGTACTTTGATCCACACAGTCACAAGCATCCCCAGTGCGGTTTCGATCCGACTCTTCCGGGACATCGTTTGGTGATGCGGGACAGAGACCCGTCCCCGACGGACGTTGGAAGCTCGCTGTACTGAAAGCTTCTGCTGCATGTTCAGCCTCAGCTGGCACTAGCCGCAGATTGCTTTTCGAAAACAGCTTTGCGTTTGTTGTTTTGTTGTTGGAACGCTTCTCCGCTTCTCCGTCCAACGCCTTCTCGGCCGCCTCGTTTGTATGCGATGTGGCTTCATTATTCGGTTGCTTTGTGTCAAAATCAAGGGGTAACGACGGCGAGACTGGAGATCTAGAATGATCATGATCCATGTCGAATGCCGCACTATTTTCACTCGGCGTTATCCGGACCTCTCATTCGAAAGAATGTAGTCCCTTGCAGTCTTTGGTAATTCCATGGGTGTCCGTATCTAAGTTGTGCAAGCCATATTATCATGTCCACATATACCGGTATATGAACTATTATTGCCATATGCGACGGCGGCGGCGACGACGGGTGGTGGTGACGTTGATGTTGTTTCCATTCCCATCCCTCAAGGCCGCACATTGATGGAAGGAAGTCCGTCGGGCTGGCTCACCGCTGCGGCCTTGGCATTCAGGGCCGCAGGGATGACTCCGCAGGCGCCGGTCTCGACGTGGTTTTATCACACGCTTTCAAAGAACCTCTGAAATAATACACCGCGTTCTGTTTTGTAGTAATAACCATCCTGTCCATTTTCAAATATGCTACTTAAAAGACTAAAGATTAAGGTGGCATTTGTCGGGCAGACAACCCTTAGTACGCCCCAATGTCCGCACCGGCTCGAGCAAGCGTCTCGTACACCCGGGGTGGGAGCTTGTATTTGACCATCCCAGAGAATATCATGAGGTCTTTGGCCATGACCAATAGCTCCTCCGCGAGGCCTTGCCTGATCTCATTCTCGTATACCCCAGAGTTCAACCTCTCTCTCTCGTGACCAATACAAGTAATGCTCCACATGATGACATGGCCGACATTACGTGAAATGATCGGGGGGAAGGATGAGAATGTCTGAGCTGCACTTCGAATGTAAGGAACAGAGCTCCTAGCGCGCAGAGGAAGAATGTTCAGTTCGTTAATGACCTAGTTGGAAGCCAGTTAGACGAGAAGAACCAGAAGCAGGGCGTTGGGAATCAAACTCACATCAAGTGCGGGCGTCCACTTCCCGATTTCGACCAATGATTTGGCTTCCATCATTCGGAGTAGAAGACCACATGCATCGCGGTTGACTTGACGAATGCGCTGGTAATACAGAGCATTGGTGTTGTAGAGACCAATCATATTTCTTGCCAAGATCACCGGGTTTTCCACGGCCGTCAAGCTAAGACTGGTGCCAGCTTTTGGATCGTCCTGGCCGTCTTGTTCTAACGAAGTGCGTGGTCGTAGGGGCTGCAGCGTCAACGACGGCCCTCCGAGCTCAACCGCCACGGAATCAGAGAGTGCCCTATTGATTATATCAATGACTCGGTCGTAGTCTTCGGCAAGGTGATACAAAAGCACCGCATCTGTGATCAAGCCCTTGTCATCAGCGACAGCGGCTGCCTGCGTGGTGATCGTCTTCAAGAATTCTTCTTGATCAATTAATTTGATCAAGCTGATGCGCTGCTCAATAGCGCCCTTGATCCTGGTCCCATCTGACCGTATATCACCCAACAACTTGGCGAAATCCCTCGTCTCTAAGATGAATTCCCGCAATGCCTCATAGCAAACAGAGGCCTGGGACTTGCCCAATGAGCCAGGAAGATCGGCGTTAAGGCAGATTAAACAGAAGTAATCAATGGCCGCCTCAACAAAGCCTATGCGGAATTCCCTCGTATACTGAGTGATCAAAAGTCCAAAATTAATTTGGGGGAATTGCTTGACGGTGAAGGACACTGTTTCATTTGGTAAATCTTGTATTAGCGGCAAGGCGACCGGAGGGGGAGGGGCTTGTTGCAGCGCAGAAACAAAACACAATGAGATGCAGCAGTACTTACAGATCTCTTCTCCAGACACATAAAAGTCTGAAACGCGTAGAAGGCCGTAGTAGCACAAAGAAATCGCAAAGTGAACAGCACTGACCGGCGCATGTGCTCCCAAGTACGATACTGCCTGTTCAAACATCCCACCGAGGATTTGGAGGAGGAAAAAGGTTCCATAACCACCAGGGCCCTCTTGACCCTTTCCAAAGACGCGCTGGCCGATCTCAGCGATATCAGTTTGGATATCGTCAAGCCCAAAAACATCACCAGCGGCTTCCTCGGCGCGGTCATCTTCTCGGGCTAAACTAAATTGCAACCACATCCAATCTTCAACGCTTTGGTTGACACCTTCTAGACGTCTGCGGCTAAGTTCACAGCGTCCGATGATCTTGTAGCACGCCATACGATAAGGATCGACAGTGTTCTCAGGAGCATTGCGCGAACGCTGCTGGTATTCGCCGTTGATCTTTTGCTGCAGGTCTCTCGGCAATCGTCGACTTTGCGCGTAGGTTGTCATGTAGGTCACAAACTTGTGATCCAATGACCGGAACCCAGGATCTTGACTCACATACTCAGCCGCCTCTGTAACAAATCCGCAGCGGAGGAGGTAGAAGATGAGAATCCAACAATAGTCCTGGCCAACAACCTGCAATTCGGCCCCATCAGGGGCGAGGTCTTTCCTTGCCGCCTTGAGTCGAATGAATGCTCGAATCTTATTTACCACAGTCGGTATGCCTCCCAGCTGCGCCTCCCGCGGGTTCTTTGCGATTACATTTTCGACCTCGTTGTAGAATGACTTTTCAAGGAACAGCCTAGATCCCTCGACAATTCGTTTCTTGAGACTGATTGTCCGGCGAGAGCTAGGTGCGTCGTCTAGATAGTCATCCGAAAATTGTCGCTCGCGTATGGCACCAGGTTCCGAGGCGATTCCGATAGTCGGGGGCTCTCTAACGATACTAATCAAAGCTCTGTAGGCGTCAAAAAGTTGGCGAGGAACCTATGACTGTTAGCAAAATCAACGCACATAAACCTTGGATCACAACATACATCGCCACCTGCATATTCTTCAACTTCAGAAAACTCATGAAGAACAGGGAATGTACGCGCTTGGAGCCTAGCTGAATTCAATAGCTGAACCTTATCTGCATAGAGACGCATCTTTTCCCGCAAAAACCGAAGATCGGAAGAATGACCACTCGACTTATCGTTGCGGTCGTGTGCATCTTCAAAGAGTTGCTGGCTCCTTCCAGTTCCTGGTATTCCAATGACGGACTTCTCCAGGCCAGAGCGTCCAAATACACTCCTGCGAGATGTATTAGAAGGGCCCTGCGCTTGTGTAGAACCGAACTGCTTGGACTGTCTCGTTGAGCGACCAAATGTGCCCTTGCCTTCGCTAGGAGCACCGTCTTTTTGGGCCAAGCCGAAATGTTGGAATATTTTTCGGCGTTGGTCCTCCCAATCTAGATCAATTTTATCCTCCAAAAAGGCATCAAAATCCTTGTGGGTTCGGGCTAGACTTTCGGCGATCATCACTTGACGACCACGCTGCTGCATGTTTCGCAGGAATTTCTGATTGTCGGGATCAAATTGATCCTGATCCTTGGGAGGAGCTGTTACTGGGATTTGCGGATCCAGTGCCTTCAGGTCTCGCAGTGCGTGCCCCGGTGAGACGCCCGATGCGGCGAGCAAATAGTGACTAGAGATATACCATCAGCGGACATTATCACTTGTCATTCCGTCCAAATCTGCTCCTTACGCTTTGTTGTTGGGGACATGTTGCTGGGAGTCTTTTGCCCTGGGGCTGCCGAGCTCCCTTGCCTTCCTCCGAATATCGTCCAAACCCAACTGAAGGCTAGGCAAATCTTCAAAATTGTTGCTTTGCGCCATCGACGAGAGCGGTCTCTTTCGACCGCGTTCCAGTAAGCTGTTGAAGAACGCAGGCTGGGTTGCCTGGCTAGAACCCGACTGCGCCTGGGATTGGGGAAGCATTGAGGACTGCGCAGGCTGCTGTTGGTCTTGCGGCTTGGATCCGAATAGAGAGGTGCCCGGAAAAGTCTGTGTCGTGGAGGAATTCCCGAGGATGCTTGTGGAGGTGTTTGGCGCCTGCGTCGTGGCACCCAAGCCGCCTCCGCCTCCGAATAGAGAGCCGGGACCTGTAGAAGTCATTCGGTGAAGACCAGAAGACTTTCAGGGAGCGCAGGGTACGTAGCACGAGGTTTCCGACAGTGTCTCCTGTTTGGAGTCGGTGTGACCTATGACGGGGGTGATAGTGGAAAAAAAACAAAGGTCTCCAGCAACTGACTTATACACAGCGCTAGATAATAGTTGGAGAATGGAGTCTCCGAACTTGAAAAAGTGGCTTGTCCGCTACTCAGCAGTCACTGATTGTTTATACAAGGCCCTAGTGCGGCGGAGGACAAAGGTGCTTGCTGTTTTGGATCCTGCCGGACTTTCTATTATACCGACCAATATTTTTTGGACCCGCTCACCACAATCGATAAGGTTGTTGCACCACGCAGTCTTGGGTTGAATCAGTGGAATCGTTCGTCTTGGATTACATCGGATTAGATATATATTGGTGTGCATAGCCACTGTCAGGCTACTAGTCAAGGCCTTTTACTATCCACCATACACAATGGCCGTCTTTCAATCCAAAACATTTCGACGTTCAACAACCGCATCATCCTCGCTCGGGGAACGGATTGGTGCAGCCTATAGAGCGAGGCTTCCTAGGCACCCTTTTGTTCTTTTTGGACTACCTTTCATCATGATCATAGTCGCTGGCTCCTTTGCCTTGACCCCCGCGGCAGCCTTAAGATATGAGCGGTACGATCGCAAAGTGAAACAATTAAGTCAAGAGGAAGCCATAGATCTTGGACTTAAAGGAGATGGGGAAGATGGGATCAAAAGGAACCCACGGCGAAGAATAGTTGGCGATGAGAGGGAGGAATACTATGTGAGTTTGAGTGTCCCTGTCGAATTTGTGATGGTGAACAGTCTATAGGGTCAGAAATAGAAACAAGTGCTGACGGCTATTTCGCAGCGGCTCATGGCGAAAGATCTGGACAACTGGGAACAGAAACGGGTCCAAAGATTCGAAGGCGAGCCTGATGGCAAGCTATAACGGTCCTGTGTCCGGTCATGTATCTGCAATTTGTGTTGATCGAACATTTATGTGTTCTGTGCTATAATGGGTCTCCGCTCCCTTGTTCCCACACCTTGGTGTGCATATATCCGCATGATGCACGGGCGTGTGGATCTGCCTTGTATGTAATACCACCCAACAACCTCGATATACTACGTGCTATATCTAATATACCCTGATATAGTTGATGTATATTATTTTCCTATTTAGATCAGGCTGTTTTTGTGTGGTAGTCATCTGCCTCTTGCTGGTTATTTGCTACCTGTTTTATGGTCATTTTCTTGGGTGTTGAGTTCACACACATATATTATTAACCTCAGTAAATCAGTTCCTAAGAGAAGATGAAGTACCGTTGACAATTCTTTCAATTAATTCCGGAGAATACCAGGTTAATTCCCTTTGGCCCATCTCAAGCAAATAAGTTAGATAATCACTAGCCAGCTGATTAATTGTGATATTAGTTCTGCACACTAGGCACGAACATCGCCGCTTTCCGACTGTCCCACCCGCCCCATACGTCATATCCAGAAAACATCGGCTCTCCGTTCTGCTCACCTCCATTTGTCCTTCGCGTTTCTTGGTTCCTTACGTACCATGCTTAACACTCGACACTAATTATGGTGGATCAGTGATATCAGCCAGATACCATCTTTCCCCCACTTTTTCTTCCTGACAATTCGATTGGTTCTGGAAACGCATCTATTGGAAAACCCCTCTATCGATCTTTCCCTCATTCGAGGGTGTTACCTACCGTAGGAGCCCCAAATCTCCAGTTCTGGCCAGAACCTCATTCTGTCTCTCCTATCTTTTTCATCTCCTAAACTCTTCCATCTCTCTTCATCGCACGGAATTTGAATCAATCCAGCGATTCCCTTTCTGCTACCACCTCCCTTGTCTCTCCCCCTTTACACTTCGGGGCTTGTTACTTGACCGAATTTTCTTGGTATCTGTTTGCCACAGTCGCAACATCGGCCCAGGGTCATCGAGGGGGCAATATCTGTGAATGGTATGGGGGCTTTTGATGAATCACTCGTTCAGCCATAAACTTCGGAGAGGATCTTGACAGAGGAAACACATCCTGTAATTTCTGGCCGCTTCGAGATGGCAAGCTGATTCTGCGCCTCGCTCTATCGTCCGCTGTTACTCTACTAGGGGGTGTTTCGTTCTCCATATTTCCCCATATTCGCCTATTTTTAAGAAACCATGTCAGCTATGACGGGCACAAGGTCCCCTACCTCTCCATGGCCTCCAGAGCCCCCGAATCTTCAACTTGCTAGTTCTTCGACTCCGGCAGCTCTTTTATCGATGCGTGACACTCATTCATCTCCGTTGAACCCTCACATCACGACTCATCATCCCGGTTCAGACCTCTCGCCTAATTACTTTTCTTTCAGCATCGACGATGCCAATCTCACGAAAAGCCGTGACTCGGTCACTTACCCCCAACCTCAGATCATCAGCCCGACATCGCAGTTTCTGCCGAAGAAGCCGAGGTATGAAAATACCCCGGATGCCGCGATGTCCGGTGCACGGGTCGATTTGTCCAAGGCGTCTACGGCGTCTAAAGCCTGGTGTGGTCTTGGATCTCAGAAAGAAGAGCGGCCTCTCGACCGAAGAGGAACCGTCCCGTCGGTAACCGGCGTTGGAAGTGCCATATCTGTTGATCACTGCGCGGAGTTGCTTCAATCGTCGCCCGATGATATAATGCTGTTCGATGTCCGTCCCTTCACTCATTTTCTTAAAGGCAGTATCAAAGGATCGTTGAATCTTTGCATCCCAACTACATTGCTCAAGCGACCTTCTTTCGACACACAAAAATTGGCGAATACATTTACAAGTGATGCGGATAAAAAGAACTTCGCGAGATGGAAAAATTGTCGATATATTGTTGCCTACGATGCACATACTTCCGATATGAAAGATGCTGGGCCATTAACTAATGTATTGAAGAAATTCATTCACGAGGGCTGGACCGGTGAAGGAATGATACTCCTTGGTGGATTTAACGCCTTTTCGGATCGGTTCCCTTCTTTTATCAAACGACAAAACCAATCGATGTCTGATACCACTCCGATGAAATCATCTCCCATGGGATTGAGTCTACCTTCTGCTGCCCCGGTCGCCGGCGGGTGCGCGCTGCCAGAATCGGCTTCAGTCGCCATACCTTTCTTTTCCAATATTCGTCAAAATATGGACCTTGTTAGCGGCGTTGGACAGATTCCCCTCCAGCTCCCCCAAAATTTAACCGAGCCGAAGAAATTAGCATTGCCATCTTGGCTACGGAATGTATCCGACAGTGCGGATAAAGGCCAAATCGTCTCTCAGAAGTTTCTCGAGCTCGAACAGAAAGAGCTGGAGCGTATGAAGCAAGCACTTTCTTATGACAAGGATGCCAATTCGAATTCGATCGTCTCACCGGATAAGTTCCGCGTTGCGGGCATTGAGAAGGGGACAAAGAACAGATACAATGACATTTACCCTTTCGATCATTCTAGGGTCAAATTGCAAGACGTGGCTCCCGGAGATTGTGACTACGTCAATGCAAACCACCTGAAAGCTGATTACAGCGAAAAGCGCTATATAGCCACGCAGGCACCTGTGCCTGATACTTTCAATGTAAGTTCTCGAAACACCCCGGTTCTTACCAGTGGGGCACACGAAGTAAAGCAAGAAGCATATCAATGACATTCAACCAAACAGGATTTCTGGCGCGTGATTTGGGAACAGGATGCCAGACTCATTGTGTCCTTGACTGCCGAGGTCGAGCGAGGGCAAGTCAAATGTCATCCCTATTGGGAGTCGGGGAGCTACGGGCCCTTTAAGGTCAACAACTTCTCCCAGAAAAAGATATATTTGAACCCTGCAGACTCGCAGAAACTCGACACCGCGAGCCGTGCGTCGTCTCCCGAGAAAAGCGAGGATCCTACCCGTCCTTATATCATAGCGAGATATTTCGGTTTATCGCACTCTGCATTCCCATTCCAGCCGCTTCGTGAAATCACACAATTGCATTATCCTTACTGGCCCGACTTTGGTACCACATCCCAGCCAGTCCACCTTCTCCGATTGATTGAAGAATGCGATAAAGTTATTACTGCGTCCAACACCAAGAGTCCCACCAATCAAAAAGCACAAAGACCAATTGTGGTGCACTGCAGTGCAGGATGCGGACGCACAGGCACTTTTTGCACAGTTGACAGTGTTTTGGATATATTGAAACGGCAACATGCTCAGAAATCTTCTGATCCACCGGTTGTTCCAGTAAATGAAGACCTCATTGAACGGACTCTAGCCGATTTCCGGACACAAAGACCAAGCATGGTACAGAATCTCAGCCAATATGTTCTTTGCTATGAGAGTGTGTTGGAATGGGTCACCTCCCAGATGACCAAGGATGAGTCTTCATGATAATGAGACCTGACACCAGTCTGGTCCCTCAGGTGCAGAAGTTTTATTGCTAGATAGAGAAATGGCAGATCTATTATCGTCACGTCATATCTTTCCTTTTCACGTGCCGTATGGGCTGCAATAAACCAGTACTGAAGCTGCTGTCATTCATTGTTGTTATTGTATCATACTGTTTTATAGCGCTCTTTATCTCCGCTCTAGATTGAAGGTCAGATACAGTGGAAGGCACAGGCTATCCGTTTTGGGAATAAGGTCCACTGGTCAAATGCGAATGTACGAGAATGTCCATCAACAGGGGATTCAAGGTTCGAGTCTAAGCTGGAAGTCCGAGCTGGAATATACATAATGATTCCTTGAGCTTGAATGAGGGGTGCTGCCCTCAGTCTGTAATCCGGGATTAAAACAGACTTATAAAACACATGGTTGGCAGGGTATCGGCAGGTGTTCCGCAGGCAGCAGTGGGTGCCTAGTCAAGCCTAGACTCCTGCCTGGGGGTGGAAAACACGAGGAGCCAGCAACTATAAATCAATAGTTATAATTGTCCTTCCCCAGCTTCTAAAATATTGTCATAATATCGAGTAAAATAAATTCTTCTTTCAAACTGCCACAGATTTAATGAGAGCCTAGGAAGCTCTCAAAAACCATTGAATCTTCTGCTTATTGATTTGCCCCAAACACTCGTCACCATGCTACTCAATCTCCCGCTTGAGCTTATCCAGTTGGTTTTACTATACTCGAGAACACCGGATTTGTTGCAGGTGGCTTTTTCCTCGCGAATTTTATATGAGATCGTCACGGATTCTCGGGAGGTGCTCTTACGCCATCTACGTCAAACCCCAGGTATTAACACCGATGTCAACACCGATCTCCGGTCTCTCAAACCAAACGAGTTATTTGGGTTGCTCCTCAAATATGCATCCCAGCAGTTATATGGCGCACAGTTCTACGCAGACTGCAAAACATTCAGCTTTCCAGAACATGCGATTGATGCCAAAGCATCTTCATTTGCACATCGTGGCGACAAAATCGTCGTGCTAGCCGCTAGAGGCCAGGAAACCCTGCATGTATATGACGCTCGAGACGGGCAAATCCAGCATCGAACCCTGCTTCAGTCACCTTGGGCTCGACAAGGTGAATCCGAGATCCTCAAGACGGGGTTCGACGGAGAAAACGGCCTCTACGTTCTCCAACGCTTCACGCCGACTTTTGACGAGGGCGATGTAGACCTAGAGCATCCCTTTGTCAAAGATGCGATACAATCAAGTGCTACAGGTCAAATATTTTTTGTACGCCATCCTCTCGATTCACCTCATGGTCCAACGAGGATATGTTCTTTCCCAGAGCATTCTGAATACAGACCGTTGGCGTTTGCGGCTGCCAATAAGAACGTCTTCGCTATCTCCTGGCAGCATACGCGTGATGATACCTGCTTTGAGGTAGTCCTTTACACTGTCCGAGATGAATCACCAATTGATTCTGGATCTAATTCTATTGGTTTGTTATCCTATCTCAGTTTCCGTCGCTTGATTCTCTGGGGACCCATGTAAAAAGAAACAGGCGGTCTACGATGAGAAATGCGCAATAGTCGGATCTTGCTGACGATGGCGAACAGAGCTACGCTACGATTCTCGCGTCTTATTGGATGAGAGTTGGCAAGATCTCCATGAGGATAGGCCACTCGGGGCGACCACGAACCGGGGCCGTGTGCTTCATCACAGTGGCCCAATAACAGATATGGCTTTCAATGACGGATCAAGCCAATTGCTGTTCTATTACCGCGCTCGGACTTTGTACGGATCATTCCAAAGGAGGGACATCTCCACGCTTCAAGGCCAACCTATAACCTATGATAATTCATGCATTGTGCAATTTTCTGACTCGATGAGGCTTCAATTTTGCATCGACATACCCTTTTTTGGAACGCACGAATCACACTCGCGCAACGGCCTTCAAAGGTGCCAGTGGAAATACCTTGCTTTGGGAATTGCGACTCATCGTGAAGAGGGATGGACCGTGGCGTGTCTACTGAAATCAGGAGCTTCCTGCGCGTCTCGCAATTGTGGGCATGTCTTGAATCTTGATCGTGGGCGGCGTTTTGCCGATTGGACGGTAGTTGCGCGACTCTGGGGGTTTCGAAATCCCACCAACTCCCTTGGATCCATAGTCGCTAGTTCCAAGCGTGGTACAAGGCTTGCGGTCGCGAATTGGGACATTCTTTACGTCTGGGCTTTGGAGCCCAACGCACTTATCGACCAAAATGAGAGTGGGTATTATCCGCCTTCGTGGCAATCTTCAGCTTCCGACATGATCGAACTGCGGCCAATAATGCTTCCACTGGATGCCGTCTGCTTCAAGCTTTTCTTCGCCCAAGGGGAAAATGAACTTGTGGCAATAACAGATAAAGGGTTGAAGTACTGGGACCTGGGTACATTGGGGCATGGGCGAAGAGTTACGCAGGATCTAGCCGTTGGAGAAATCCATTGATTTTGAGATCTCAAGATTGCGCAATCCCTAACAGACTTTCCTTTCGGGGGTAGTATGTTATGCTTGACCGAGATCTAAGTACTTTCATGAAATGTGGGACAAAGCGCATATTCAATCCGTGAGGACGGACCCCATACATTCTCCAAGGCATCCACAGTTGGCTTGAATGGAAATCTCGGGTGTGGTGGCCTCATGCAAACCACGGCTGTCCATCCTCCAACAAGTATGCGATTGGGATTGCCTTCCTGGCTTAATTGGACCTTGCGATTCTCTTGCCATTGATTGAGATGGACATAGGCTCACCTGGATGCGAGGTTCATGTTTATATATCTGGACCCTTCGAAGATCGCGTGGGTCATATTCGAGATGCGAGGATGCGGCCAATTGATGATAGAAATATTGTATATGGAGGGACCAAGAGAAATTTATTAAACGAGGAAAAAGCCATGTTCACTCCCATCCATCATTGCCCTTCACCGCCCCCCGACATAGCTATAAACGTGATGATGAGGATCACCCACCAGTACCTGTAGAAGAACGCTGTCAGATCACTGCGCCAGAGAGTAGAGACTGTGGTTAATTCGAACGAAAGGGATGTTGATCACTCACTTCTGGAACATCGTCTTCTCAACCACTTCTTCGGGATTCTGGCCGTCCTCGCTAAGCACGACCGGGCGGTTCAGATGAGGTTGCGGACCCGTCTCGGCGGGGATCACTTCGATCGTAGGTCCGTCCGCGGTTGTTGAGGCAGCAGCTGGGCCAGACGCCGGCGCCAACGAGACATGGTATACTTCATTCGACGGGCTCACGTAGAGGCGAAGCGCGAGCTGTTCCTGGCCCTGCTTAGGAGCCAGAGACGACAATGACGTGATGGTGCCGACCCATTGTTTCCCGTTCGACGGCGTGGAGGCGTACAATCCCACGCGAACGAGTTCGTCGGAATTCTCGTCGCCGGCGCGGAGGCTTGTCTGCGGCGGGGAGTAGGAGAGCAGGTCTGATTTTAGCGAGGACGAGTCGTAGGAGATGCGCGCGAGGGTCGAGGGTTCGGAGACGCCCGCTACTGGCCAGTAGAGGATCTCGGTGGATAGGAGGTGGGAGGAGGAGGTGGATGAATCAGCCCATGTCTGTGCGACGAGACAGAGGAAGATTGATACGGTTTTGAATAGGAGGGAATGCATGGTCGGCGCGTGTCTTTGCTGGTGAAGGTGTGGGAGGTGGACTTGGGAGCTCCGGATGCTGTCACCGCGGCGGAAAACGGTTGGCGCGGAGAATTGCTGGGGTCGGCTAGCCGATAACTCTTGGTGTCCGTGACTACTCCGTACCTCTGTTTTCTTGTATTCGAGTGAATAGGTACAAACCCAGTAGCAATTAGTACTAGCAGTGTTTTGTTGTCAGCAATCAGGCTGATGACTAGTACTATTCTTATGAGTATCGTAACAGGTATACCTACGAGTTGAAACTCCAATACTGCCGAACCATCAACTGATGTATACCAGACAGCTGTTGATTCATCACTTTTACATAAGCATCGTTTTGAGTATTATCATGGTCGATGCAATTGTTGAATCTCTATCTTATTATAGAGGAGAGTTGTACCGTGTAAATCTGTCGCTTCACAAATAGCTATATGTGTAGATTCCCACCTATGTTTAGTTCTGCCCAGTAAATACACAGCTCTATATACGATATAAACAATATATAAGATTATGCAAAACAATACTAGTAATGAATTGATTGATACATACGTAAATACGTAAATGGAATATAATATAGTTAAGAGAGAAAAACACATTGCAACCGGGTGAAATCTTATCAAACCTTGTCTTCCTGGATTGGTCTGCTGTATAAAGTAACTATTTAACAGCCTGAACCTAGCTTATTTGCAGATACTGATACCTGTAGCCCAGTATAGTCTGTTTTGTAATAAGATGCAGCCATTCCTCCCCGCAGATCATCACCCTGGCGCCGGTAAAATCCCTATTCCCCAGTGGTTATCTGCCCCGCAGACGTTTCTATGAATTGGTAGCTGGGATCTTCGTTCTTTGTTTTCATCCGACATACTTCGGCTTGCTTGCCTCTTGTTGTCTATTATCCGCTCAATTCCCCCCACACCATAAAGAAAATCCAGCCTTCTCCTCTCATTCTACCCAGCCGAGGTATAATTGATTGGCGGGGCAGTCCCTCTGCTCGCCAATCCATTGCTCGATAACATCACCTGCCGTCGCTATCCGAAAGTCTGCAACCTTCTTTCTGCCCGTTCATCATTACCTTTTACTTCGCTCGAGAAGAGCAACTTTTACCTTCATGACTGCCACAATGCCACACCGGCGTCCCTCGGGACAGTCCCACAGGCTGGCGTCTCTGGATACTCGAGATGAGATTCAGATCCACCCGGACCACTACATTGGCATCGACGTAGGCACTGGGAGTGCCCGCGCGTGCATCATTGACGGCAACGGGGATATCGTTGGATTGGCGACTGAAAATATCGGCCTCTGGCAGCCTCAACAAGGTTTCTACGTAGGCATTGTCGTACCTATAGTTCTGGAGCTCCCGCTGACCATCACTCACAGGAGCAATCGACCACTGACATCTGGCGTTGTATCTGCGTAGCCGTTCAGCGCGCCATCAGCCAGCATAACGTCGACCCGGAAACTGTAAGAGGAATTGGATTTGATGCCACTTGCTCCCTTGCTGTTTTCTCCAATGTCAATGATGAACCAGTATCTGTCACTGGGCCTAACTTTGACTCGGACCGGAATGTGATTCTCTGGTTGGATCACAGGCCGGTTGAAGAGGCCGAGAAGATCAATGCCACGAACCATAATCTGCTCCGCTATGTCGGCGGGAAGATGTCCGTTGAGATGGAAATGCCCAAGGTTCTATGGCTGAAAAATCACATGCCCAAGGACCTCTTCGACCAGTGCAAGTTTTTTGACCTGGCAGATGCGTTGACTCACATTGCTACGGGTAATGAAAAAAGAAGCTTCTGCAGTGTCGTCTGTAAGCAGGGCTACGTTCCGGTCGGCGTGGACGGGAGCGTCAAAGGGTGGCAGGAAGATTTCTTGAACGAAGTTGGCCTAGAAGAACTTACCACGGATGACTTTAAACGGGTCGGAGGTGTTGACAGGGTGGTGAGCCCCTTTCTTTTACAACTTTTCATCATCTCAATGTCCATTATATTTCGGCTGCGCTGTTCCTTCTGACTCGATATATAGAACGGCGATTATCTGAGTGCCGGCGAGCTTGTCGGCACGCTCTGCGATAAAGCAGCCTCTGAGCTCGGACTGCCGTCTGGTATCGCCATAGGCAGCGGTGTCATCGATGCCTACGCGGGCTGGATCGGTACCGTTGGCGCGAAGGTTGAGCTGGAGTCAGACCAACTGAGCTCGGACGCTGCAAAGAACGACAAGTCCCAAGCCTTCTCACGACTGGCAGCCGTAGCCGGGACGTCAACATGCCATCTCGCCATGTCTCGGGATCCGGTTTTCGTCCCTGGCGTTTGGGGTCCCTACCGCGACACGATCCAGCCGGGCTACTGGATGGCCGAGGGCGGACAGTCTGCCACGGGGGAGTTACTCAAACATGTCATCGAGACGCATCCCGCGTTCAACCAGGCTCTCTCCATCGCGGAGTCCTACAACGACAATATCTACGAATACCTGAACGAGCACCTCAAAGAAATGGCGCAGGAGCAAAAAGCCCCCAACATCTCCTACCTCGCACGCCATTTCTTCTTCTACGGCGACCTCTGGGGCAACAGGTCTCCCATCGCGGATCCGCGCATGACCGGCTCCGTCATAGGCCTCTCAAGCGACAAGTCCGTAGACGGACTCGCCATATACTACTACGCCACGCTCGAATTCATAGCCCTGCAGACCCGGCAGATCGTCGAAACGATGAACCAATCCGGCCACAGCATCACATCGATCTTCATGTCGGGGTCGCAGTGCCAAAACGACATCTTGGTCAAACTCATCGCGTCCGCGTGCAACATGCCCGTCCTCATCCCCCGGTATATCCATGCGGCTGTCTGCCATGGCGCGGCGATGCTGGGCGCAAAGGCCGCTAGCGCTGCCGCCGAGGGCAAGACCGAGGATCTGTGGGATATCATGGATCGGATGAGTAAACCGGGGAAGAAGATCGTGCCGACGGTTGATGCTAACGAGAAGGCCCTGCTAGATGTCAAGTATAAGGTCTTTTTGGACCAGTGTTATAAGCAGCAGGAGTATCGGGCCCTTGTTGATGATGCCGTGGGTGCGTGGAAGGCTACTTGATCGTCCGTGCCAGTCCTGCTGCTTTGAGGCTGCTCTTGAGGCATGTTATTAACCAAGGAAGAGAAGTAGTGGTGGGTAAGGAAAGTAATGTGGGTTCCTGTTGATTTTGTAAAACATCATTGAAGCACATCTTGCGAGTGTAATTTTTTTTTCCTATTGTTTCCCTCGGTGTTGAAAAACCGAAAGTATATTTTGCTCTACGGAATCTAGATACCATCCGATACTTATGTGTAATAATCTTCAGTGTTCAACGTTAGAACGGGTCAAAAACGACTTGTAAATTGTTCGAACAATGGTACATAAGCCTCACGGCTACACATCACACCCTAGGAAAGAATCTATGAAACGTCCATGCTAAGAAAAAAAAAAAAAAAAAACGGAGCGACACTACGAGCTAGGCCCATAGGCCACCCCACTCCTGGCCTTACCAACAGTGTAGAACTTCTCCGGCGCGGCAGTGCCCAGAGCGAGAGTGTCAAAGCGGTTGATACCCATGCTCTCCATGTTGCTGTAGCCAGAGAGGAAGAAACCGATCACCACGACCAAGTATGTGAGCACGAGGATGGAGCCTTTGAAGTAGTTGCTCTTCCCCTCGCCGTATACGTACGACAGGAGGAAGACGCAGAGGATCACTGTTACCATGTCCCATTGGGGGAAGATGAGGCTGTTGCAAGGCGCAGTCAGTTGGTGTGGGCCGGCTTGTGGAATTTAGGGACTAAGGGATCTTACTTGAATGAATGGGACAGGAGGTCGGAGGGCTCCTTGAACCGTTCGTATAAGGCGCTGAACAGGACGACAGCGGGAATCTGTAATAGGCAAACTTGCAGCGCGTAGGCCGATCCAATTTCCATTGACAGGGCGATGTTGCCGTTGATCGCGAAGGAAATGGCATTCTACCGTCACACGTCAGTGTCAGCCATCGTAGGCGATCCTGTGATAGGGAGGTCTTACCAAGAATTCAGTCGTGTTGGGAACCAGGGCGAACAGGGTGATTCCAAGAAACTTTTCATCAATGTCGACACTCTCGAGGACGACGTCCACGGTGTTGACGAGGATTTCTGCGATGATCGCATAAAGGAGTGTTGCTCCAAGAAGGACAATTGCGCTCCAAGCTTTGCTCCAATTGGGGGCATCGTGGCCTCCGCTAGTAGGGCTTGGCTCCAGACCGTTATCGTCATGCTCTTCCAAAATCGCCTTAACAGGATCTGAGGCATTTTTGGTGGCCTGTCGTTGGACTGGCTGCCGAAAGGTTGGCTTCCGTTGGCGAGCCGCATCGCGCGCAGCAATTGCAGCTGCTGTGGCTGCCACTTCAGTCACCTGACGGACCAAGTGCACATTCTCCTCATCCGAGAAGTCTGTATACTTATCATATTTACGATGATCATCACCGTTTTGCGAGCGAGGAGGTACAAGGTACGGTGTTGTAGACTTGCCGTGCGCCACACTTGACTCAGCATAGTCTGTGCCATCTTCAGGAGTATTCTCAGGCAACCCAACTTGCTTCAGGGATTGCCCCAAGATGCGCTTGTACAGCTGCGACTCGCGGACCGGGCCCTTTGTACCAGAATGTCCACCGGTGGCACCCGAGGGCACGCTAGGAAGAAGAGGCCTCTGCTCATAGGATTCGTGGTTGTGTGCAAGGGCAACGGCTTTTTTCTCCTCAACCTCAGTAGCCCAGATAAGGGCAGCATGGGTTCGGAGAGTAAACCACAGGCCTATGACATACGAAAGAAACAGGAAGACGGCCGCAAACCATGAGAACGGTTGCACCGCTTTGCGGAAGAAACTGTCGTTTACAGCCGGGACTTGGGCAAAGTAGCATCGACGACAATCGTCACCGTCTGCTGATCCCGGTTTTGCGCAAGCATGGCAGTTGAGTTGGTGCTGCATAGAAGTCAGTCAACTACCAACAGAAGAGTAGAGATTGAGTGATATCGGAGTGGACTTACACTGCCGTAGATTTGATAGAAGAGTGTGGGTCCAAAGGCAGCGATTACAGCAAACATCAGCATGGTGGACGTGACGCCCGCAGATTTGATGTTGAATCGCTGAGTCTTGCGTTTGATCGCGCCAAAACACATGGACAGACCGGGAAGGAAAAGGATACCCGCAAAGATGCTACCGATGATACTGCCTTCGACGAGTTGCGCTTTGCCCTGAGTCAAGGCAACACAATAGAGGTAGACTTCCACTAGAGTTGAGAAGAAAGCATTGACGGCAGCACCCATTCCCATGGAGGACTGCGCAGAAATCGATGCAACCGCCTGCCCAATGAAATAGGCCAGTGGGATGATCGAAACCAGGGCAAGAGCGAAAACTAAGCCTGGGTGAGTGAGCCACGTTTGAATCTCCAGGGTTTCCCTTAGAAGAAAGTAGTCGACGATGACAAACAAGACGACACCGAGAAGGTTGATCAGAAAGATATTTGTCCCATCAACGGTATACTTCCAATAGCTGATGCCAGCAGCTCGATAGGTGCATAGGAGAATGGACGAGGAAGACCCAGGGCGCAATCGCGTGTACGACATGTCAGAGTGATAAGACAATGCCAGGGGGTGCCGCCGAAGATGGTCGAAGAGAGTAATGGTCACACGGCCCATGGGGATCCAGAAGACAAGCAACCAGCAGATCAGTGACACCATGAGCATCAGAGGCCCTACGAGAAAATAGAAGAACACAAAGAACACCACGCGGCCAAGGGTCCATTCGCCCCGGCCGAACAGGCGTCGTTTTGAGTGTCCCAAGGTGCCATCGCCAGAGGATCGCCTCGGACTCCGCCCAAGGAGGCTGTCTTGCTCACCGGTCGAATCAATACTGTTCCTCCTTCTCCCGATGAGAGACCGATTGCGCCGGGGCCCAAAGAACAGCCGGCCATTCTCCAGGTCACCATTCTGCCACTGTTCGTATTCGCTGATGCTGCGACCTTCGCCCTCGTCCTCTTCGGCGTAGTTTTCGTCCGTGTCTAGGCGAACGAATGAACCAAAGGGATAAAACAAGTACCAAGATAAGCCCGAGAAGACCTTTCCGTATTCCACTGCGCTGGGCGAAAAGGCGAAGATGAAACAGGCCACCGCTCCAGTAAGCGCAACCAAGGCAAGCCACCATCCGAAAAATACCGTCCAGAGCAAGTTCGTGAGGAAGAGCAGATTCCCCACTCGCCCTCCGGGGGACGAGTGTATATCGCCTTCCGCGGTTTTCTCCACAGAGCGGCTTTTCTTGTACAAAGCAGGCTTCCACAGCCTTATCCCAAAGGGGTGTGTTTTGTTGATAGCCTGTTGACGATCCTTGAGTGTAAAGCTCTCGGCGTCGCTAAGTTCCTCGTCGTCAACATCATCATCGTCAAGACCATCACCGCCACTTTCGCTGGTGCGATTCTCATCGTCGGACTGATCAACCGTGGGCAGTTCTGCAGCAGCTCCCAGTCCGGGATCGGAAAGTTCCAGTCCGCCTTCGTCTTCGTTCTCAGGCTCTTCTGGGACCAAAGTATTGATGCGGCTGGTCATGCTTCTCTTCAGATTCGAGCTTTCTTTCCGCAGCGGACGTATCCTCGGGGACGGTTGGGCAGGAGTAGAAGCCTGTTTCATAGCAATATCCTCCTCAACCTCGCGAACGTCATCGTCAGTGGAGAATTCCTGTCGTTTGAAGGGCACATGTCGCTTAGAAGACAACCGGCGCATCACCGGCGGTTTTCTCGGTCGATCGGATTGTAAGGCTGTGGTAGATTGAGAAGTGGTCACGCCGCCAGAGCTCTCGGGCTGATTCTCTTCGCGGAGTGTTTCAAAGCCCGCTCGTTCCGAAGGATCCAGAGTGCCTGTGAAGAGATGAAAGCTTTCGGTCAATTCCCCGATAGAGTAGACTTAGTATGATGGAAAGGTAGCCGTACCGTAACTCCTCCGGCTCTGACCCGCCAGTCTCGGTGCGCGAGCATTCCCTGGCGACGAGGTCTCACTTGTGGCATGCGAGGTTGACGGTGGATCGGAATGGGAAGTTCGTGGGGGATTACGGTCCCCTCCTTGATTGCTGGCCATCTCTCGGTCTGATGGTTTCTTCAGATCGTTTTCCTTAATCGCGCTCGTTCGAGCTTTCTTCCTTCATCCCCTTTCCACTTCTGGTGGCCGTATGATACCGGTGCGTCACGAAAAAGGACCAAGACGCGTTTGGTTCGCGATAGAGGAGACCAAAACAGATTGGCTGTCAAACCAGTGACCAGCAGATGAAGAAAAGGAACAAGGCAAGGGGGAGATGAACCTAAAATGGGGATATTTGGCAAGACCCCAAAACAGATGGTGTGCAGAAGTAGGGCCGGCAAAATGTGAAGGCAGAAGAATTTACGTAGGCGAAGTTACTCAGTCGGACAGGCAGAGAGCTCCATGCAGCTTAGTAGATCATGAGATAAGGGCGCATAGTTCTCCCCAGAGTCAGCTGAGACTGCAGCCGGAAAGTCACGAGCCCTATGGTCAGATGTCCCGGTGGGCAAGAAAGCACAATATAAATTTGAATCAATAAATTTTTACCCGGCGAATGGGCCACTATTCATATCCAGCTACCAATAAGTTTGGGATGTTAATCAAGAAGCCTGCATGGTGGATGAAGTGGGGAGAGATCAAGGGCGGACTGGGCGGCTTGGGTTGGTTCGGTACGGTGTGAGTAATGATGCCATACCTCCCTCGGTATCGACCACCTTGCTCTCCCAGTATGATATATGTGACCTGAAGAGTTGTTTCAGACTACTACAGAGGCAAAGAATCAATCAAAAACATAGATTCCACACATAAATCATGAGTGCGATGGCTGTAAGTGAGGGACTGAGGGTGTTCTTGGCGACTTGGCACTTGTTGATCAGCAAGTTTCCTTCACCGCCAGGCAGAAATGAACCGGAAGGCGGTGACGGTAGCACGGGCAGTACTCCGTTCTAACTGAGCTGAGCTAGTTGGACTGAGGCCAACACCGTCGGTGACATAAGATCCAGCTTAGGCACTTGCACGCCCGTCGGAACGAACCTCAACATCTCCCATTCAATCGTTCGGCATCATCCTTGTTCTAGGTTCAGTGTTCGAATTTTCCATCGAGACGCCCTTGCTGGTGTCAGTGTCTCCAGATTATCTCGTGGTACACGTGTTCCGTCGAGAGGAGCGGTCCTCTTAACCATTCGCCATGGCGCTCGACAATTACTATCGCAATAAGATCGAGAGCATGAAGCTCGAGATCATCCAGGGTCAGGCTGTTTTACGGAGATTGGAAGCACAGCGCAATGATTACAATTCCCGGGTGCGGCTACTGAGAGAAGAGCTGGGCTTGCTCCAGCAACCGGGCTCTTACGTCGGTGAGGTGGTCAAGGTGATGAGCACCAAGAAGGTTCTCGTCAAAGTACACCCCGAGGGGAAATATGGTGAGAACTAGTCCTCCCACGCTTCCGGTCATATTGGATTGGATTGCTGACTCGATTTGGGGGGACGCAGTCGTGGATATTGCAGATGGCGTCGACATTGCGAAGCTCACCGTCGGCAAACGAGTCGCCCTTCTCTCCGATTCTTACAAGCTGGAGAAGATGCTGCCATCGTCGGTGGACCCGCTCGTCTCGCTGATGATGGTCGAAAAGGTGCCCGACAGCACTTACGACATGATCGGTGGTCTCGACCAGCAGATCCAAGAAATCAAGGAGGTCATCGAGCTTGGACTGAAGCACCCCGAGCTGTTTGAGTCTCTTGGTATTGCACAGCCCAAGGGTGTGCTACTCTACGGCCCGCCTGGAACCGGTAAAACCCTTCTTGCCCGAGCGGTGGCCCATCACACCGACTGCCGATTCATCCGAGTAAGCGGCTCGGAGTTGGTGCAGAAGTACATCGGTGAAGGCAGTCGGATGGTTCGCGAGCTGTTCGTAATGGCTCGAGAGCATGCCCCCAGCATTATATTCATGGATGAGATCGACAGTATCGGATCCAGTCGGATAGATTCAGCAGGGGGTGGTGACTCCGAGGTTCAACGCACGATGCTGGAACTTCTCAACCAGCTGGATGGGTTTGAGCCCACCAAGAACATTAAGATCATCATGGCCACGAATCGCCTGGATATCCTGGATCCGGCCTTGCTGCGCCCTGGTCGCATCGACCGGAAGATCGAGTTCCCGCCACCGTCGTACGTCTCTATCTACATTCTGCATACCTGCTATTGGCAAGATTTTATGGTTTGCTAACGCTTTTTCTTTTGAACTATAGGGTGGAGGCCCGTGCGGATATTCTCCGTATTCACTCGCGATCGATGAACCTAACACGCGGTATCAACCTGACGAAGATTGCGGAGAAGATGAACGGATGTTCTGGAGCCGAGTTGAAGGGTGTGTGCACAGAGGCCGGCATGTACGCTCTCCGCGAGCGACGGGTGCACGTCACGCAGGAAGACTTCGATCTGGCGACCGCGAAGATTTTGAACAAGCATGACGACAAGGAGGTGGCTGTGTCGAAGCTCTTCAAGTAAAAGTACGGTTTTACTTTGAATGCCATGTGTAATAATAGCTTGTTTGGCTATTTGTCAACTTGGGACTCGTTGCATGCTTTTCCAGAATATACATTGACCGAATACCACCCGTACCCATATCTATGTCTCGAGTAGACGACCTTCAAGATGGCTAGGATACGTACGTGATCGGATGACGCTTTGTGGATTATCTCCGGGACAATCGTCCGATATGAGAGTATAGCTACGGAAGCAATATCAATTGTAGTAGTTTCGGTTGAGTAGCTCATGTTGGTGAATAGTCCAAAGAATCACACAGTCACATAAGTGCATGTGTGCACTAGATGCAGACAGTCAAGTTGCGGATCTACAGAGCTATCTACCAATTGATTTTATCTCTGGTCCAAGGATGAGAGTTATGAATTGATGATGCTAATTAGTTATGTTCGATCACAAGATAGAGTTCCCCGAGGTAGATAGTAGTTCTGTTAGGTGGTTGGAGGAGATGCTGCTTTGGGCTTCCATACATGAAGCCTACCTTAAATCCGTCCTATATTCGCACCACTGTCCGTCTTCTTGCCTATCCCATTCTTGGCAACCTTATCAATGACGACAGTCTTTCCATCCTGCTACGATCTGCTCTTACATACCTGCCAATTCCCATGACGATCATTGCCGCAGCAGCCATCCCCGAACCGCCCCCGGTATATTAGTACCCGACTATTGACCAAAGCATAGCCCCTTGAAGTCTCATGGAGACTAGGGTCAGTATCCTGATATCCTTGCCGATGGGCATGATAGTGTCTGCCACGTATATAGATATGCAGTAGTAGTATGTACGGTGCATAAAAGGGGAGCTTGGCAGGATGATGGGCAACATGGATGTTTATATTGTTGCTTGTCTACGGAGTTATCACTACTGTAGATAGAAAATGGTATAATAGGCTATATGCAGAATGACGGTCCAGAGGAGATGACTCCTCCGTAGAGTCCGAAGGAGTCTTCCTGTATTGAGCACGGAGTATGGATGGAGTCAAACGCCAAGTTGCCAAGATTATGCGAGTGGACTAATGGAGTCCGTCCTTGCACCATCTCTGTTGAGTTAAACTATTTTTGAGATTGGATTCTGTTGGTTGACCGAGGAATGGTCATCCTTATTTTAGGTTATGTGACATGTCTATATTCTGGATGGAGTACGGAGGAGAGAAAGAGTGATAGATTCCTAGACCACGAGGATAGGAACTACAATTTGACCCAAGTGACGGTCATGGTTTCTGTATCAATTCTTGATTCTTATCCTTTTGTTTTGTTTTCTTCTCTGACTGTTGAAATGGGACCAAGTATGGAGACTGTAGGGATAATTGAATACATAGATCGACCAACTCCATACTCCGTAGATACAGATAGATAAGAATCAACAGCCAAGACACTTTAATAAATCATGAATGTCATAGTTGATTCAGGATCAGACAATCAAGCAAAGAAATGATCCAGCTGACGTGTCGTGGAAGGAATCCGAGGCGCGTGACCGAGGATCCTTGCCTGGATTTCCAGAGGAAGAGGACGGAGAGTACGGAGTAGGATGGATACTCCGTATGATACGATGGATCCTTTGGGTCTCGGCTCGGGTGGGGCTCAATCCGATCGAATGACCTGGAAGTGGATCTGTTCATTCTTATTTTTATGGTTGCTGGAATTGATTCTTCCTTACTTACTAGATAACTTTGATATCTACCATACCTACTGATCCTCCATACACACTAATGAAAAAAAACTATCCCCACTCGGATCTTCGGAGTACAAAGGATATATCTACCACTCCGTATAGTCCTTGCATACTAACAACAATCCTTGTTGGATTAGGTCTGACAGAATTCTAAACTGCCCCGGCCCGTGTCTCATCATTGCTTCAATAGGTTAGTCGCCTGTTCTGCAACTCCGTCCATCGTACAATGTAGGATCACCGTTCCGGGTGGGCACATCTTTCCTCCTCCTCCTCCTTCTTCTTCTTTTCCGGTTTGGATCAACCGGCTGTGTTGGCCCACCTGGACAATTGGTTGCATCAAAGATGGAGAAAGAGAAAAAAAAAATAAATAAATAAAATTAGGAAGACGGGAACTAAAGGGAAAAGAATAGGGATTGTCACTAACAGGCTCAATGAGTGTTGGTTGGATTGGAACCATGAGGATCTTCAACCACCAAGTCCATTGAAGAAGCATATGGAGTATATATTCGTTCGGTTCACCGACTCCACCGTTCACCAACACGAGGTCTTCTAGAATTGCAATCAATCCCTTCCTTTCTACTCCATACCGTTCGATCCTCTCGGACTTGCTGGTTTAGTCCTTCCGTTTCCCATCACTCATGGTTGGTCCCCCTTAGTGCCAGGAGCTTATTATCCCCCGAGCTCATCCAGGTCCGTCCTTGTCATTCACTGGTCTTCCTCCCCCCCTGCTCGCTCCACTTGGATCGACTCGTCCTCCTTCCTCTATCCCCGTTTCGTTCCATTCTTTCTTCTTTATCCGGATCGCCACGTCCCCATCAACTTCTTCCCCACACTAATTTGTGCCCTTTTCGGTCCCAAAACACCGACCCTAATTGCTCCCCTTATCCTCTGATTTGTCCTCGTCCTGTCATTCGCCACACCCCCCCCGCAGATCCTCCCACTCGATCAGGAACTCGGTGAACGTTCTGCCAGCTGTCTTTATACATATACATATACATATATATATATATATACTATACTTCTCCCTCTCGTCGATTACTCGCCCCATTGTGCACCGGATTCTATATTATGTCTGACGGTGAACTATGGTCATCACTTGTCACTGCCATTCATCCCAGGGATATCAAGCTTAGCATGCCTATCGTCCTCCAATCGACCATTCACCTCTTGGAGTCGGAGCTGGCCAAAGCGAGGGCCGCCCTCCAGGAGATCCAACCCAATGTTGTTCCCGTATGTATGAGCGGCGATGAGCTCGCCGTTGGCGCCGTGGCCGCGTATCGCCAGAATCTCATCGGCCGTGCGCCGGATTTCTTCTATGGTTCGCGCAGGCTGTCTCCGAAAGAGGTCGGCTTAGTCCCGGTGGTTCGGGAGGTGTTTGCGGATGAGAGTGAGTCCGAGGGAGTCCAGACGCCGCCATTCCAATGCAGCGTAATCACGAGTCCGCCCAAGCCGACTTCCCTTCTCGATGTCTTGGGAAACAGTCTGGTTTTGGATCATATGGCTCCGTACCTCTCGACCCCGGCCCTGTTTGCGCTGGCATCCACCTGCCGCTTTCTTCACACCGCGGTCACTGCAACCCCCTACGTGTTTCGACATCTCGACCTGACTCGTTGTCGAGGTACAATGCTGTCAGAAGCGGAGGAGCAAATGGATGAGGACAAATCGGAGGATGAATTCTACTCCGCGCCGTTGCGGAGTATCTTTTCCAAGCTGGAGCGTAGGTCGATTTTGCAAGACGTACGCACATTGGTACTGGATGGCCTGTCGGTTCCGGCGGATTTGGTCCTCGACATTCTACTGAAGGATCAATTCAATGTCAACATTCTTTCAATTAGGGACTGCCAGCATCTAAACGAGCGCAAACTTATGCAGAGCATCCAGTACGCGGTCCGTCCCTCACGTCCCCAAGGCACCCCACGGGTGAAGGGGATCTATCTTTTCACCCCGGCCCAGGACGCGCAGACCGTCGTGCGGGCCAAGTATCGTGACTGGTGGGGCTCGAGGTGCTCTGACCAACCCACCGGCAACACGAATGAGGGGGATACGCCGTCTATGGACTGCTCCATGGACGGAGCCCCCAGTCAGAACGCGTGGTATAATCCTTCTGGGAAGCTTCTCCAACGAACCATTGACGAAGGTTGGGCGGAGACTCTGCAGAAGTGCCAAGGGATCATTGCGTTCGACGCTGTGCTCTGTCGCGGGCCACGGCACAATGTCGATCTTTATTCGTCGACGGTTTCGAGCAATGCCCAGCCAGACAGTCGATTGTTAGGGCCCGCAATCGCCACGGTTGCCTTGGGCCCTATTGGATGCGAGAACTGCCACGCAGCTCCGGAAGGCCCAGCGGTCTGGGGAGAGTCCCCGCATGAACACTTCCCTATGCTTACTCCCCTGTCATTCCACTCATCCTCCGTGGAGGTGGCCAAACGTCCGGGCCTCTATCCGGATGCAAACCCGGGTCTGATTGCCCGATGTGAAGAGTGCTTGACAGATCGTCGGTGCAATCGCTGCAACGCGTGGTTCTGCGATAGCTGTCTTCCCCACCCCGAGCGAGTGAGGACTCCCTTGACGCCACATCAGACAGCCGTCCGAAACCCGCGAGATACGGATAATATGGCAATGGCCCAAGCGCAAAGAGTATGGCCTCCCGACCCATCACAGCACCGTGGCATGGAGATGTCGCTGACCGTCACAGGGATTGGAGCTGGGCGTAAGTAAGGATTGCTGGGAGTGCGGGCCAACCGTAAGTAGTCACTTCAGGCCTAGTCACTTGAGGCTCGAAAGGTATACAGCGGTCTGACGAAGTCGTCTAGTGTTCAACCTGCAAACTGAAGTATGAACGAACCTGCCAAAACTGCCAAGGCGATTATTGTATCGAACATAATGACGGTTGTTCATCGACCATGGTATGTATCCACAACGCACACCGCCGTACCATCTGGATCTAACTTGGATCAATTCTAGTGTGACTGGTGCAACATTAGTACGCGCCATAGGATGAGAGAGATCTATTGATTTGGGAACAGAATCTGTTTAGACACTAACAACGGAGTAGTATAGACGGGTGGCTGTGTAGGGTTCAGTACAGCACATAGTTGGAGTAGTCGGGTTCTCCTTCGATCCTTCCTCTCTCCCCTCTTTTAGCCGATGGAGTATGCTATGGTCTCATGTTGCGTCATTTCGTTTGAACGAGAAGCAAATTAGCGCCGATCTTGCTATGGTCGTATGACTTCTACAAACATATAGTGTAAATTGCTGCCATTCGCTGAATGGTGTGTCTCATGGGCCATACGGAAACCAGGGCACGGATCCGCCATTGATCTGACTTTACGGATTCAAATGACATTCAACGGCCATGAATGACAGACAGTACGGAGTAGAATTAGGGTTCTATGCTCAGTATGGAGTAAGTTGATCAGATTGATCAGCCGGGATGAATAAGCGGGGCAGCTTCCAGAACACGCTAGGGGATTCTTCTCCAACTGCATACATCATCGAAAGTCCGCGGGGAACCCACTTCTACCATGAGTCGTACGCTTCGTCAGTGGCTTCCTGTTCGACTGAGCCGGTGATCGTTGATCAGAATCATGGCTAGCGACCAAGGTAACATACACTGGTCCTCACAGTTCACCGTCACGTCACCGAGTCAGACTCCAAAGCTCCCCGGAGACAAGATCACTCTCCCTCACTCGGCCCTCGAACAACTCCTCGCAGCTGCTCCACTCCAGGAGATCTCTCGCGCCCCCACTCGGAATCCTACTCGGTCGTATGCGAGCAATTTCGACCCTTTCAATTCGCACAATGCCGCCGAATTTCAAGCGCGCGAGAGCAGTTCGGACCGCCAGCATCAATTGCCCCACCCGCTGACGTTCCGCATCGTCAACCCGCGAAATGACCGTGTGGTTTATGCCGGCATTCGGGAGTTCTCCGCCGAGGAGAACGAGGCTGGGCTCAGCGGGTTTCTACGGAGTGCGCTCGGGATAGAGGATGATCAATTTCGGGCTGAGGATATCGAGGATACGTCTACCCAGGGCTCTGCACCCGCTGTTACAGTCCACGCAAGACAGTTGCCCAAGGGTACCTACGTCCGTCTTCGCCCGCTCGAGGCGGGCTACGATCCGGAAGACTGGAAAGCGTTGCTGGAGCGATACTTGCGCGACAACTACACTACACTCACCACGAATGAAGTCCTAGCGGTGCCCGGGGATCGCAACGAATCGTTCAGGTTTCTTGTGGACAAGGTAGCCCCGGAGGGAGACGGCATCTGTGTCGTCGACACTGACCTGGAGGTGGACATCGTGGCTTTGACGGAGGACCAGGCGAGAGAGACTTTCAATAAGCGTCTGGAGAAGGCGTCTCGTGCCCCGGGGGCCAAAGGTGGCACTTCTGTCGGCGGAGCACTCCGCCCTGGGGAAGTGGTGGCCGGTAGGGTGATGCCGGGTGATTATGTGGATTATGAGCTGCGCGAGTGGGATCGTGGAGGGACCATCGAAGTCGAAGTGGAGAGTGAGGATGATGCGAATGTCTATGTGTTCGCGAGTCCGCTTTCCCCTCGGCACAGGAGCCGGCCTAGGAAAGACTTGCATGTCTTTAGCGATTTCTACGGCCGGGAGCGCAAACGGATTTGCGTTCAACCGACAAACGTGGAGCTGGAGCAGGTAGAGGCGCTTTATATATCGGTTCACGCTTTTGCGCCGTTAGACAGTGAAACTGTCGACGCGGGTCAAATGCCACTCGAGTACAATCTACGCCTTGCCATCAACAGTTCAGGCGATGAAAAGGCTCCAGACCGTGAAAATGCCCCAGAGCATGACATGGACGATCACGACCCCGAAGACATACAGTGTAAAAACTGCCAGCAATGGGTCCCTCAACGAACACTGGTGTTGCACGAAAACTTCTGCCTTCGAAACAACATATACTGCGCGCAATGCGGGAACGTGTTCCAAAAACGGTCACCAGAATGGGAAGCCCACTGGCATTGTCCGCACGATTCATCCTACGGAAACGATGCTCCCAGCAAACACATGCACGATGTTATATTCCACACCCAGACACCCTGTCAAGACTGTGGGTTCGAGGCGAGCAATATTCCCAATCTCGCCCAGCACCGCACAACCGAGTGCCCCCGCAAACTCATCCTCTGCCAATTCTGCCACCTCGTGGTCCCCCAACAAGGCGAGGGCGACCCCGACCTACACGACGCCGAAGTGCTCCTCTCGGGCCTCACACCGCACGAGCTAGTCGACGGCAGCCGGACCACAGAATGCCACCTCTGCAACAAGATCGTCCGCCTCCGCGACATGCAAACCCACCTCCGCCACCACGACCTCGACCGCGTCTCCCGCTCGCCACCCCGCGTCTGCTCAAACCAGAACTGCGGCCGCGTCCTCGACAGCCAGCGCAGCAAAACGTCCAACGACACCCTCGGCCTCTGCAACATTTGCTTCGGCCCCCTCTACGTAGACACACACGACCCGGAAGGAAAAGCCCTCCGCCGCCGCATCGAACGCCGCTATCTCTCCCAAATGATGACTGGGTGCGGCAAAGCCTGGTGTCGCAACAGATACTGCAAGACAGCAGCAACGCACGGATCGTCCGCAGGAACCGACACGCCAGCCCTCCCAACAAGCGCAGCGGCCATTCTAGCCACCGCCCGACCTCTAATCAATGCCCTCGATCTGGACCCCAAGAGCGTCTCCCCCAACACCGCCCCCTTCTACCTCTGCACCGACCAAGCGGGCCAACAGCGGCGTATCATCGCGGAGTTGATCGCTGCGGAGGGTCCTGGCGCGGGTGGGAAGGCGTACGATCTCCCGTGGTGTATTGCAGCTGTTGAAGCTGCGGGAGGAGATATCGAGAAGAGCAGGGAGTGGTTGGAGAATTGGGCTCCGGCTAGGGGGGAGAGTGCCGGGGGTTTCAAGTGATGTGGGTGATTAGGATACAGCGTTGATATATGTATGACATAACATATGGCATGCTGTTGAAGCAAGTGATGTATATAGACAATAGAGATTTAACCAAGCTTGAATACGTTGTATAGTTAGCTGGTTAGGTATAAATGATGGTCATTTTCATGAAATCATATATTGATTACAGTACGCGCCAAGTAACAAGTAACGAAGTAACGAAAAGTAAAGTAAGTAAAGTAAAGTAAAGTGAAAGGTCCACACAGAGGCGTCGTTGGAATATACAGTAAACAGTGTCAGGCTCTAACAAACACCCAGACACAAATCCTTCGCAGTTGAAAGCGCATCAAGCCGACCCCGTCTTAGCAGCCAACGAGCCACTCCCGCGCGAGGAAAAAATGCCCATGATCCCAAAAACGACATAAAACAGCGCCAACGGATACGCCACCAATCCCCTCATACCGCGCATCCGCGCCACAGCACAGAACATCCCCGACGAGCTGTACGTGGACCATCCCACAGCAGCCGTCGTCAGAAGATACCCGAACAGCGTATCCATCGGCAGCATGATGCCCACCAAGTTCGTCAGCACCAGCGGCAGAAAGCAGTAGCCCAGCACGCTGGCGGAGCGCGGGAATGTCAGCGTCGCGGAGAAGTGCCCCGCGGCGGAGGCGTCGGACATGCTGGGTTTGTGGTGCGGGTCGTAGTTGGCGGATGGGTCGGCTGCGTTGGGGGGTGTATGTAGGGCTGTATCGAGGGCGGGAGACATCAGGCTGAGGATGAGGTGCAGGGCTACGGTGCCGAAGACGGCCACCCCGTAGATGTACCCGTAGAAGACCTTTCCTGAGAGCAGGAGGAAGGTCCCGTAGAGCACGATGTAGAGCAGGGCGCCGTACAGGTCGCTGTCGTCCATTAGGTGTTGGTCGATTCGAGCGAATGGGTTGAGAACGGTGAGTGTCTACCATCCAGACAGACATATTAGCATCAGCATGAACTTGTCTTCGACCAGCAAGAGGTACGGAAGAGAGGGAGAGCGACGCACCTTCGTCCGAATATGTTCAAAATTCACCCCCAACTCCTCCAGCAAAGGCGGCTCCCCATCATACCCCTCCGTCCCAAACGCAGCAAGCCACCCCGTCCGCAGACCCCCCTGCTCGCCCATCCTCCCACTCACGCCGCCCACGCCCGCCGCAGCGGCCCCAGCCCCGGCCGGAGACCCGAACCCGTATCCGCCCCCGGCACCTCCGGAGTAAGCCTGCGCGGCGGGGTTGGATGCGCCGCCGAATCCGCCGTACGAGGCTTGCGAGGGTGTCGTGTGGCCGGATACGGAGCCGTAGGAGGATGGGTAGAATTGGAGGTTTTGGGCGGATGGGCCTGGGCCGCCCCCGTAGGGTTGTTGCTGTGGGTAGAATTGGGCCATGGTGGCCGGATGATGTGTTTATGGATTGGGAGGTGTGGAGGTATCGAGGTTAAAAGGGGTGACCCTGGTGGTTATTGTTGAGTGGTAAAGCATTGATGCTCACTTCGCACTCCGAGTGATCTACGTAACAGGTGTCGGCGGTGAGCTCCATTATTGTGGCGGCCTCAGGCACACAACCAACACCCGACTTGACCCACCCATACTCAATGTATCTAGTACAGATAGTGGTATGGAATGCAACAATTCTATACTAATTCCTACACACACACACATTATTCTACAGGAAGTTGATGCCGATCCCCAGCTGCAATCCCTTCCGACCCTCCTCACCCTTGCGCAACACCAATGGGAGGGAAACGTTCAGCTCGAACCGCGCAACCGGGTGAGCGTACACCAGCCCGATTCCAGCCGCCATACTGGGCAGTCCATTGCCCAGCTCGGAAAGCGTAGAGGCCACAGCGTCCTGAACCTCCGCACTGGTGCTGGGTGCCGTCTTCTGCGAGGTGCGCAGAGGCAGCAGGCGTCCGCCGTTCACAAACGCCTGGAGACGGAGAGGCTTCTCAGCGCCCACTCGGGGAAGGGGGAGAAACAGGTTGGCGCTTCCCGCAGCGTAGGCATCTCCGCCCACGGCATCCTGCCCATCGCGAGGTCCGAGACCACAGAGGCGGAATCCGCGAACATCGGTGGGCCCTCCGAGCAGGAAGCGATCGTTGACGCGCGAAGGCTGGGGCCGGTTGTTGGAATCGAGTCCGAGGGGATAGAGGAGGCCGGCACGGAAGCTGGTGGTAAAGCTAACCCCGCTGTCGCCTTTGATTCCAGGAATGGGGATGGGGATTGCGCCCTGCGTCTCAATCTCGGATTTCCAGAAAGAGACGTCTCCCTTCAGAGGTCCCAAGCCCGCCAATTCGTTGAAAGCCTTGGCGTAGTACCCGCGAGACGGGAGGAGAGGGTTGTCTCGTCGGTCTTGGGTCCAGCTATGGAAAATACTGCTCTTCACGCTGTCGCCCGCATCCGCCCGGACCGCCAGAGACGCATTGTCGGCCAAGCTGGTCATCTGTCTCCAGAATCCATTGTAGCCGAGCTCATGGCGATGGCCGGACTGACTCAGCCACCGGAGCTTACTCCAGCCCCCCTTCAGCACCTCTTCGTGGCTGGCCCATGACTTTTGCGTCGCACTTGCAAGACCGCCAAGCTCGAAACGGAAGTCGGGGTCGCTGAGAATCGGGGTCTCAAAGGTAGCCTGGTAGGCAGACCGGGTTCGGGTGCCCATGGAAGCGTTCAAATTCAGGTTTTCGGCACCTCCAAACACATTGCGCCAGAGGAGGTTTCCAAATGCTGATCCCTCGGTGTTTCCGAGATCGGTTCCCGTCTTCAACAGGACGCGGGACTTCTCCTTGGCGGAAATGTAAACATCGAGGTTAGGCAGTCCGGTCTGGATGTCAGCGTCGGGTGACTGATCCAGGTATACGGAGACCGGTTGCTGAAAGACATCTGTATCTAGTTAGGATTGTATACCAATAGCGGAGCTGTTCAGACAAAACCCACCAAACCTGCTGAGCTTGTCCGCGCGTGCCGACACCTCCCGCAAGGCCTCGGCGAGCGTATACGGCCTCGTCTTATTAGTGCTTAATAGAGGATCGAAAATCCGTTCCAAAAAGGCCCTGCGAGTGTTTTTCGCGTTGAGGACCTGGATTGACGAGATGGCGCACGGCAGGGTGGAGTTCTGGTCGATCTGATGTCATAATAGAACCGGTAAGCTGTGTTTCCTTCGGCTGGTGGGAGATACAGTATAGACAACGATTGACTGAAGAAGAAAGGGTACGCACCAGCTCTCCCAGCCGTGACTGGGCCTTTTGATAAATGACATTGACCCGTTCGTTGACAGCTTGCTGCTGCTCTTCCTGTATTTTCGGGTCCGCACGGTGCTGCAGACGCTCGAAGATCTAGACACGACGACAATTAGTACAAATTTCACAAGGAAGCTGGTCAGATACACTCGATTGAAAGAGTACATACATCTTCATCTTCGGCAGAGAGAGTGGACGACATTGCGGCGAGGGCAATGGCCAGAGAAACCTTGAGCAGGCAGTCTCGGATGTCACCGTCGAGCATCTTCCGCAGCTGGCGAGATGAACCCGAGGCCGCCCCCACGTGACCCTCGCTCTTTGACGTCTGCTTCGGTCGGCGCGTTTCCAGGATTACGACGGTTCTCATCTACGACCACTTCGACGAGCAGTTCTCCTACTTTCTACTTGGGCTGGATCTTTGAAAAATCAAGTGTTCGCTTGTTCTGGTCATTTGCGTGGCAGTTTTATTCCATACTTCTACCTCCATATCGCCGACGGCGGAGGGATCAGCCCACCAAGAGTTGCACCAACGATGGCTACCAAGGCGGCCTTTAAGAGAGTCAGTCGATTTTTCTTCAGACAATGACCGGGAGTTCAACATACTGACCTTGCACAGCTCACTCGCGAATACCAGAATGTCCAGAAGAACCCTCCGCCTTTCATTATCGCCCACCCGTCCGAGTCCAACATCCTCGAGTAAGTCGTCTACACTGTGGCAATGATTTCGAAAACCCAGCCTAATCAACATCCAGATGGCATTACATCCTTACAGGTCCCCCGGGAACCCCTTACGAGAACGGCCAGTATTGGGGTACCTTGATGTTCCCCCCTGAATATCCTTTCGCACCCCCGGCGATTCGCATGCACACCCCGAGCGGCCGGTTCCAGCCGTCTGCGCGATTATGCCTCAGCATCAGTGATTTCCACCCAAAGTCTTTCAATCCGGCGTGGGAAGTGTCGACCATCCTCATCGGTCTCCTTTCCTTCATGACCAGCGAGGAAATGACAACCGGCAGTGTTGGCGCGTCGGAGGCGGAACGGAGAGTGTTGGCCGCGCGATCGAGATGGTGGAACTCCACTGGTGGAGGTTCTCACGTCTCTTCCACCCCCGGGGTGACACCAACCGCCAAGGGCATCAATAATGTGAAAGCGGGAGATGGTGGCGTCAAATTCCGCACCGAATGGCCCGAGCTAGACCAAGACAACTGGAAGTGGATGCGAGAGAACCGGATCGATACCAATACTGGCCAACTCATTCCGGATCCTAATGCGGCAGCCCAATGCTCCCCGGAGACCACAGCCTTTCGCAGACGCCCGAACGGCAGCGCCCCCAAAATCGGGGCTGTAGTCGGAGGTGGCCATGTCGCACGCGAAGCAGGCCAAGGGTGGATGCAGCGCAACAAAGTCTGGATCGGCGTCGCCGTTATGTTCGGGTACGCTTTGCTCTCCAGACTAGTGAGGGATGTCCAAGGTTGAAATACCCGAACGACTTGAACAACCTCTAGTCAACAACCGCGGTCATGTCGTGAGATCGCGTCGACAGCTGTGCTTGCAACCGTGAACCCCCTCTGTCCAGCGTACTACCTCTCTACTCCCCTCTACCTTGTCTAGCGACAGTCGTTGGAAGCGAATACAACATTGTATGTTACTCGGAGAGTTACAGGCGTTCAAGATGGTATGGAGTTTGGCATTTTTTGTCGAGTTCGACCCGTTGAAACGGTACTCGCTCGTCACGAGAGCAGGTCTTTTAGAATAACAACGAGTTACCAGTGTATCATGCTCCACTCCTGTGTACTAGACTATGTTTTCCCTCCTACTATCGATATTCCGCGGAGGCGATAAGTCTTATCGAGGCCAGCGTAATTCCGCGGCCCTGATTGGCGTCGCCGCAGTCACGTGGCAATCGTCGGGAAAATTCCGGCGATTGCAGGATTATGTCATCCGCCCGAAGTTTTCCTTGGATGCGATCGTTGTTATAGATCTTTCTTGCTCTGTCGATATCTTCCACTCGCAGTTGAACGAAATCCTTCTCCCTGCTAGAATTCAGTCTACTTGATTCATACTACTCTCACCACAGCTACATCTGATATCCATCATGGGTTGGTTCTGGGCAGATTCGCAACCGGCTGCGAAACCGGCTGCCCCGAATCCTTTGGCGTCATCGGACAAAGCTCCTCCTGTCAGTATCTGCTATCCAGAAATATAATATAGTCCCTACATATTCTAACATTGCTACAGCCCGGATGTCCCATGCATAGCTCGACGCCACCTGCACCCGCGCCCCCCGCCGATTCTGGATCTTCCGGCGCATGCCCCGTCCGATCTCCCGACTCTCCCTTCTATGTCCAACAGAACCCCAAGCCCGAAGGCACCCCTGCGCCTTCTGTGCCCGCGAACGAGAACAAGTCTGTGCTGTCCAAGCTGAACCCCCTCAACTACATGTTCGCGTCGATCTCCCAGGAACGCGCCCCCGGTCAATCCGTCGACCTGTCGCTAGAACGAGAGCCTTCTTCGATACCGAGGGGCGATGCGGATACAAACTGGGAGTATCCCTCCCCTCAGCAGATGTACAACGCTATGCTGCGCAAGGGACACACCGATACGCCGCAGGATGCCGTCGAGGCGATGGTTGCCGTTCACAACTTCTTGAACGAGGGCGCCTGGGACGAGATTGTCCGGTGGGAGCGGCTATTCGCAAAGGGCCTCGGGAAGGGATGGGAGGTGTGTCGGCGCGGAGAGGAGAACATTGCCCATGAGGCGGCCATTCAAGAGATGACCGGCAATACCGATGAAGCTGGTACCCCGCGGCTCATCCGCTTCCAGGGTCGTCCGAAGGATTTGACTCCGAAGGCACAAATACTCCAGGCGTTGGGCTGGGCGTATCCGTCTAGATTTGGGTAGGTATCTCATACCCTTCTATGTTGTTCTTCTTACTGACGCTTTATCAGCACCAACCCGCCATTCGACCGACATGATTGGTTCGTGATGCGACAGACCCCGGCCGGCCAGAAGCAGGTCCGTTACGTGATTGATTATTACTCGGGACCTCCCGAGCCCACCGGCGAGCCAGTGTTTTACCTCGACATTCGACCAGCTCTGGATAGCCCCACGGCGGCAGTTGAGCGACTGATGCGCTGGGGAGGGGACGTCTGGTGGCGCGCCAGCGGCGGTGCAGTCCGCGAATAGGGCGGACACTGAGCCGACCGCCTGGCTGCACATATCTTATGATTCTCCACTCTTCAACATTTCAGAGAAAGACGCTGGCGTCTGATTGGTCTTTTGCTCAGGACTGCGGCTACGGTGGTTTCAGTCTGCTGACTTGACTCTGACTCCCTTGGTTCTCTTCGGATTCTTCTTGTATAATTAAGACGGTACGGTGCATGGTGGTGTACGTTATTCGACAAAACTTTCTATTCGTTGTTGGCTATATATGGAGCTGTTTTAATATCGTTGATATTGCTAGATCTTTCCATTCGTAATGTGGCATGCCAGTACCTAGGTACCTAGGTGCCTAACTCGTGATGATAGGCATATTTGTAGTACAAGGCAAATGAAATATATTTTCCAAATCCAGCATGCTGTACAAGTTACACCAAAGCCATCAAGAGTCACAGATGGCAGCAATTATTTACAAATCAGATCGATCGTGAAGGGAGATGCATAGTTTCCTCCAGCCGCGGCATACGCGTTCACAAGTGTAGACGTTCTCGCCCCCAGCCGGGTTCCAGGGAAACAAGGAAAAGAAAAACTGACCTTTTCGGTCCTGGTTCAAATATTCGGTGATAGCAGATCAAATTTGACGCAATTCTCCACACTCTCGATGCTGGCCTGGAGCATTCCACGGGCTTCAAGGCCAACCCAGACGCGGAGCATGGAAGTATTGCCGGATCGGACGTTTCGGAGGAAGGTTGTCTTTGAGCCAAGTGTGCGCAGGATAGGGAGGGCACTAGCAAGCAAGCACACAAAGTCAATCAGACGGAACTAGATAGAACCCAGCGATTCGAGGCCTAGGGTCAGTAGCAGAAACGAGGTATCATCGACCCACCTCTTGAATAGATCTAGATTGGGATCGAGCTGTCGCCCGATGCCTTCGAGGAGCAGGATGGAGATGACGACGTTGACGAAGTCGCCTTCGAGTCTCACGTGGTGACTCCGTACCATGGAGAGCACCTCGCTCAGCACGTCGCCGATCTTCACGTTGCCTAGGGCGAAGGTTCGTGACTTTACGCTGAGGACGAGGTGTTCCATCCGCACGGCGAAGACGTCGGGGTCGATGACTGCGTCGGGTTGGCGACATCGCTCGACCATGAGCTCGCCTGCGCGAATGCCGTCGAACTCTGCGACTGCGAGGAAGAGGTCCAGGAAATTCCGTCGGTTGGTGTCGTCGAGTTGGGTCACCAAGCCGGTGTCGATGAATATCAACTGCGGACGATATCCTTCCAGGTTCAGCTGATTGAGAGCGCTCTCCCAATCTTCTCGGCAATGCACATGGGGCCTCAGCCGCCTGAGCACGGTCTCGGTCACATCGACCTCCGCCTTGGTTGGAGCTTCAGACGCCCGTGTGCGTTTGTGGAGCGAGAGGTCCAGCTCGTTGGGCTTGTAGAAACGGACCATGATGTTCCCCGGGTGCAGGTCTGCGTGGACGAAATTGTCGATTAGGAGCATGTGCAGGAACGCGTCCAAGCCTTCACTGGCTATCTCGTGCTGGTAGACACCTCCACCTACGTCCAAGAAGGTCGACAGTGGAATACCTTGCGCGAATTCTTCCACGAGTACTTCCCGGGTTGTGTAATCCATATAAGGATAGGGAAACCAGGCAGTGGTACGGGATTCGAACTTCTCGCGGAAGATGGCGAGGTTCGTCGCTTCGATCCGGAGATCCATCTGGAGCTTCATCATCTCGCCAAACTGGTGGACCTCGTCCGGGAGAGACAGCCAATTCATGGTCGGGAGAGCATTGATCAGCGAGGCAAATAGCGACATGATCCTGAGGTCCCTCCGGATCACACGCTCGACTTTGGGATGTAGCACTTTGATAGCCACATAAGACGACGGCACCCGCTGGGGAGTGCTCTTGACCAGCACGTCCACGTTTTTCCTGACTTTGCCCCGTAAGCTTTGTGGCCCCGGGGGAAGGGTGCTCTCGACACTGGCCGCCAGGTTTCGTTTGAGCTTTGCTTTGTAGACCTGCGCAATGGCGCCCACCCCAAGCGGTTCTTCATAAAACTCCTCGAATATGTCCTCGAATGGTATCCCATGAAAGGCCTTGCTTATCGTTTTCTTGGTGTCGCGCAATGAGTGTGCCGGTGCATTCGAATGGAGAGACGACATGATACTGCACAGTTCCGGAGGGAAGATATCGCTGCGTGATGCGGCCCATTGCCCAAGCTAAAGTAAATCATCTCCGTAAGCTACCAATTCAACCTTTGCTCGGTCCAAGCAGAGTACGAGGAAATACCTTAATAAAAGCTGGACCTGCTCTTTCCATCGAGCTAACGAGAAATCTATACCACCATATAGTCCCAGACCGAACATTTCGACGACCATCGACTCGCTTTCCGAACCAGATAATCGGGGCCGAGATGATAACTGGCAAGAAGAGAACGGCCAGATGAACGAATCGGAAACCTGTAGCGATCGGCTCATATATGTAATTGCACCAGCAAATATACAAGGACTGCCGCAATCTTTCCAGCCCCTTTGCATCTTCCGCGACCTGTTTCCTGATTTCTTCACGGGAGATCTCCAGCATTTGTCTTTCTCGGGTCTTCCCATTCCCGTTGTCATCCTCGGCTGCGAGCTCCAGGAACGCGCCGGGAGTCAGGACTGCGCAAAACGCCACCCCTGTAATCGGTAACCCTCTCTGGAACCTCTTCCAGCCACTCTGCGGCCATGGCGAAGGGCGACTATGGTGGAATCGATGTGGCGGAACGAATCGGGACGGAGAGAGTTGCGGGCGTCCACGGCGCAAACAGAAACGGCCGAAGAGGACGGCCGTCCTCATATTCTCATATGGAAATCAGCTTAGCGAGGGCTGAAGCACTGAGGAGTGACACGCATTGGCAAACTCGAGTAGGGTCAGCCTGTTGAAGTGGGTAACTGACTTGATCGATGGAGAATGGATGGTCAGACAGGTTGATTGACCAGCCGGGCCGGCAATCTGCACGTGCTGGCGAGGCGACGTCATAATCTCCGCGGTTCATCGGCAAGCAGGGACATCATCCACCTTGATACAAGGCATATCATATTTACGGCGATCCACTTCTGTTTTTCTACTATTTTACTTGTTTTGGTGTTGACAATATTCTGACACGAACCGGAACCCCAGTTGTCAAAGGTCTAGGTCAATTTAGGTCAGCTTGTCCGCATTCTTGAATGTGGCTGGTCCCACCAGGACCTACGTTCTGCATGCACCTCAACTGTCCGCTCCTCTCGTCACTTGGCTGTCAAGATTTACCTATTCCGGCTGGCCCTGAGATGACAATGTGATTTTCTCCCAAATGGTGGACCAGTTCTGTGTCCGTGTTGCCACGGCGGCCGAAAACGGCGGGAATTCAACACCTCTCTATTGCGGCCATACTCCCTACTAGCTACTCGCCCTTTTAATATTAAACCGGCCCAAGCCGTCTTTGAAAAGCCTGTTCTCTTTCTATCTTATACAGTGAATATGTGAAGCCAATATGGGTCGCCCCGAAAAATTGATTGACGAGGAGTCGCACGTTGCGCCGGTTTCACGGTGTCGACCGTGGGTCCCTTTATTGATATGGTGCGGGTTCGGTTATTTCTGCATGGCTCTGGTCTTCGCTGTCGCTTGCTATGCGAAGCCATCTCTTCTCCAACTTGGGCTTCTCCCCGTCTTTGTTCAAACGGGGGTGCCGGCTCCCTTCTACGCATACTCCAGGGGTTCCGGTCAGTTCGCCAAACCCGCGAATATCAAGACGGTTGCTTTGGTGCCGTTTCGCGATCATAAGAGGACGGAGATACTAGATTGTTACCTACAGGTAGGGCTTCTTGCCGAATCGATTGATTGTTCTATGCTTACATGCTCGAAGAGAAACCTCGTAAAGAATCACGGGTTCCTGGATGAAGTGGCCTTCATCCCACTTACAAACGACACAACCAGCCTGGAATGGCTGGCTTCGACGGTCGAGAAAACACCGCAATACTCCCTAACATCATCAGCAGAGGCCAATTCTAAGGCCTCGCTATACATATGGATCGATGGCGACACCGTTTTCTTCGAAGACCACACGATCCCCACAATTGTCAAAACAAAGCTCGATCATCCGGATTCCCTAGTGGTTTCAGCAAACGTTGTCAACCAAGCAGCGCTCAAATCCCTGCACAGTCACGCCGGCGTGGCGCTATCTTACCTTCCAGAGCTATCTTCCACATCACCGCCCAGTCCATTCAGAACCCAGATAGGCCAAGAATGGCGCGCATCGCAGCTCCCGCCGTGGGAAGGCCCCAACGACTTCAAGGTCCAAATGGGGTTTGTCGCGCCGTCCCAGAACCACCGCTGGCTCCGTTCGGGCGATTACGACGGCGACCGGACACCAATTGGCATGTCGATGTACAGCGACGAGGGGCCTGGGCTGGACCACTGGACGGTCAGCGCCCAGCAGCATTATTCTTTTCTTCACCACTTGGAGCTGGGTGGTCTGCACCATTACAAGTTCCCCGTGTGGAATAACCCCAATGGAGCAGTGAGCCGGAACTTTCTGTGTTTTGAGGGTGGGGATGCTAGTGTCGTTCAGTCTCTCATTGAGCATGGCGAAATGGACGAGCTGTCATCGAAAACATGGGAAGACCACAATTATAGCCATGTAATGATTGATGGGAAGGGGTTGGCTGCGCATTACTCCGCTGGATATCTCGAAGGGCTTGATTCTACTGATGTACTGGAACGGTATCGGGCCTATGCTCAGGAGATGGTATGCCCAGGGCTACTGGATCCCGAAAGTATTGGGGACTAGGTCTGGATACAAGAGGATCTGTACTGTGTCTTTTTTTTTGTTGAATCTCTTTGTCACGGATGTATTGTAATTGACGATTCAAAATGGCGGCCCAATTCTATATACTGAAATAGTATCTATACCATCCAACTCAAGACTGCCTGCTTGCCGCCAAGTACCGCGGAATCTGATCAATCTTGATATTCTCAATCAAGTCCCGATGAGACGTCGACAACGCGTCAGACTGTAAGGGTATTAGAAAAAACATGGTCAGCCAGTGGAAGAAGAAGGAGAAGGGGGGGACAGCATAATAGCATCAAGCATCAAATACTCACTTCGCTCTTGGCCAATTCCTGAACCAGGATAATTATATTTTCACAATCCTTATTCAACTGCGGATTCTCCGTTTTCTCCGTTGACCCAGACACACCCGAGTTGACGGTCTCTTCGAGTATAGGGAACAGATCCATCGTCTCCATGCAGTGGATGACAGCTCCCGCGCCGGGCTTGCGCGACGCCATCAATGCAAGGGCGAACCAGCCCTCGCTGCGCACAACGGGCCACTGCGTTTGGGTGACCATTGCGCCGAGGGGGAGAGAGACGCGCTCGTGCGGACCGAAGAGGCGTTCGTGCAGATCGTCGGTCGGGGCGTCTTGGTCCCGGGATGCTGTTAGGATAGAGCGACACAGGGAGGCGATGATACGGCCGACTTCGATCTTGATCGGGGTGGAGTCTGTTTTCTCGAACGCGGAGAGAAGCAGTGACAGGTACGTGTGGCTTGGGTCGGATGAGGCTTCGTCTGAGGGGACTGTGGCTAGCACGCGGGAGATATTCTCCTTCGACGAAATGAGTAGCTGTCGTGTGAGACTTATGGCCGCGAATTGCACTTGTGGGACAGTGTCGTAGGCCCACAGGCGCGATATAGCAGGGACGATCCCGGCCTCGCCTAGACGGAGCTTGTTGTCGCCGGCGATGGCCAGGTTCTTCAGGAATCCAAGGGATGAGTGAAGGACGGAGCCGCGCGCGTCGCTCTTGAGGATGTCTATTAATTTTTGGTGGATCTGTAGGTCGCGGACGATCTTCTCGCATGCTTCGTCTGATCGCGCTAGGTTGCCTAGCATGACGCAAGAACAGATCTGGAGCTGGTCGTCTGCTGTTGAGAGCCACGATGCCAAGGTCTTCGTGAGAGTGGAGTCTAACGGATACACAGTTGTGAACGACGGGGAGGCGGACACCTCTGATAATGTCTGGTTGATCTTCAGTTGCAGTTGTGCCAATGTCTGGATGTCCTCATCAGAAGCGTCGGTCCTGATGGTGATTGACCGTTGAAGGATCGACAGAAGATCAGGAACCATGTGCTTCGAGATGCAGGCTTCTTGGAATCTAGCATTCTCCAAATACGCCATGAGACAATTGACCAGGCAGGCAAAGTGCATGGGTTTCGCAGTCGCAGTCGTATCAAGTGCAAGCGCGGTCAAGAGGGAAATCGTCCCAATTGGCAAGTTCTCAATGCTTTGTTCTGTAGGAATTGTGAGCACCGCGTCGTAACCAAAAGAGAAGCCCATACCTTGCTCGCCAGTCAGGTCTATAAGCTCGTAGACAAAGTCAAGGAGCGCTTCATTTTCCTTGAACACCCCCTTGGTGATCAGGCTCAGTAGGATATATACTATTCTGTTCGCCGCCAGCTGGGCCTGGGCAGGCTCTACAACCTTATCAGCACACATTGTTACACTTGAGACACGGTGGCGCTTACCGTAGTCAATGCACGTGTTGTATACAACAGGGATGACCACATTGATGAGTTCGGGGTTCAGCGAATGCCGGACAATCGCTGCAGTATAATTACCATCCACGACCAAGGCTCTATTTTCATCTATACATCGTCAATATAGGCATGCTACCACAAGAAAGGTGGTAAAGCTCTCACCCGCGTCAGCGCAGGAATTCCCAACCAAGCGCAAAGAATGAAGAATCAAGCTATTATCAATAGCTTCATGCGAAGCGATAAGCTGCAGGAAGAAGCCCAAGATCCCGGCACGCCCGTAGGCATACCGCCAAGAAGCTTTAAACGAGTTAATAACGGATATAGTCACACTCCCCCCCCCCTTTGCTTCGTTTTCTTTCTTTTCATGCCTTAAGGAAAGGATACAAGATACATACAGTTTCTGCTCCCGTTGGCCAACAATTCCGCAGCTTGAACCATCAAATGGGAACTGCATGCCCACAACTTATCTAGGATGCCCCGCACTGTCTCAAAATCCGGGCCTACCTGGGCAGAGGATGTGGAGTCCTGGGCGTCAGAAGCCTTTGTGATTTGGCCTCCTGCTTCGGCATTTCGCAAGATGTCCTGCAAGGCACTCAAGAGAGCTTTTTGCTCTTCTAGTGGGAGAGACTCCGATCCGCTCGGTGCTGCAGCTGGCGATGATGGAGCCAATGACGAGATGATCACGTCCAATGAGGGGCTATCCATGTTGGATGGGTCAACACCGACATCAACGCCGGTGGACTTCCGGGGCGTCTTTGTCGCATCTTGGGCGCCCGTTGCTTCCCGAGTACTCATGCTGACCAGTGATTTGACGGCAGAGGAAAGATCAAGCAAGAATTATGCGAGTGAGGAAGAATCGCGCTGATGTTGAGGGATTGCCAGTACTATCAGCTTCGATGTGACAAGTCTATGCCCCACCCCACTCCGAAGTAATGGTTCTAGGCGAACAATAAGCTTCCCCTTTTATGGTCTGGGTCTGTAGGTCGGATTCAACCTGGATCACCCATTTGGTGGAATATTCTCGGGACTAGTCTCAGTATTATATCTTTCTCCTTCAACTTTCTCTAGTAGAATGTGAAATAAACGAACAATATCCTTGTGAGAAGTTACAGGGAACGTGGACTGGACTAACAGGGATGGTTCTTGCCTCAGGCATTAACGTCGCCTTAGGCTATACATGGTTATGTAATCTATGTAATCTATGTAATCAGAATACACTATTATCATTTCTTACAGAGTACGGGGGCTCTGATTTGGGATATTTTCAGTCAACAGACCAAAGCTGAAGCTTTGTATCTGGAAGGAATCAATAGAGTAGAACATTTACATATGCAAAGTTGGGTCAGTACTCCCCATAATCGTCTAGAGTAGCTTGTATGTGGCTACGGGAAACGTTACGGCCACGGAGCGCATTCAGGAGCTAAACATGGGAGTCCGCGGACAACCTCTACTCCGTACTCTCTCCGACTCTTCTTTGCTTTACATATTCACCTATACACTCCTTTGTATTGAAGTCACCGGCACCTGATTGCTTGCTGTATATTTCCCATTGATTCAGTCGACCAACCAAATAAAATCCACCATTCAATATGACGCGCGCCCAGCAGACGATCTCGGTTCTCCTGCTCGTCTCATCAGTATGGCAACCTGACTCTGGGCAACGAAGTCCACTAGCTAATCATTGTCTCGTCAACAGCTCTACCTCGTTCTCTACCTCGGTCTGGTCCCCCTCAACACCACCGTCCAAAAGGAGGTCATCCCAGTTGTACGTTACACCCCCCGCAGAGCCCCCTCCCTCGTACGAGCACTTCCGACTGACACGCGCCACACTGCGCAACCAGTTACCGTTCTACGCCCTGATCTGCTTTGGGTGTTATCTTCTCGGTCGATTGGGGTTGGCGATCTTAACATTCAATGATGTACCCGAGGCGCACCGGGAGCTGCAGAAGGAGATTGAGCAGGCCCGGACGGAGTTGCGCAAGGTCAATGTCGATGTGGACTAGAGAGTTGGTGCTCGCTTCTTAGGTCAATTGATTGAGCGGTCTATCGAGGGCTTTTGTTACTGGGAGTCTCGTCTGTGCACTACTTGCGATGTTATACCCGAGGTTTTGGAAGTTTTCATGTGTGACAGTCGAAAATAAGGACAATGAGATCTGGCATTTACTTTCGGTTTGGGTTGGGGGGATATAAAGGGGACTGGCGTGTGATTGGGGGGTTATCTGAAGCTCGTCCAGTGGCACAGCGCACCTTACACTTCCCGTCAATAAGCCTGCTACAGTGAGACCAGATGCCAGTCCGCACAATCACCTCATCTTAGTAGTCAGAACTCTTCATGAGTCAAAACCTTGGTGAAATTCTTTCCTCCTTGTCTTGATACCCTCAATCACCTACATATCCAGGCCTGAATTAAAGCGAGCCAAAGATTCTACCAACTGCAAATGCAAAACTGCTTTTCTCTATCAATTACCATCAAGAACATCATTCGTAACGTGGCATGTTCGCCCTAACTCCTTCGAGCCCGAAAAAAACATAACCATTTTTTGTAACTCCCATGGAAGCAAGAGAGAATACGAGTCGAGCAAGGACCCCTCAATTATCATTCATCTCAAATGAGCGGGTTCTCCTTGGCCAGGCGGTCGTGCTCGTCGATATCCCTGTGATTGACCTGGTTAGCGAATGGTCATTCTTTGACCTGGCGAATAACTTACTTGGCTTCCCAAGGGTAGCAGATCCACACGTCGTCGGTCGTGACCGAGGCGTGGTAACGACCAGTCTCCATCATATCCGTGGGCAAAGAGCCCTTCTTCGGCTTGTTCTTGTTCTGCAAAAAAAAAGAGGTCAGATAAGATAACACCCACAACAACAAAAGCGTGAAAAACATACGTGCAGAACGAAAACAAAGAAGTTGGTCTTCTCGCCCTCCCGACCAAGCTGCTTCTGCGCAAGCTCGACATCCTTCTCGAGCTCACGGACGGCATACTCGAGCGTCGTCCGCGTGTCGTCGACCTCATCGACGATGAGAATGTTCTTGCCGATCAGGTTGGCCATCTCCAGCGAGCTGAGATCCAACCACTGTGTGCGGGTGACCTTGGTACCGGGGACTTCCTCGGCGTCGCCGCGACCGAGATCCTCGTAGAGGGACAGGCCGATGGCCTGGATGGGGATGTTGGGATCACCCTGGCGCTTGAGGAACGACCTGCACGACGAGTCAAGTCAGTACAGGGTCCCCTGTTATACAGTGTGGTCTCGCTTGACGTACCGGAGGATGCGAGCGGGGACGTAGCCACCGCCGCCGATGGCGATCATAAGGTTAGGGTGGAAGGCATTCAGGATCTGATCGGCCGAGGTTTGGCATAATTTGTGCACCTGTCATGATGGCAACAATGGGCTGTCAGTTGTTTGATCATTTGGGCCGGAGGTATTTGGCCGTATATGGAACTTGCGAGCCCGCAGTATGGGCGCATCACAACCTCGACGGTCAAGCGGGGTTTCGGCATGCTTGTGCAGTACAATATAGGCCTAGACCCGTGACATTTGTTGTAGATGTGGCGTGCACCCATAAATGGTGTTCGAATTCAAGGTGCGCGGCATACCTGGTTGTAGGTGACATAGACTTTTTGAACCATTTTGAAGGGAAAGTGACGAGTATTGCAACTCAGTGGGGAGTATAGAGGATAGAGACTACCTTCGTAGTGTAGGAAACTGATAAGGGCCAAAGACCGAGGAAAAGAAAGAAAAGGAAGAAAAGAAGAGAAAAAGAAGAAAGAAAGAAGAGAAAAAGAAGAAAAAAAAACCAAGAGAGAAAAAGATCCAAGTAGATTAAACCAAGTGGGAAATCCACTTACGAGGGGTAAGGGAAAAAAAAATGAGAGGGTATAAAAATTATCTGCCCGCGACAACCATTACCACTACCACATAATTGAAGAAATCAGAGTATGGGACACACAAGAGCCTTTTCCTCATTCGGACCTGGAAATATACCCAGGACCTATCATAACTGCAACACTCCCCACTCGCAACGGAGGCCATGCCTTTTTCGGTATTGATTCTACGGCCCGCACAGGATGGAGTCCACTTCCTTCTGGGAGGCAAAAATTGCCTGAAATGGAGGGAAAGGATCAAAATAATGGAAGGGCAAGTAGAAAATGTGTGAGAGAAAGAGTTTCGGATGTTTTTGACTTCAAACTTTAATTATCTATCCATCTCAGGTCAAACAGGAGTCTGCCCACCCGCAGAGTCAGGCTTGATCTGCTTGATCTCGAAGCCACCCTCGTCCTTATCCTCGCCTTTCTGGGGCCACAGGATCTGGCGCAAGATAATGGCCCGAACCATCTTGTAGAAGACAAAAATGTACATGAATATGAGAGGGAAGATCATGGCACATCCAACCACCTGGATCGGTTGGCATGCGAAGGCATTGCCGATGGCAAAGGTCGCGGTGATCAAGGCAGTATTGGGGAAGACGAACGAGTACCAGCCCATGGAGAATATCATCCGCCCGGGCCCTATCACGGACAGATGGGCAAAGCTTGCTATGAAAAAGAAGAAGATCGCTAGCCTGGATGGCGTCAGTGTGACTGTCTCAATGTCTTTGGTAAAGGGGAACCTACCCCCATAGCCACAAGCACGCGAAGTTCGCAACCACCTTGATGACATTCGCAGCTATCGCTCCGTTCCCCATGAAATCTTCAGGGAAGCAACGTTCTGCGTGGGCCGCCATGTTGACGACTCCCGCGACGGTAAAAGCACTGGGTCCAACTGAGACGAACATCCCCGGACGGACGTTCTCCCTGGGTAGCTTTTGCGACATCAATCGGTATATAAACGCCGAGTACACCATTAATGAGACCAAAAACCCGATACCCTGTATGGTAGCTCCGCCGATAATTATATCAAGTGAAAGAGTAGGGTCGAGCTTAGCGCTCAAAATCCCAGCGTGTGGGCCGATGATGAGCATCGGATATGCCGGAAATATCCATATCGGAGTCATCTGAGCGATCGTAAAAGTCTGGGTAGACCAACTACTCGCGATAAGTTCCTGGACGTCGGCTGCATCTGGAGATTGTCTTGCTTACAGGAGGAGATATATTCCACCGGAGAATATGACCGCAAGGGCAGCATCGATCCAAAACAGTATCCCCACGGCATGTTCAAGCCAAGGGCCCGTGTGACTTGGCCCATACTGGGAGATGTTGATCAGGATCGTTCCGAATGACACCACGGATGCCGGGACGAATAAGGATTCTGTCGGATGCAGAAAGGACGCTTTGAAGGTATAGGGGAAGCAATAAAATCGCGCGATGAGCAAGCCCCATATGATAATATAGAATGCTATATTGAGCAGGAAGAAAATGATGCCGATCGTTTCCAATCCGGGGAACCTATAAGGAACTGCCATCGGGTCAGTGTGTCTCGCGTCTCTGTGGGCCTGGGTGCTGGTTACCATTGTATATCACGTTAGCGATACCCCCGGTAGCCATGGTCAACGTGAAATAGGCCCATGTGAAATGGCGAATCCGATTCTTCCAGCTGAGGTGATCGTCTACCCAGTCGGATTCACCGTGGGAGGAAATTTTGCCATCCAGATCACTGCATCCCGATCTGCATGGAGAATTGCGTAGTGCCTGCAAGGCTGAAGAATGTGCCACACGCACCCTGGCACTCGTCGATTGGTGAAGGGAATTGCCGTTGCTTGTATCAGTGAGGTATTCTTGGGAATCGCCGAAGGCGGGCGTACGATACCCCTCCTCTCCGGGGTACCTCAAGTGTCTGGGACCTGAGCATTCGCGAGACATTGTCGTTCCAGGAGAGATGGCGTGAACATGATTTGAGACTCGAGAACCGGCCCACTGTCTTCGTCGAACCAGGCGTTATTCTTGCAGCCTTTTATAGCCCTTTCACCAGCACTTCCTCCTCGCTTTCTCACGATGGATATCTTTACCCTTGTCGAGATTTACTTAGAAACCGACGTAAGAGAATGCAAGGGACATTCCAGGGGTTTAAAGGGGGGAATTCTCCGACTGGTCAACGCAGTATGATCTATACTAGATGTCAGGACGCCGATCACCATTGGCTCGATTCCGCAAAAATGAGTTGCCTGTTCATGCACATGTCGAAGGTATGTTGCGCGGGGGGGGGTACAATGACGACAACAGACAGGAAACAAGAATAGCAGTCGACGCAATGAAATCATAAGAATGCTAGGTACGGATAGTTGAGTCAGGACTCACCTCTCAATCAATTCTGAAACTAAGCGCCGAAATCCGACCTGTCAATCGTGTGGCCGATACACCTCAGCGCCACATCATATCATGGCTCAGGGGATCATGGTCTGGATATGAACCAGATTATATTAAATACATTTCCCCGCCACCTTGACGGCGAAAACGCGACCAACTCGGGTATCGGCACGACGCCGGGACCTCCAGGGAAGATGGGGGCCTGTTTTCGCGGTGGGGGAGCGGGAACAAAAGCCAAATCAATCATCAGCCGGGTTTGCTTGGTCCAAGGGTTGACAGCACTTACCCGATGCATGGTCGTGCATGAGATAAATTCATGGAAAAGTACGTCTCCTTTCAGGTGGCCATCTTCCACAACGATACCCTCGAATACAACCCATGAATTAACATAGTTGAAAAGGATGGTTAGGATTGTGCTTGGTTCTCAGTTGGGAATGTTTGGCTCAACTATGAGATATCCGGTACCCCAGATATAAGCTGACAATCATGCTGATCAGTCGATGCATGAGTATGCCCGTTGACTGATAGTCGGTACATCATACGGAGAACCGACCCAATGAACCTGGACGGGCGGTTGCAGTCTGCATCAAGGTCGCATGAACCAATTGACATGTCTCTGGCTCGTGCCATATTTATTGTCTTCCTATTTACGGAGTGAAAGCGACATGGATGGAATTCCCATTAATTTCCCGACAGACGCAGGTGAAGGATTAGTGGGGCTGACCTTCAATACTACACTGGTTGCGTCTGCCGTAGTGAGTCTCAAGCCACAATATCTTATCACGACTCCCGTCCACGGTCAGCGCTGAATATCCGAAAGAAGAATAGTCCGTTCCATTGAGGTCCATCCAAGTGGGGACCGAGGTACAATGGGGTTACTAACCAGCACCATGCACACCTTTTCTACCTACCTTGACTATATCGTGACGTTCTTGCTCTGATATGCTAGAAGCAAACGCTTGAAACAATATTCTGATGATTTAATCCAACTTCTCCATATCAAATAGCTTGAGTTTGACTCCGCGAGGTTCCGGCGAGAAAGTGGGGAAATGGCACTCTCAACCGATAACCGCAAGTCGGTCCTGATTACGGGGTAAGCTCTTGCTCACTTTCTGAACCACCCACAGCACAATTACCGTCAGGATGAGTGTTTAACTTTGGCTTCAATATCCGACCAGATGCTCTCCGGGTGGAATCGGAAATTCGCTTGCGCGCGAGTTCCATCGACGGGGTTTGCGGGTGTTTGCTACTGCACGTGATGAAGTAGCGCTGGGAGACCTCGCGGCGCTGGGTATCGAGACCTTGAGTCTGGTCGTGGATGACGAGCTCAGTGTCCAGCTTTGTTTCGCGGAAACCGAGAGGAGACTGGGGACGAAGGGTCTGGACTATTTGGTGAACAATGCGTGAGTGGTCTCTAGACGGATCCAAGATACAATGCTAATTCAATCTCAGGGGACGTAGTATGTCGCTTTAGCATAATCCTCTTCCCGATTAAAAGTTCTACCGGCTCATCAACTATAGATTACACTGTTCCTGCCATGGAAGTTGACCTGGATGAGGCACGCACGACCTTCGAAACAAATTTCTTCTCAGTCATCTTGATGTGCAAGACGTTTCTGCCGCTTCTGATCAAGTCCAAGGGCACAATTGTGCAGGTTGGATCTGTTGCTGGTGTCAGTAATTTTTTTTTTTTTCGGTAACTTGCCCATTTCCCACGGAACGATGCTGAGACCCATCCACTCCTAGGTTATTCCATATGTGTTTGGGTCGGTATACAATGCCTCGAAAGCGGCGTTGCACTCTTTCAGTGACACCCTGCGCGTGGAACTGGCTCCATTCGGGTAGGTTCCGCTTCTATTTGACCATCATCGTCTACTCACGTCAAATCATCTAGTGTGAATGTCACGACGATTGTCACCGGAGGCGTGCAGTCTCGAATCGCTCGTACCAAGCGGACCCTCGCTCCTGGCTCACTGTATGGTCCTATCGAGGGTGAATACGATCGTCGGGTGACGCACAGTCAAGATGGTGCCATGCCCCATGCGGCATATGCGCGGAGCGTTGTCGCGCAGATCTTATACGGAGCCGCTCCGTGGCGCTGGCTTTGGCCGTGGGCGCAGGGCCGCAAGAACTGGATCTGGGAGGGCAACAAGAGCTGGCTGATTTGGTTCTTGGTAGGCGGGTGGGCATGGAATGGTCTGTTCCAGCGCATCTTTACGAAGATGTTCCAACTGTACCGGTTGCGCAACACCATTGGGAAATAGGACGAACGGGGTAGTAGGCCTTGAACCTGGTGGGATGCCACTTCCCTGCCAACGAGACCATTCTATGCCAGTCCTGTGCTTGGCTACCTAGAGCAAGACCTCGAGATGTATAGATAGTCGGTTGTCGGTAAGAGTGGGTATTGAGTGGGTATGATTGTTCTCCTGATACGCGGCAGATATCTGGATAAATTTCACAACCTTAATTCGGTATGCGCCATAAAAACCTGTCGGTATCAAGTCCGTTTAAACTATTTGCCGAATTACTAGTAGTTTAGTCCCCCATACGGAGTAGTAATGAGAGTATGGTAAGGAACGGAGTCGGTACACATTATCCATTACCTGAACATTCAGTAAGTGTTGAACTTCACAATCCTAGGTCTCAAAGATGATATTAAGACATTTCTCGTCAACAGATAGCTGGAGATACCCCCGTACTGGTCAGTCTGGTACAGATCTGAATGGACCAAGCTTACCCGTGCGGTTTCAAGATCGGGACGGTATCGGCTGAGTCATCCCGGGACGGCTCAACTGGCCTATCAGATGGCTCCCTCCGCCAGGCGGTCAGCCAAACGCCTGACCGGATCCCGACCAGCGCAACCGTGAAAAAAAGAGATGAAAGCTCAGGCTGTTCCCCTGTTTGGCTCTGGTGTCAACATCGGTGTGGACTGCTCTTACCTTACCTAAACCTCACTTCCCACTTCCACCCCCCTCTCCTCTCTCTTCCCCCGGCTGCACGTCACTTCCCCCCTTCTTTTTGTCTTCGTGTTGTTGAAGAGTCTCAGTGCAGTCTGAACTCATCTTTATTTTCGTTTTCGTTTTCTTCTTATCTTTCCCTTCCTACCCCATATTCATCATGTTCAAGCTCGCCCGCAGCAGCAGGCCCATCGCGGCAGCTTTCAGAGCTGCGACGGTATGATTCCATGGACTGCACTCGCTTCTGGCGCATTGTGTCGATCAAAATCGTTGCGGTATACTGACATGCTTTGCACTTGCAGGGCCCTTCCATCCCGTCTCGCCTGGGTCAGCAGCAGCGTAACCTATCCATCCACGAATACCTGTCGGCAAACCTCCTCAAGTCGGTACGGCTAATCCCCTTTGGCGCCGTAATCGTTGTGGGTGTTCAAGTGACTAATCTGTTTGATAGTATGGCGTTGGTATGCCCAAGGGAGAGGTCGCTCGCTCCGCCGAGGAAGCTGAGGCCATTGCCAAGTCTATCGGTATATCTCAACCACCAATCGTCTATAAGAATGGATGCTAAGATACGATATCTTTCTAGGAAACGATGATATGGTGATCAAGGCCCAGGTTCTTGCTGGTGGTCGTGGTAAGGGTCACTTCGACAATGGCCTGAAGGGTGGTGTGCGCGTCATCTACTCGTGAGTTTGTTTTGGATCTTTCGTGCCGCGAATATCTGCGCTTCCAGCACTCGTGCTAATGCCGACTACGCCTCCAGGCCCACCGAAGCCAAGATGTTCGCCGATCAGATGATCGGACACAAGCTCATCACCAAGCAGACCGGCGCGGCTGGCCGTCTGTGCAACTCCGTCTACATCTGCGAGCGCAAGTTCGCGCGCCGTGAATTCTACCTTGCCATCCTGATGGACCGCGCATCGCAATCCCCCGTCATCGTTGCCTCGTCGCAGGGTGGTATGGACATTGAGACGGTTGCCAAGGAGACCCCCGAGGCCATCATCACCACCCCCGTCGACATCAACGTCGGCGTCACCGACGAGATGACCACCAAGATCGCCACCGAACTCGGTTTCTCCGAGCAGTGTATCCCCGAGGCCAAGGATACCATCCAGAAGCTGTACAAGGTCTTCATGGAGCGTGATGCCACTCAGATCGAGATCAACCCTCTGTCGGAGACTTCGGACCACAAGGTCATGGCCATGGATGCCAAGCTCGGCTTTGACGAGAACGCCGAGTTCCGCCAGAAGGAGGTGTTCTCGTGGAGGGACGTCACCCAGGAGGACGCTGATGAGGTCAAGGCTGCCGAGCATGGCCTGAACTTCATCAAGCTGGACGGTGACATTGGATGCTTGGGTAAGACATACGATTGCGCCGGTGGTTCTGTCATCTAATGCTGACCAATTGCAGTCAACGGTGCCGGTCTGGCCATGGCCACCATGGATATCATCAAGCTCAACGGTGGTAGCCCCGCCAACTTCCTGGACGTCGGTGGCGGTGCCACCCCCGCTGCCATCAAGTCGGCTTTCGACCTCATCACCAGCGACCCCAAGGTCTCGGCGATCTTCGTCAACATCTTCGGCGGTATCGTCCGCTGTGACGCCATTGCCCAGGGTCTGATCCACGTTGTGCAGGAGATGGGCCTGAGCATTCCCATTGTCGCCCGTCTGCAGGGTACCAACATGGAGCAAGCCCAGAAGCTGGTACGAATCTTAGTCTTCTTATTATGACGCAAGAATCCTGACGCTGACGATATCTAGATCAACGAGTCCGGCCTGAAGATCTTCTCCATCGACGACCTCCAGAGCGCCGCCGAGAAGTCCGTCCAGTTCTCCAAGGTCGTCAAGATGGCCCGCGAGATCGACGTGGGTGTGGAGTTCACCCTTGGAATCTAAGCTTCGAGCTTTGATCTAGTGTTTCCTACCCAGCGATCTGTTACCGTGCCTCTTGCATTGAACTTTTTTTATACTGTCTTTTTTTCTCTTCGCCAATACTGAGAGGGCCAACATGATGGTCGGGATGGAGTAGTTCGTGGGTCTCGCAGAGACCCCATAGATCCATGATACGAACAGTTCTGCTGTGCAGAGGAATAATATGAGTGGAGAGTGGAAAGTAGTGGGTGGAGAGAGTTGAGTTAGATCTGTACACTGTTGGATGTGTCAAGATAGCTGGAATTATTATAGAGCATTGATTCTGTATATTGGTTTGCCAGGTGATTCTTTCATTTATTTATTTTCCTTTTTTTCCAAGTTCCAATGCAGGACGCCAGACAGGATCATCAAAGCATGTCGTTATTCATTTAAGCGTACATATATCTCTTGATATATGTACAACATATCCCAAAAAGAAAGAAAAAGGGAAAAAAAAAAAAAACACAATACCAACCAAATCAAACCCCAACACCAGCCCCAAAGGAACCCCCCTCCCCAAACGACCAAACCTTCAGCCCATTCCCATCCGCCAAAAGAACAGCCTCTTCATCCCCGAACAGCTTCAAATCCTCCGCATAAGAATACACCCGGCCCGTAGCTTCCCTCGGCAGCTGCGAATCCATCGACAGCGCCGGCCTATGAGGCACCCTTGACCCCGGGTTAGAGATCCAGATAGCGGGCTTGCCGTTGTCGTTCTTGACGTAGTAGAGGAGGCCAGCGGCGGGGGACACCATGCTGAGGGGGACGAAGGGGGAGTGTTCTTTTTGGAAGGCGTGGAGGGTGTGGGTGTCTGTTTGGGGGTGGTAGGATATGACGAGGAGGGTGCGGAAGGATGACTCCATCACGGTGTGATCGAAGTGGGGCCGTCGTCGGCGGATGGAGAGGACGCCGAGTCGGTGGTTGAGTTGGGATTGGACGATGGTGAGTTGGCTGATGCTGTATGAGGAGTTTGGGGCGGCGGTTGGGGGCATTATGTTGAGGGGGATGGTGGAGGTCGAGGTGGAGGTGGAGGGGTGTGCGGAGGGGGAGGAGAGATCGTTCAGTGTGCAGCGTGTGATGCGCAGCTGGGCTGGTGGGTACTCGATGTCTGAGTCGAGGTTGGCGACGACGAGTGTGTTTGTTGCGGGGTTGACGTCCATGGAGACTAGGTTTGGGCCGATTTCGACGGTCTGGCAGGTAAGATGTGCTACGTTCCAGACCAGGGCGACGTTGCTGGAGGGGCCGGATTTTTCTGACGGTCCGAGGATGATGTAGTCCCCGCGGGCGGCGTGAATGCGCCAGTGGCAGGAGGATAGGCGGATGGAAGCGGTGTTGTGGGTGTTCAGGGACCAGGCATGGCAGTGTCTGTCAGATCTATCAGTGGGATGGATATATACAGGGAACAATGGGCGAAGTTGACATACCCCCGGATCGTGATGGCCGCGACGAAAGATTCAGAGAGGCGTAGGTTGACGAAAGCCTCTCGGTTTTCCGTGCAAAAAGAATGGAACGTGTCGGACCGGAGACTGTAGACGTCGACGGACTCGCCGGCCAGCCATGCATATCTTCCATGCGCGTAGTCGATACATGGGTGGTCGGGGGCATCGGGGAGGGGGGGCTCCGGGAGCTGGGATCTGGAACAAGGCTGTCCGCGCTCTAGACGGATTCGATGTTTGGCAAAGCGGACGAAGTCGGCTTGCGACTGGGCTGCTTGGGGACTGCTTCTCCGTCTGGTGTACTTTTGGATGATAGCTCTACTGACCATGCTAGACGTCAGGATTGACATCCACTTTTTGGAAACCTGTTTGGTGATCGTTAGCTTGTTGACATGGAACGGTTATCATGTGGTAGGTAGTATAGGGAGGGTCTACTCTCTGGAGAACATGGAGTTCCGATAGATCCAAGTATTTGGCAATCTGGACGGCAATCTCGGTGGGCACACTCCCTAGGATGTCTTTTTGGAAGGTCACCGAGCTCACACGTTCCTGTACGTCACGCCACTCGTGAGAGGATAGCCGGTCGAGAAGACCACGATATCTATCAGGGTCAATACTGGACTGTACGGGGTGGATCAGAAACACAGGGGATGGCTGTAAAGCAGAGCCTATCCACATACGCTGCGCGTCGAGCTGGAATTGTCTGTAGCGAGTCAAATTGACCGAGGAGGTGTAGGACTTGAGGGTCCATGTCTGCCATTCAAGCGTGGGTACTATGATCTATGTATGATGCCAGTCCATGGTCCACTGGGTTTGACGTAGATAGAGTGGTCGAATATCTTCGTATCAGACGGCATCGAGGTGAAGGGATTGGGTGATATACAACGCAAGTTCTAGGGGGCGTGGAGAGACCATGAGGTGCGTGGTCTTAAACCTAACAGTGTGATGCCAAGACCCGACATCGATTTCTAGATCTCTATTCTTTTATTGGGTTTTTGTCTCATCAGTCGTGTATATCTATCCAAATATCTATTATCACATCATACTAACTAAGACCTATCAGGATCGTATCATCTTTGGACGTTTGACCAAGGTAGGTTTGCTTGATAGGTCTGGAACTTGTCAAAATCGTGCTGAGTGAAAGCCATGGCACCGGAAATACCTTTCTTTGGCCCCTCTTTCTCCTCGTCCCCGAGGTATGGTCATACTCGTGGATTTCGACAAATCCAGACTGGCAACATGTCTCCTGTCGCCCCAGTGGGCTAATCTTGACAAGGATTACAACACGGATCCTCCCCTCTGATCCCTCCAGGAGGAGATCAGCGTCTCCTTTCAATTGTTCATATGTTTCCGAGTAACTGGCGTCCAAAGCACGCTGGGCCATATGTTCTCTATTAGTCCATGCTATTAGATATGACAGAAAGTCTGTAGACAACATACCTCTAGACAAGCGGCCACTGAAGCCTTTCAAGGCGTACCTTATCTCCACTCGCCAATTGTTACACCAATCAAGCTGTTATTGTTCGTGTTAGTTTACATGCGATATATGGGTCAAATATAAACCTACTGGGTCTTGATTGCTTCAATAGTGAGTCAAGATCTGTACTATCTAGTCCCATTGGGCTCGATCACGAGTGTTGGCTGCAAGATCGTGTTGCTTCTTGCGACGCATGGTGCGTAATGGACACGAGGTAGAGAAAATACAAGTCATAGGAAAGAGGCCGAGTAAGACCTTGTTGAACAAGCTAAAGTGTATGACAGTAAGAGAAAGAGGAAAAAGGTAACGTCCTAGATATAGCTCGATTATCATCATAAGGCAGCTGATTGATCTTGCAGTGAATATACCAGTGATATCTCCATACTTCTACTGAGTAGGCATGATATAGTCAGTTCACTGTACGCTGTGAATACAAGGAGTTATTACAGTATATACCTTGGTATATTCTCTTATTTGACTACATCATATATCAGATGTCATTGTTCTGATATGGATAAACTATAAAATACAACATATAGGTAGTATATAAATAGAGATATATATTCTATTCTATATATGGTGTATGTTAGTTTCGGCTGTTCCCGACGGTATTGAAAAGATTCCAAACTTTACAATAAAACAGACTCAACACCAGAAATCAAGATCAGACAATGAATTAGAATTGAAGAGGAGTATGGATTCATCATGAGAAGTAGCAGTGAAGGCTGTCAGGGGGATAAAAGGGGGAATGAAATAAGAATAAGAAAACAAAAGAGACCCGCGAATCGCAAGACCAGTCAAAACCAAGGATAATACCAAGAATCACAAGAATAAATGAATAGGAAAAGACCTTAATGATGAATAGGATAGAATGAGATCTGCTTCTTGGCTTCGACTCCGTGACATTCATCTGTTCCCACGAGTCCCTTTCCCTCCACGAGCTGTCTTTTCCATCATCTCCATCTACTCCCTCTCTCTCTCCTTTAATCACTCCCCTCCTTTCTTATTCATCCTTTTTCCTCTTCCCCCCATTCCACAGTCCACTCTTCCGCCTCGGTTTTGCCACTCCCGTGATCCCATCGAGATCAACAATAACAAGGTCATCAATAACCAGGTCACGACAACAGGGATACCCAACAGGTCATCCAGTCAACTCAATCAAGACAGATCGGGAGAGAAAAAGAGGGAAAAAAGAGAGAGAGAGAGAGAGAGAAAGAGAGAAATCTCCTCTCCAGCTGCGGCCGCTGGCCGTTCTCCCCTCTCCCCTCCCCCCTGGTCTCTTCTCTCCGCGCGACATGAGTAGTCTCGCCGACTTCCCCTCCAGAGATCCCGTCTTTTCTGGTCCGTCCCATGCGCCGGGCAAAACCCGCAAACTCCCTGTCTTGAATTCCTCCGTGCCTGCGTCGTCCTCTCCGTTGATGCGTGACCCCATGGACTCCACTCCTTCAGCTTCTGCCGCCGCGACTTCGGCCGCTCCGCCTCCCGTTCACTCCTCCTCCGACCCTGATCGACCGGGCGCAACCACCACCACCTCCGCCAATGGCTCTGCCGACGTCGCAAACATGAACAACCATGCGCCGTCCAATCAGGCCATCGGGGCCGCCGCTGCTGCACAGCAGCCCAAAGTCGTGCAGACGGCTTTTATCCATAAACTTTACAAGTCCGTTCTCTTTCCCCCCCCCCTGGTCCAGATCTTGGGAGCTCTCTCTCCCGCCCAGTGGCCGTTACTGACCATCCAAAAGTATGCTAGAAGATCACACAATCCAACATTTGATCTCGTGGTCCAACACGAACGACAGTTTCGTCATGTCTCCCACCTCCGAATTCTCCAAAGTTCTCGCGTACGATGGCCCGCCCGCCCCTAGACCACTGACAATCGAGAATACCACTAACACTATGCCTAGCCAATACTTCAAACACACCAATATCTCCTCCTTTGTCAGGCAGTTGAATATGTACGGTTTCCACAAAGGTACGTCGGCCCGGAGATTTACCCCGTATGCCGGCTCCTGACGAACGCAGTGAGCGATGTGTTTCATACTGGGTCCCCGGACTCTGCATTGTGGGAATTCAAGCATGGGAATGGCAACTTCAAGCGCGGCGACCTCATCGGCTTACGCGAAATCAAACGACGCGCATCCCGCCATGCTCTGATTCACCGCGACTCGTTCCCGGGCCATAAGGCGGCCGCGTCGCAGCCCGGTACGCCCGCCGAGCCGGTCCCCGATGCCACCGAGGTGCGGTTGATGAACCTCGAGCATTCCCTCTACGACATGCACAATCGCCTCAATCGCTCCGAGGAGGGGAATGTGGCCTTGAACAACAGATGTCAAGCCATGGCCGAGAGCTTGACCAGGTGCTATCACGTAAGTTGACGTCGGACGTCTGAATCCTTGGTTCGGCCTGTTGATGTTGGTAGTGGACCCATTCGATTTCGCGATTTCTTCAGGGTATTATACCCGATCGAGAGAGCCTTCTTTATCGGGATGGTGAGCCACCCCCCCCCCTCTCTCTTTTTCGGTTTTTTCCCCCCCGGCTATGTCTAACACCAGCAGTGTCTACCATGCAAGCGGAATTGGAAAAGCATCTTGATGCCATACGAGCCCTCGAAAATATTCCAGCAGACCCTTACTTGTCCGTTCGACCCCCATTCATCGCCAACGTGACCGAACCCGGTCCTCCGCTCTCCCCCCGCCAGATGCCTCAAGAGGAGTCTCGGAGACCGTCGATGATGATGGATGGAGTGCGGCCCAGCGTGTTTCGAGCCCCAGTTCCGCCCCACCTCGCCGTGTCTCCTCGTCGTTATGGCTCCATTGGCGCGCCGAACGCGTCACCCAACTACAGTCGGCCGCAGGTGCCCCCTCCCCCTCCGCAACAACCTATCCCCCATCCATTGTCATCGGTACCAGCCGCGAGCGGCCCCAACCTCGCCCGCCGACATACCTCGGCCGATATCCGTCAACACGGTTGGCCGCCTCCGGGGATATCCCCGTTCCCCTCCGCTCACCACCACGGACCCCCCACCGCTCCGTGGCCCCCATCGCCGCACCGCACGCCCACATCGAGTGAGCAGCAAGTTCGTGACGTGCTGGCTCAGTACGAGATGGGGGCACCCCGCCGTTTCCAGGAGTCCCGCCATGCCACACCCCCGCTCAACCCCGACCAACCCGCCCCCCCCCCTCACATGGAGAACGGGTGGCCGTTAGGGCCTCGGTTTCCCCGACATGATTCATCTTTGCCGGCAACTCGACGGTCGAGCATGGCTAGCAATGTCCACTCCCTCTTGAATCCAGCCGATACCGCCGAACGGCCGGATGAAGACCAACATGCAATGGACGACCGGAAACGAAAGCGACTAGAATAGGAGTATTGCACTCTGGCTTTGCTTTCCCGAATGTCTTCGATTCTTGAATTTGTTATTTCTCGGTTGCAGCGCAGAGAACCGACGTTCGCGCAGCACCGACTACTTTCATTTTTTTTCTTTTCTTCAACTTTATCTTTCTCCCTTCCTTACTCTTTTCTTTTCTCTTCTTTATTCTCTCTTCTATCTTTCTTTTTTAAACCTTCTTTCCTTACTTTTCTTTTTATTACATTTTCTTCTTTTTTTCTCCTTGGAAAAGTTCATATTATATACACTCGGACTTCTAAGTCCCGCATGGTGACATTTTAATCCCCATCTCATTGGACACTTACCTTTCCCATCTTGTATCTTGTCCACGTCTCTCGATGCAGAGCATTTTGTACAATCTAACCGATACGGCGGTGTTTTCCTTTTCTTTGTCATGCAGGTGTTATCGAGGCCAGTTGCAATAAAGGCCTGCTAGATTTGACAGCACAACCAGTGATATGAACGCGGCAGCTTTCATCACCATGGGTGACTTCTCATCTCCAACATGTCTGTCCACTTGGAACTGCGACATCTACTATACTATATACCCTTGGTTGAGGACAGGTTCTAAGGTCAGTCTAGAATCAAGAATGAATGCATTGATTCGTACTACAGTAGTCATCATGTTTATAAACACTGAATGGGTATATGTTATTATCCTATACATGTATGAAGACCATCACCGCTTCTTTCTCTTCTTCGACCGGTCTGCCAGAATCTCATCCAAGAAGCTAGTAGCTTTTCTCCGGCCTTTCGGTCCTGACGGCGCTGTCCGTGCAGATGCTGGTTCACTCTGCTGTGTAGACTCCGCACCATCACCCGAACCAGCCACACCCTCTGAACCATCCTCACCACCACCAGGGGGAGAAGTAGAAGTAGAAGTAGGAGTAGATCCCTCCAACCCCCTCTTCCTCCCATTCCCATTCCCCCTCCCCTTCCCTCTCCCCGCCCGATTCCCAACAGCAGCTATCCTCCCATCCTCCTCATCATCATCACTCTCCTCCTGTTTTTGTCCCTGTCCCCCACCAACATGTGTAGACCCCGTCGGCCGCGACAATAACCGATCCGACAACGTGCCCGGAACATTCCCATCACCAGTAGTAGTATTGCTTTTGGCAGCCATAACCTTCTTATAATTCTTCCCTAAAAGCTGTCTGCGCAGTTGGTCGTTCGAGGAGAGCTCGGTGCGGTTCCAGCTTCCGTCGGATGCTTTGCTGGGAAGGGGGGCGCCTATTCCTAGTCTTTACATTCACCACAGTCAGTACATTTTGTTCCATTGGGAAATGAAAAGAAAAGGAAAGAAAGAAGGGAGGACAAACGTCTCAGGAACAGCCTTGAAAATCTCCTCCTCCTCCCTCTGCAGCTCCTCCTCGGATTTAACATTCGTGTGTCGTTGTTCTTCTGCTGTTGGTGCGGGGAACCATGATGCGACGAGGCGTTGGCTGCGCGCGAGGGCGACGTTGGCTTTGTTGAGGATTATGTCTGTTTCTGTGGATTGGGTTTTGGAGAGGGACATTGCTCTTTTCCCTCTTTTTTTTTTCTCTCTCTCTTCTTGTGATTTTTTCTGGTGGGGTTCTTGGAGGGATATTGTATGGCTTTTTGTTCTGAGAGTTGGTATACAGGGGATGTTTGGTAGGGTAGAATGGATTGATTGCTGGAGACTGGTAGGTTTTTCGTGAATGTAGTTGATATCTGATATTGATGCTCGATATTGATGATTGATTGATTGATATGCGGAAAGTTTTGCGATAGCAAGGCGGAGGAGATGGGCAGAATCTCTACCGCTTACTTCATGGGTCACCTATAAGGCAGGCATCCGCAGTATAGTAAGGTTATACTGCAGACAGAGGTAATCACATGCAGCGTAGATCGATACAACCTGGCAATAATCAATCATGATGTCCATGATCTATCTATATTCTATCTATAAGTACATGTTCGAACACCACCATATATACAATACAGCCCCTATACAAACAAATCTATATTACAGTAGACCAGATACGATATCTGCTCAGTTACGGTTTCGGCTTGGGTATATACTTTCAGGCTCGGTCGTGTAGGCTTCGCGCTGGCTGTCTCGGTAGACGGGGTCGATGTCGCGGTTGATGACCTCGATGACGAGCTCGGAGACGTCTCGGAGGAGCGTGTCGCAGGCGAGTCGTGATTCGTGGTCTTCCTCTGTGAAGGCTTTATTCTTGCGCGTGGAGAGAGCGTCGAAGGCGAGGGAGAGGGACTGATAGGGTTAGATTTATTTTCAGGTTTGAAAGAAGAAAGTATAGTGAGTGAAAAGAAAAGGAAAGGATACCTCATCAACAGCTTTGCGGAGCTCTATCAACAACCTCCCAGCTGATGTATTCCCCTGACTTTCAGTCTGGATGTCGAAATCCACCCACGAATCCATGCGGATGTTATCACCCTTTGCTTGGATGTGCCCCCCAAACAGACACGCGGCGAGTGGTGGGACGTGCGAGGTCTGGTGGATCATGAACGTGTTCGGGTCCGAGGCAGTAGGCCGTTTGGAGCCAAAGGCAAACAGAGCCTTCGGGCGCCGGGCATTGACTGACATCTTGGAGATGTGCGTCGGTGCTGCATCCTCCGTCCGGTAGCTGGACTTTGCGGGCGCCCTGGGCGCGGCGATGTTGGGATGGACGGCTTGAAGCAGTAGTGCCTTGATGAGAGACACACGCCCGGAGTTGACATTCAGACCGGGCCCTCCGAATTGGAAATCGCTGCTGGAGGAATACCCCCCGCGGATGATCCCTGTGTTGCCGAGGGTTCTCACGATCTGTTTGCTGACGTCGAGCATTTGCTGGAACGCGGTCGTGTTGATGTGGTTCGCATAGGCAAATGAAACAGCAGCGCCACGGCCCTCTTGATACCGGATTCTGCGCATCTCCTTGAAGGCATTGACCATGCCGATGTAATCGCTCCACGAGTTGTTCGAGAACTTGAGACGGCTATCTAGAGCCTCCTTTCGCTGTGCCACGTCTGATGACACGTGGAACAGACCCTGTTCATTGTCCATTGCGCCTATGATTAAAAGGGGATCGAGGCAGCGGAAAATAACCCCTAGCCATATCAACTTGGCATAGGACGGATCTAGCGGTATGTCGAGAAGCATGTTACCCAGAGGGGTGAGCTCTTCCTGATTGTCTAACGCACTCATCCGCTGCAGACTCTTGATTGACTCGTCCACCATCGCGTCCTCGGGAGGTTCAATGGATTCTTGCAGAAGACTTTGGATAGACGTATAAGCCGTACCAGCGATGGCCTGTTTCGCCCGCAGAGACGTCGCCTGCAAGTTCTCTCGCATCATTGCGGGAAATTTGGTGACGCGGAAAGAATCCTGCATCTCCTTGGTGTACAGTGCGATATAGTTCCCCTTCTGGACACGCCCAGCACGCCCAGCGCGCTGAGCGGCACTGGATTGGCTAGCCCAGCAACATGCCAGCCGAGACGATCTCGACAGAGGATCGTACATCTTTTGATGCACCTTTCCTGAGTCGACAACAAAAGTAACGTCCGGCACGGTGATGGAGGTTTCAGCAACATCGGTTGTGAAGATGATTCGCCGACAGCCTGTTGGAACTGGTGCGAATAATTCTTTCAACCCTTCTGGCATGGTGGCATGCAGCAGTACAACCCGATACCGATCTCTATCGAGGAATTGGGATCCTAACAGATCCCCATTTCGTTTGAAAACATCGGAAGCCGCTAAAAGATGGCGCATGCCCGGTAAGAACACCATGATGGAGCCCTCCTTAGTGGTTGATAAGATGTAGTAGACTACAGCACTTATCAAACCAAGGGGAACGTTGGGATCTTCCTCTTTCAAAATTGCATCGGCTGGCTGTGGCATGGTCTGGCCTTCTGCAAGCGCCTCTGCAGGCTCTGTAGGCTGTTCCTCTACAGACTGCTCCTCTGCAGACCCCTCTGCAGGCTTCTCTGCAGGCTTCTCTGCAGGCTCCTCTGCAGGCTTCTCCTCATCGACTGCGTCAGACGAAGAGCCAGGCGAAAGTATGTTGAGCTTGGCCAGATATTGACGTGTTGTTGGTTCTGCGAGAAACCGCCCCAAAACTGCCGGCTTGTAGAACTTGGAAAGAGAACCGAGGATACCGTCGATATAATGCCTGGTCACTGGAAACGCGAACCCCTGAACTTTCAAGTGCGGCGCGGGAACCAAGGTGCCATCCTCGGCTCTGTTTTGGAAGTATGAGGCAAACAAGGGCACATCCAGAGTGGCACTCATCACGGTGACTTTCGGAACACGTTCACCCCGTGCTTGGCGTTGTTGGATCGAGGTCTTCAGTAGCAGCATAAACAGGTCAAGATCGAGATTCCGCTCGTGGACTTCGTCGAGGATAACGTGGGAAAACGTGTCAAAGAAACTGTCGGGGTCACGTATGAAGTTCAAGGCAATTCCATTTGTACAGTAAGTTATGGATTTATCTTGCGCGGGCAATCGAGTATCGAATCGAACACAGACCCCGACAGAGTCACCGACTTTCTCCTGCCTTTCTTTCGCTACCCGGTGAGCAAGCGAAGTCGCTCCAATCTTGCGAGGCTGGACACAAAGAACCCTGCAGGCCCCAGTGTTTTGCGTGAGCGCGTGGTCAAGCAGCATCTGAGGAACCTGTGTCGATTTTCCGGAGCCAGTGTCTGCCACCAGCAAAGAGTAGGTGTTGCTCTCTATGTGATCGACTATTTGATCTTTCTTCGCAGTGATTGGTAGCTTCTTGTTCTGTTTTAGAGCTTGAACTTTTCGAGGAGCCAGAGGGCGACCGCCGATTTTCGAAAACAGACTCGAGCGTTGGGTTGACGGTATGGGAGTGGTTTGAGGCCGAGCAAGTTGTTCATGTCTTCGCTTGCTGTGCTCTCTTATTGAATCAATACTAAGTCGTAAACCGCGCAATGTGCTCTTCATTGAAATGAGCATATCGTCGTCGATGTGGAGCTTATGCCGCTTCAGGTTAAGACCCGGCTCCTTTAATTCAGAAAGCAATCCCGCCTTGTAAAATTTCAAGGCCAGAGTTGTGAATGCCTCTTTCTTAGCTTGTTTCTGGGAAAGTTAGCCTACCGGCATATCAGCAGTGTAAATGGCGCGCACCTTCGAGGTTCCTGTGCCTTGAACAGTGACGGTGTCACCTGTACGGTTGATAGTGCAGCCAACTTTGCAGACAAAACAGGCGCCTTGTTGAAGAAACTCCTGGAAATCGAGCTGCACGATGCCTTTCATAAGAAGTGCAGTGTGGATATGCCCCGTTGGATCTTGCAAAAGAAACCCCGGCACGTCTCGAGAGTCCTCTCCACCAGGGAGATCTGTTTCCGAAGGAAGCGATTCCACCAGGTCATCATAATGCCCTTCATCAAGATATGCTCTTTCTTTCGGGGCATCCTCATTTTGCGGAACACGGGATTTTTCGCGGTAAGAAAATAGAGATTTGATTCTCGTCATCCAAGAAATCCTCGGCACCGGATTGTTATCCCCTCCATTCTGTTCTGCGGTGGCATTTCCGGTGGCGCTTTCAACATGATCGTTGGTGGAGGACCTTTGCGCCGTGTCGACTTTGGTTGTGCTATAGTAGGCCAAATTGCCTACTGTCCTGATCCGATTTCTGGGGCCGGCCGCACGGAAAAATCTATCCAGGTTCCTGGGTGAGGTATAACTCCTCGCGATAGCGCATGCAAAGTCTCGAGACTGGCGCACCACATAACGCGAGGCCATCACCCGTTTTGGGCGTATGTTTGTGATGTTGACTAGCAATTTGGCGTCATCAATGGATGGAAGGGAATTTCGAACATTCTGATTGCAAAGATTGTGTCGTTAGTTTCATGAATGTACCCGAGTGGAAGGCAAAAGTTGAGAAATCAACATACCACGAAGTTTCGCATCTCCGCGCGCTGGTGGCAAGATGCATTATTGAGATACCAGAAGCAGAATTCGCGTGAGAAACATGCGCGGGCTAGCAGATAGACATGTTTGCAATCATGAATGAAATGGCGGAAGTAGTTAAAAGAGCGAAAATCAGAAGAAAGCAGGAAGTGATTGTTGAGCATGTACGGAGTAGTTATCGGGGAAAAAAGATTGCTGGTATCAGTCTTGGCACTGGCCGATACATACATCAACCACCAACCGGTCTGTCAAAGAATACAATCTTTATTATATATAGTTGATTTCTGTTGCTTGTTTATTCTTACTCTGTATTTATCTGTACATCCTCTTTCTTCCCGTTTGTTTCTTCTCTCTTTTGTACCTGATATACACATTCATATATTCGTTATGTACATCAAATCTATACCTCTATAAAGCGTATATATACACAGCACTAAAGAATACAGGGTATGAAAATCCTCAGTAACCAAGATCTCCCCTCTTATGGACTAGCCTCCTCTTGGTGTCTCAACTTCAACTTCTTCTCCGTCTTCATAAACTCTCGAATCCCAACCGGGATATTGGCGAAGATGTCCTCGTTGGAATCGGCCTCGGACCAATTCGTATCGCTACCGCCGCCATCATCGTCCATGCTGATGCTCGCCGACTGCACTTCCTTCCTGGGTGTCTGACGAAGGTCTTTAACTGGTCCCTTTTCTGAGGCCTTAGCCTTGGCCTGGATAACCCTCTCCGCCCACTCCTCCATTTCGTCACGGAAATTGTCCCACACACAGTTGACACAGCCGCTCATGCAGCAATTGTCCGGCTCCTCCGGCCGCGGGGGAATCGGCACCCCGTTCACGGTCTTCCAGGTCGACTCCGGCGGCATTTCTCCCGGGTTATAACGAGAATTTCGGCCTGGACCAGCCAGCCGGGTGCCAAAGACGATTGACATTTTCTCCTGCGGGGACTGTTCGGCGGGTTTCTCTTGTGTCGGTTTCTCGGCTGCCTTATTGACCGGACGGAGCCGTTTCGCATGGGCACGGTACGGGGAGGGGTTGGCGATAATATCGGAGTAATACCCCGTTAACGGGTGTGCTTGATTGGGACCCGAGCCATACGTCGCTTTGTTGGAGTGTTGCGAGGTGGTGCGATCATGGCTGGCAGTGGTGGCGGTGCGTAGAGGAGGCAATGCCGAAAGCCGGCGTGCATATAGTGCGGATGCTGCAAAACGAGAAGGAAAGTTGGGAGAGGCGCTGAAGCTTTTTAACGAGCAGGCCCCTCGCTGAGCGAGCGCATGTCTATGGGCCACCAGGGGAATCTCCATTGTGCCGGAAGGCTTGTGGCGTACGATGTAGAAATCATGGATCTTGCAAGAGTTCAACATCGGAGCGAATCGCCGAGGAGGTTATGTCATTTGCAAACAGTGCAAACACCCCCCGTCTCGGATCCGGTGCGGATTGTCCGCCATACATCAAAATAATTGATGGTTACGATGCGACAGTCTGTTACTCCGCATCCTGCGAACCCAGAAGATTTGATTCTGTGGAGAATATCTACTATTACTGATAATTATTCGATTAAGCGCAAGGTAACAGTGCTTACTGACAATGCTCGCGTCCCCTCCCAAGCGGCGCAAGACAGGCGAACCCGCCAATGTCGACGCGTCGCAAACAAACATCCCCTCTCTTCGGCAAAGTGCAGCTCGACGCTCCAATGACCGGAACTCCTTTCAATCGCCAACTCGAGCGAGCCTAGCGAGATCACATCCCGAGATCCTGGGGCGCGCAATCAGCAGAACATCCACGAGAAGTCCGCAAAGAGCGACAGGCGGAGATGGTCAAAATGGCCCAGAGGACGGTTCAGAGGCGAAGACGTTTGGTCTGCGTGATAGGAAGGCCTTACGACCGTCGCTGACGTCGAAGCCCAGCCCAATTAAGGTCTTCAACTCGAGTCAATCGCCAAGTAGACGGGCGAGTGGCCTCCAGGCATTTGCTGTTCCCCCGCGACGGGTCTCGAGAAGGATTGTCCCCGCAGACCTCGCGTTTCATTCTCCGGTGGCGACACAGAAAGCCCCAATGGACGATGCACTATCAAATACACCCGACCACCAGTTAGCGTCCGAATTGGACGGCGCGACACCTGCAGCGACCCTGGATGGGGCCGCAGACGAACCGCTGCAGGACATGCTTGACGAACCCGACCTCCCTCCGACGCCGACCCAGCTAGGTCTAGAAAGACCCCCTAGTCGACCAAGCGGAATTATGAGCAGCAGTCCGAGTGCGCAACGTGGGAAAACGGGAAGGCGACGGGCTACTGAGACATACGAGCACAGCCCTTCCAAGCTACGGAGTGTCGACTATGGTGTCGATAAAGCAGATCTAACTAGTTTGGACACAATGCTCGCCCAGACCCCAGTACCAGAGCCAGTTATGAAAAAGCGGAAGATAAAAAACGAAATCGTCGCAGAAATACAACAACTGAAGGCGGACATCACAGAACTGGAAAGCTGGTCAAGCCTGGGCGGACCGCAAGACGATAAGGACCGTGATGTGCATAAATTACTGTGAGTCTACACCGAAAGCGCGAGAGTATACAGCGTACTGACTTTCCCAAGTTCATTACTGGCCTCGGAGAACTCGACTCAGACTTCTACGAAAGCCAAGCCAGACAAGGCACCGATATCCTCATTACTATCCACCCTGCTCCCCTTCGCTACCAAAACCACACCCAAAACCCCCAATACCCCAGACCCAACGAATCCCTTCGCCTTGAGTGCTTCCGCCCAAACAGCACCATACCTGACCACCTTTGCACCTTTAAATCTAGCAGGCCAATCCAGCACAGCATCCAATTCAAAACCAGACACCTTCACAGAAAGACACGACCTCACCCTCTCAGCACCAGCACCATTCCCCTCCACCCTTTACAGGGTCCTCATCAGCTACGAAACGAACCCCGAAACCCAATCCTTAGTCTCCGTATCCGCCCCGGCCACCACCAACGGCCAGCCGTCGCGCGTACCAGAATACCTCCAATCCTGGATCACCAAACGACTAGCTCACGCACTCCTCCAGCTAGACGTATCAGGCCTCTGCTGGGGCATCAACCGCTACTGGGAAGCGTCGATATCGCGCGCCGGGCTATGGGCAAAACTGGAGGACCAGCGCGCAGCACTAGCAGCCGGTCGATTCACGCCAAATTCGGCGATTAGCCAAGACGATGACAAGTCAAACGCAAACATGCGACAGATTCTACCGCACCTAGAGCGCACCTCCATGCTCTTCGAGAGCAAGTCCAAACCGCACCAGGTTCTTCTTTCATGCGAATTAACACTCGACGACTGGACGGGCGAGCCGCTGCTCAAACCCGCTATCAGCATTTCCTCGACGGCGGTCGGAGGCAATGGCGAGTCAGAGCGGAGGGTAGAGTTGGAGTCGAAACGGTTGTTCCATACTATGTTGAGTGATCGTCGGCTGGGCCAGTCTGAGATGCTCGGCGAGGATGATGGGGCTGTTATTCTGGAGGCTAGTTACTGTGTTTTGGGTGTTTTGTTTGGGTCCCTTGAGGGGAGGATACCTGGGGGAAAGGCGCAGAAGGGGAGTTGATGTGTTGGCGATGTATAGCTGGTCGTGCTACATGTATAATATACCTTTATACGGAGTCGAATTCTTGGGTATCGGGAATCATTGAATTGTAGACCATGTAAAGGTGTAGTTGATAGTCTCCAACACAGCTGGATGACAGTGATTATCGCTGGGTAGATCTCGAGTCCATTGCGACTATCCTACTACTCCCGGATAATCACGAGCTACACATACAAAATACGTTTAACAGCAAAGTCCATTCAAACCGGCAGTGTAACCATAGAAAACACCAGATATCAACCAGTTCCTCGAAGAGCCCAAATAGATGCCACATCCCCTCGCGTAATACCCGTAGTCCCTTGTCCTCTCCAATCCTCCTCAAGATGTCAAAAGCCATGATTAAAAGTAAGAAAAAAAAGGGGGGTTGAGGCCATTCTTTAACGTTAATTGGGACATTTGCATTTCGAGAGGTTTCGGGAGCTTTTTTTTACGTTAAGGACAAAAAGGTAATAAGGAGGAAAAAGCGGCGCACGCCACGCCATGCCACAATATACTAATCCCCGACTTGAAAATCGACCCGATCATCATTAGCTGGAAATCATATCTATTTCTTGGCAGCAGCAGCCTCCTCAGCCTTGACCCTAGCACGCTTCTCCTTGCGACCCTGGTAGCGGGCCTCGCTGCGGGAGTCACGCAGCTTGCGGTAGGCGGCCTCCTCGCCCTTGGGGAGGTCGGAGCGCTTGATCTCAGTGACGGCCGCACCCTGGTTGAGGTTGTCGATGGGGAAGACGGCACCGACGCGGGCGGAGTAGCCCTCGGTCTTGCCCTCGGCGGCGAAAGCAGCCTTGGCAGCGTTGACCTCCTCGGCGGACGAGTCGAGCTTCTTGAACTGACCGCTCTTGCGGGGGAAGAGGATCAGGCGGGCCTTGTAGTCCTGGAGACGGGCGACATTGGCGACGAGCGACTCCTTGGAGTAGTTGACACGGCGGTGGTCAACGGCGATACCGACGGTACGGGCGAGCTTCTTGGGGATGGCAGCTTCCTAAGCGATTCGAAAAAAATACGGCGTGAGCTTCCATCCGATATCTACTCCCCCATCATTGGAGATGTTACCTTCAGCTCAGCGAGAGTGAATCCACGGCCGGCACGGACACGGCGGTTGTACTTGACAGTCGGGCAGTGCACAACGGGGCGCAGCTTGTCAACCGGACGGGGAGCAACAGCAGCGGCCTTGGAGCGGCGGGCCTCACGACGGCGCAGCTTGCGGCTGGGCTATATTCGAAAATCGATCAGTCAATCGAACCAAACCAGATCCTTTTTTATTGATCTCTTTTTTCTCTTCCTGCCACACTGCAAAACGTATTCGCCCGTGATGCGATCGATTGGGGATATAGGTTCGAATCGTACCTGCTCGAAGTGCACGCGCACACGACGCTGCCAGTCCTTGCGGAAGTCTTTAAAAAATCAAATCAGTCTATAAATTCCCTTCAAACGGACCCTTTCGAATGATTCCATCGATCATGTAGATTCCGTAGATAACATATCCGTCGCAGGAAGACTCACGCTGGTTCTGAATCTGGTTGTTGTGCTTGATCGCCTATTTCACACCAAAAACACATCAGTCCGTCGTCCCATGTCCAGTAAAACAAAGGATGGAATAGTTTTTCAAATCGATCCATTGTCGATAAACCGTTCCATCCAAAATATCGAGGGGTCATTGACGCACCATTGTGACTGATGGGGATCAAAGCCGGGGGGGTTGTCGTCGGCGTCGTGGGAGGTTGCTGGTCGTATCTCAAAATCTCCTCGTTCCAATATTGGGTGGAACTTTTTTGGTGTGGCCACCGCTCAGAGCGTGCTCACCGCCTTCGCTTAGCGAGCCCTACCCTGCCTGCCGAATCGGGAATGGTGTCGAACCAGGATGGTAATATTTCTTGTTTTGCCGTCGTTTACTACGGGTATGGTAATTTGAATAGGTATTATTGTGTATTCATATCTATGGCTATTATTACTGTTCATCCTGAAAGCCAATGGTTGAAGTTGATACTTTATACTCCGTACAGGACAGGAGTAATGATGGTCCAGGATTTTCTGCCTCTTCGCGGATGGGTCAATACCCGATTACTAAGGTATTATATAACATACAGCATAATCGACCTACAATCTCCGCAGTAGGTTCGTGAGAAATACCAAGTCAGGTTACATTTACTGGTACTTTGCGTTTGGTGTACCGTACATGGTACTGACTTTTCTCTCAATCGGTCTATTACTGCTAGAAGAAAATTCAATCACTACTAGAAAAGACATCCTAATGGACAGAAGTATTTGCAGAATATGCACTCTGGATTCATCTGCTTAAAGCAGGTCAAGTAACAATGATAACACACTTGAGAAAGTCAAAATACCAGTGCAACTTTACATGTCGTCATTCATCAATTTCGTAACAAGCAGTCCTAATACCCAGAAAACAAAGAAAGTCAGTAGTAGACGCCAGGCCTACTACGATCCCCAAAGAAAATAAGAACGAGAGCATAAAATATACCGTTTATGCTCGGCCGTTCTGATTCCATGTGTCAATGCCGAGACCCACTCTCGAATCCGCTTTTGATTTCTTCGACGTCGCACCGTCAAAACTCGCTTTGCGTTTGAGACTGATCGTGGGACGTTCGACCCCGGCTTTCGTCACCTGCCCGAACAGTTTCGTCTGGAGCAGTGTGCTGGATCTCGGAGCGACCACGGCACTCGGGATCCCTCGGTGAGTTTGTGGGGGATTATGGCGGATTACGCTAGCCACCCTTGAGCCGGTCTGCCCGGGGGTATCCTCTTCGGTCTCAGCCTCTTCGATATCCGACGCCGATATCGTGCTGTCCCTGTCACGCTGTTCATCGTGCGAATCCAGACCTGGAGTATGATACTGGCTTTCCCGCTGGCTCGCCCGAGTGCGGGACGGCGTCATGGGAAGAGACGACAGGGAATGAGTTCCACGCACATGGCCACCTCCATGATGTCTCTCAGTGTGATGGTGGCCCGGGGTAGAGGCAACACTTGCAGATTCTCGGTTAAGAACCCGGCCTGCCGCAAGAAGGGCAGCAAAAGGGTCGTTGTTCTCACTCCTTGTCAAATGGTGACTGGCATTGTCGACAAAGTGTGACGCAGGTCTCCTGTGCGGGGTTTGGGCTTCGCTATGGGAGTTGGGTGACATCGAGCCCTGCTCAATCATCAAGGAAAAATGCTCTCGGTTGTCCCTGATACGCTTCTTCAGAAGACGGTTTTCTTCCCCAAGCTGGTCGGTCTTCTCCCCTTCCTGTTCGATCAGTCGCTTGGCTCGACGCAGTCTGCGGTCAAGAGTGACATTGGCTCTTTCGAGATCTTGATTACGTTTGAGAGCCAGCTCCAAGTCGGCATTGGACGGCTCCTCCAATGGCTTCGTCTCCACATGGCGACTGCGGTACTCGGAGCTCTGAAGGATTTCCACCTCCCTCCGGGCTAGCTGGTGTTCGACCTCCGCGCGCTTGATGGCTTCATTACTTGTGAACGACAGCAGACTATTCTGCAGCTTAAAATGCAATGCTGACATACGGGCTTCCTGGGCTACCCCCAAGAGCTCTTTGGCTATCGTTCGGAGTTTTGCTTCGTCGGCGGTATCGATATCGTCAGCGCTCGGGAGGTTTTCGGAGGCACCGTATGCCACACAAAGAGTCTTTTCGATATCCGGTGGAGATGCTAGGTATGAGCTCGATTGGGACCTTGACCGCCTGGGGGGAGCCCCAGGAACTTGTGAGGATGGCGGGGGAGTCATGTCTGATGAGGTCAATACAGGCGGCGAGTTGAGTTTATTCGTTTCGAGGTGTGAGCCGTGGCTTTCCGCCCGGACACTCAGTTCTGGAGACGCCGAGAGACTGGGGCGATGGCTTGGTGTTGCCGGCCCAGCGATCTCCACAGGAGGAGCAAGGGAGCCTTGGGAAAGCTGAGGTTCAAGATCCTGTGACATAATAGATGGATGGCGACGGAGAATTGTCCAGGTTCAGCCCGTGGAGAACACAACCCTCACACTGGAGATGCGTCAGCACTGGTTGTGTCGACTAGATGCGGGAACAGTTGTCACAAAGCGGTCGGGCGCACATACCGGAGATGAGACAAACCCGGACGAGTCAATTTCAGCCGAGTAAGACTTGGAACGAATTGAGCGATAACTAAGCTTGACAAGATCCAAACGTGCTTGGAATCGATCAGCTGTGGCGCAATCCCCAGATCGTCGCGGGTGAGTTGCAGATGGTGGGTGAGTCGGACCGCTTGTCACCGATAGGCCCGTGCAGGAGGGACAGGTTCAAGGTTGCAGTGATAGGTAAGGTACTAAGATAGTAGATAAGAAGGCGGAGGTTCCGACGGAAAAGACCCGATCTAGAGAAATGACAACGACACGGGTCCTACTCGCAGTACAGAAAGCTTGTAGATAAGATGCGAGTAAGGAGAACGGAGAAATGAAGACAGCCGTGAAGAAAAGGTGATGTATGTAGGGATGATGTGAGAAGCAAGGGAGGGTCGCAGTTGAGGGACAGTTGATGCCTTAAGGACGTTGCAAGCGGCGGGAGGTTCACGAGTTCGGCGGGAGGCTGGGAAGTCGCCAATCCGGTCAGCCTCAACCAACCACGTCCAACCTCCAGCGCCCACGTGAGCCCAGCCGCGCGCCAGAACCTGATTATGCCGAATAGGGTTAGTGCGGACCATCCCGCCAGTAAACAGAAATCGAACCCCATGGGTTGCTCTAGATCACTCAGGCAACGAGACTGTCGATTGATCCACATATGAGTATTCTATACAGAGTACGAATATAGAGTACAGAGTCAACTAAGGAGATGGTGAGATGAGCGTGATATTATATTAATAATTATAACAGAATCCATAATAGTATTAAAAAGGAATTTGGTACAACCTGCAGCCCAAATGTCTCATCTCTGAGTTTTGAGTTCGTTCAGTACAATAATAATCACAACTCATTTCACTGAGATATCTCTGTGTCTACCTATACTCTCTGTAAGAATGAGGCTCTTCTTAGGAGGAATAAGTAGCTGAGGTGGTTGGGACCTTGTCCCAAACTCCACCACAAAGGTAGCATGCACTTAGTAACTACTTCTACCATGGTGATCCTTCGGACTAGACCTCAGGGAAAAGCCAAGCTGTTAGATACCTGATTCACGAACTTAGCCTTAACCCACAGTATCTCTCTTAGTCTTTAGCCTGGTCAGGTACCTGAACTAAATCCAGTTTCTCGTTCGATCGGACAGGTGGGGGCCTGACCAATCATGGCGGCAGTGTCGGAGCCTGATCGCGGCCCCAGGCAGCAACAGGTGGTGCAGCTGTTCCATCAGTAAACAAAACCGACTCCGCGGCATCACATTCATTCATATCTTCTTTCTACACCACCGAATACTACCACTGACTGGGAATAGCTTGATAGACTCTGCCAGACAGATGATCATCAGCCAATACTCTTTTGTTTGATCGACCTTCTTTATCCTTAGCCACCCCTCCAACCTGTCGCTTTAAACAGCCGAGAGCATCATGAGTCTTATGCGACACTAAGATCGACCATCTAACTTACCATACAGCCTCTCCCGCCAGGATTATACCATCGAGTCCACCTTGAAAATGGATGGTCAACAAAAACCTTCGGTTCGTCCAAGTGGAATCCCTCGATTAGCCTCGCGACTGCCTCTGCCGACCTCTTCTGCGTCCCGAACGATCAAAGCGTCTTCGTCACGCGAGAAGCTACTGGCTGACCCGGGCCTGAATACCTCCAGGCTGCGACGACCTTCCGCAGAGCCTGTGTTCAAGAAACCTCTTCCCAAATACTCAGCACCACCAAGGCCCCGGTCTAGCCTACAACCGGGGAGGGATGTTTCTCAGACGCGAATAAGTGATGGCGGCAGATCGGAAGGAGACGGGGGATGGGATGAGATCTCCCAGTCGGATATCGAATCCTTGTCCGGCGACACGGAGTTTCGAGGCCGCGCGCGACCTTCACTGTCGGAACGAACCATGGAGACGCTGGCCCAAATCCCACCTTCGCCTGCTTCCTCGCGAAAGTCCAGTTTCTTTAATGCAACGAGCCCTATGCGATCGCCATCTCGCCAGTCGTCGGTAATGTCCAATTATTCAAGGTCTCCGTCGAGGTCATCATCCTCTCGTCAACAATGCGGGGGTGAGCTTTTCGCTCACACGCCGTCTGCCATGCGACTCCCATCAAGATCACGGCCTTCGTTGCCCACGGGTGGCGCCGTGGCCGACAGCGCTATTGCGGAGGATGATAGTCCGTCAAAACCTCGAATTCCAGCTGTACCAGCACCCAACTTTGGTGGGACTGGTGACGAAACCCCCAAGGCATCGAAGTCACGGCCCCAGCTTAGTAAAGGGCTTGCGAAGCCCAACGGCATGCAAGAACCCTCGCAATCATCCCTTGACGTGAAGAAAACACGCAATACACCAACAAAGCCGCCTTCCAGCCAAAAGCTGTCTTCCTACCAGCCAAGATCTTCGTCTGCTAGACCCATAGACGCGGAATTGAATCCAGGACAGCAGTCCGAATTGGAAGCTAGAAAGGCCGCAAAATCCTCCAGCACCTTACGCGAAAGCATTGCCAAGGCCAAAGCTGCCGCAAAGGCAGCAGCTGAAAAACCTTCGCAACCACCGTCGTCTAATTCTTGGGATGATCTCGAGACTCAAGACCCGTTCAACCAACGGCCCAAGGACTCAAACAAGGGTTTGCTTCGAAAGCGCATCGATGCAGGTAGAACGTCGGGTAACTTGAATATCGCCGCCATGTCGTTGACAGAGTTGCCAGAAGAAGTCATGAAAATGTATGACTTTGATCCGGATTCTACCACGGACTGGTACGAGAGCGTGGATTTGGTCAAATTTATTGCCGCGGACAACGAGTTCAAAGAACTACCAGAGAGCGCTTTCCCAGATGTCGATCCATCTGATCCAGACCTTGAAGATGACAGCAAGGGAAATCAGTTTGGTGGGCTAGAAACTCTAGACCTTCACGGCAATCTACTGCAATCCTTGCCCCTAGGGTTCAGGAGGCTCCACCGACTTCAAACTTTGAATCTCTCCAACAACAAATTAAGTATGGAAGACATACAGATTGTTACGGAGATGACGTGGATCCGAGATCTCAGGCTAGCAAGGAACGAATTACAGGGAGCGCTTACTCCGAACATCAAGAACCTTACCAACCTGGAAATCCTGGATCTGCACGAAAATGATCTCACCGACCTCCCGGTTAGCATTGCCGACCTAACCTCCCTACGAGTTCTAAACGTCTCCAACAACCGCCTCAATTCGCTGCCATTTGACGCACTACAGAATCTGCCGTTGAAGGAAGTAAGTGCCTCGAAGAACAAGCTGCAAGGCACATTGATGCCGGGTTCAGTGGGTAGGATCGAGACATTACGGATTCTAGACGTCTCCGGGAACGCTCTCCTAAAGCTGTCGGAGAACGAGGCTCTCGAACTTCCCAACCTTCAAACCCTGACCATCGGCGTGAATCGCATGCAGTGCCTGCCAAACATGACCTCTTGGCAAGCTCTTCTGACACTATCCGCCGAAGACAACACCATCTCCGAGTTTCCTGAGGGGTTCACTGCATTGAAACATATCAGGAATGTCGACTTTACGGGAAATAGCATTTCGAAGTTGGACGAAAGAATTGGATTGATGGAGAGCTTGGTGACTTTCCGGGTAGCAAACAATCCTCTCCGTGAGCGCAAGTTCCTAGCCATGGAGACGGAAACCTTGAAACGTGACCTGCGAAACCGATGCGAGCCAGAGCCACAGGACACAGACGAGGAAGGCTCTGTCGCGACGCAGTTCACCCTTGCCCCAGAGACCCCAGCTCAGTCGGCTGCATGGCAACTCAAACCAGGCGGCGTGCTTGACAGATCGTATACCGATACACAAGACGTCGATTTGGACCAGTTAGAGCGACTGAACCTGAACGATGTCAGGTGCCTGTACCTTCAACACAATCAATTACGCAGTCTACCAGTCCCGGCGCTCAGCATGCTTGCCGGCAGCCTTGTCGATCTTGATCTTTCGCACAATCCTATGGGCAGCGACAGCCTATCCTTCTCGTCCCTCAACCTTCCTAGTCTCCAGAATCTCAACTTGAGCGCCACCGGATTGACCGCTCTTGAGCCGATTTTGGACAACCTCGTGGCGCCGTCTCTTACCTATTTTGACGTCTCCTATAATCGTCTGACTGGGACTCTGCCGACTGTTCGACGAGCTTTTCCCAACCTAGTGGCGCTCCTAGCCGCAGACAATCAGCTGGAGAACCTCGAGTTCGAGGCTGTCCAGGGCCTTCAGGTCCTCGACGTCGGGAACAACAATATCAATTCCCTACCGCCAAAGATAGGTTTACTACGGTCGGAGGGTTCCAGCGATAACTGGGGCGGTGGGTCGGCCCTTAAGAGGCTCGAGGTGGCAGGTAATAGCTTCCGGGTTCCTCGGTGGCAGATCGTTGCCAAAGGGACAGATGCTATCTTGGAATGGTTAAAAGATCGAATTACCGTGGAAGAGCTTGCGGAATGGGAGCCGCAGGCTGACGAAACCTTCTAGTTTCGATATAGTGTGCAATTTTGCGGGGCTTGATATGCAGGGTCCGCCTGAGTTATTTTCTATGTAGATATACATGCATTTGCATATGCATTGGGGTTTTGATCACTGATTTCGGACATGGTTGTTTTAGCATATGGTTTTGGGTCAGTATCCTTGAATGTAAATTCAGGCCAGTCGTTCATAATCATCTATGCATTCATCTAAAGAAGGATCTTGTGTAGGCGTTAAACGGGCAGACAGCCGTATCATATTATTTCGAGTTCCCCGAATCGAGAACAGGCTTGCTGACTTCGTCCATCACCTTTAACCACGTCCTCGACCAAGCTGTGAATTTGTCCTCCTTCGAACTTTCGTCCGCAGTCCAAGATAATTCCACCGACTGCATAACTTTATTGGCGCAACTCCTCACCCGCACGAGATACTGCACACACTTTTCCGTGTTCTCCTCGTACAGCGCCCCCGCCACTTCGTCGATCAGCCCCGGTATGTGCTGGAGGTTCTGCATCAGGAGTTCAAGCTTGCTGGCCAGCGACGAAGACAGCTCCGGAACGCTTCCCAGCCGGTGTTTGACAATAGCGGGGTAAATCTGCGCAACGGGCTTGAGGATGCGGACGCTGGTCTTTTTCTGCTCGTGCAGTGCAGCGTTGCTTTCGTTCTCGCCATCATCATCATCATTATCGTCGTCGTCGTCATCGCCTTTATCGCTCATGATCTCATCGAAGAACTCATCGCCCTCCTCGTCAGGATCCCACTCCTCGATCTCCTCCACCGCATCGCGCACCAGATCCCTCCACTCTTCGACGCGGCGCACAACGTACCCCACGACGCCCTTCGCGGCAATATCAACCGATGTGTCGCAAACGTCCCAGACGCGTCCCGCAGCTACCATGACGGAGTCCTTCTCCGCCTGCGACAGCTCGCTCTGGCTCGTCGCTGCGTCTTTCTTCCCCGCCACCGTTTGGACCTCTTTCAGAAGATCGCGCACCTCCCGCAGTGCGGTCTTGACCTGGACTTCGACCTCCGCCCGGAAGGCCTTCGTGTGCATCGACGGGGTGACTAGCAGAGCGGCTGTGACGAGCGATGGAAGGATCGATTCGTTCAGCGTAGCAACGACGGACGTGACGGCGGTGTGTGTAAACGGCGAGGTAATGGCGAGGAGAGAAAGCTTCGTGACCTGCGATTTCAGCTCCGTGGCTGCTGCGGATAGGAGGGGCAAGGCATCTTTTGCTGAGAGGTCGCCGGTGGGCGAGGACGTGTCTGACGGCGGGGCGGAAAAGGCCGACTGGAGCTGTTCGGCGAGGACGAGGCTCGTTGAGAGCGTGAGCTGTAATTGTTTTGACATGTTCGGTGGTTTGATCAGGGTACTGCGCAGGTAATTGTAATCCTGCCTGGTGGTTTGGTTGGAGGTTCGTCTGTCTGTTCTTGAGCGCCGAGCGGATAAAATTTTCGGGTTGGAGAGACGGCGGCTGCGGGGCTGCTTTGGCTTTGGCTTTTGTTAGGGTTCCGCGGGGTCACCTGGGCGGATTGAACTCTTTTGACTGTGGTTTGGTCGTTTACCTTTGGTGGGATATAAAAATCTCAAGTTGGTTTAGATGTGCTTTATATTATTTACTTCTATAATTGTGTATATAGTTTATTGAATAGTGTGGTGAGGTTGAGTACATTGCGACCAGATAAAATTGCGACACCAATGTATATATATATTTACCCTAGTATGGATCACCATTGTGCCATTCTCTTGCCTACAGATTTACCCCTGTACTATAAATTGATATAATTTTTTGACCAACAGATGTTTAAATAAATGACTGTCTCGTCAAATCTTGTATATCTTACTTATACCATGTCTGATCATAGGAGTAATTCATCATTAAGGATGTCGACAGCAACCAACACATGTCTGTTTAAAGGAAATTTATAAGTATACTACGGGTTTTTCAAACCCACTTCTCAAATACGATACAGGTGTATGATAACATCGCAGATGCTTCCAATTCAAGTCTAGTTCTTAGGATACAAAATCATTTTTCACGCCGCAAGTGATTTATACGACCCGCTTAATAGTCGTAGAAACCCTTTCCGGCCTTCCGGCCCTTCCAGCCAGCGTCGACCATCCGCTTCAGCAGACCGGACGGACGGTACTTGCTGTCGCCAGTCTCCTGGTGCAGAACGTTCATGATGGACAGACAGGTGTCCAGGCCGATGAAGTCGGCCAGCGTCAGAGGACCCATGGGGACGTTGGTGCCGTTCTTCATGATGTTGTCGATGTCCTCGCGGCCACCGACGCCAGTCTCGAGGCAGATAACGGCCTCGTTGATGTAGGGCATGAGGATGCGGTTGGCCAGGAAGCCGGGAGAGTCGGCGGAGACGGAGGAGACCTTGCCCATGCGCTCCATGAGCTTAAGAGAGGTGTCGATGGTCTCCTGAGAGGTCTGCAGGCCGGCGATGATCTCAACGCCCTTCTGGATCGGGACGGGGTTCATGAAGTGCGTGGAGATGACGCGCGAGGCGGCCTGGAGATCCTTGGGGTCCGTGGTGGTCGCCGCGGCGATCTTGGTGATGGAGATGGACGAGGTGTTGGTCGCGAGGATCGCGTGCTTGGGCGCGATCTGGGCCAGCTTGGAGAAGATGCCCGTCTTCAGGTCGGGGATCTCGGGAACGGCCTCGATCACGAAGTCAACGGACGACAGGTCGTCCATCTTCAGGGTGGGGGTAATGCGGGAGCGGACAATATCCGCTGCGTCGCGGGTGAGACGCTCCTTGGCGACATCTTTCTCCAGAAGTTTGTCTGTAATATGGGGGACCCATGTGTCAATCCAGCTGAGATTCGAACAAAGTGTCACACGGGGTGGACCACTGCATACCGGCAAACTTCAGACCCTTGTCGATCGATCCTTGGGAGGTATCCACGAGAGTGACAGGAACCCCGGCCTTCTGAGCTGCAACGAGCGCAATACCCAGACCCTACTACTTGTTAGTCAATTGTAAAGGAGGATGGAGACATGTTCCTGAGCCACTCACCATCTGACCAGCTCCGATCACACCCAGCGACTTAACCTCGGCAGCGCGGGCCACAGGAGAAGTGCTAAAGGCGCGAGAGGCGACTGAGGGGCCCCGGAAGGAGAGGGTTCGGAGAGAGGAGAACAACATGATGACTATATATGACAATGACTGACCGGTGTGATGAGCGAAGACACGACAACAGCGAGAGGAAAGAAGAAAAAGGTCAATCAGTACCTGGTCCAGCACTATCCGTATAGTAGCGCGGATATACGCCGTTTACCCGCGGGTTCTCATGTGATCCGACGTCATCGGCTATCTTCGGGATACCGGGTCTATAGTTCCCCCGGCGGCCCGATAAAGATTAGTCAGCTGCTGAACAGACGCGTCCGACACGTGAATGACGCGGATTGATTGGCTGGCGGTCCTGCACGCGAAGCCTGCTGTTGCAAATCGCAGGTTGAACGGGAGATATCTCAACGATTGAGGCCGACGACTCAAGCACCGCGAGGTTACTATGGACGAAACGGCCTTTGGGGAAGGTGTCGAACCCGTGGACCTTGAGGTCCGCGCTCATGTGTACAGTTTGGTTACCGCGGTGAGTATACTCCGTGCTGCGTGGGCGTCGGTGTTGGTCTGGGTCGCTAATGACGTCGCAGCTAGGAGGATTCAATGGCGAAGATGCGGATAAATATGTGCTGGGCGACGATGCCCTGGCGTGTCTGCGCGATATTAAACGCTGGCTAAGGCTTTACGACCAAAAGAATAATCGGATGGATGTGGCACGATGTCTGGGGGAAGCGAATGTCGTCAACGGGGATCTGCTACCCATCCTGGCGGCTTGGTCGGAGAACGAGCGGAAAAGCAAGCATCTGTTCAGGATTGCAATGGCATGCTGTGAGTTGGACAGTCTGAACTCGGAGGTGGTAGAACGGACAGGCCCGCTAACATCTAGAAGTGGAATTGCTGGTGCCTTTGACCTGGCCGTTAGAGATACACGGCGAGACGACAGTCAACCATCATCGACATATCCCGTACCTGCAACAAGCCCAAGTGTCGTACAAGCGGCGGTTTCTTAGCCATTCAACCTTGGACCTGTTACGAACCATCATCCGCATTGGCCTCCCGAGTATGGCAATTCCGCGATCTGAACGGACCGGCCGGGACGAAGGCATCCTGAGGATAATGCTGTATTTTTTCCGGAACGTCGCCGTGATTACACCGAATGCCCGTCTTGCCGCAGAAGGCGAAGAGGAGGAAACATCCCGATCCGCGACTATCAACGCCTTCCAGAACCAGGACGTCTTTGCCCTTCTCCTGACCATGTGCTCCAACATCAGCGACGACTTCAATATGTTCGACGTGATTCTCCTGGAAACTTTGTTCCATATTGTGAAGGGGGTCAATGTGGACAAGCTCTTCATGGATGATTCCCAACGGACCGCCAAGCGCACGGATGAGCTCGATGGTTTACTGCGTAAGGAGGAGTCCCTGCGGAAAGAATATGCAAAAGGTGCACCGACACGGCATGGACGCTTTGGGACGATGATTTGGGTTAAACGTGACGACGCCAAGGTGTCCACAGTGTCTGGACAGAATGTTCTCAAGGACGGCCAAACCACACTCCACAAAATGGATCAGAGCAAGAAGTGGAATAAACCCCAGCCGCGTCGACGACAGGACCATCCATCTATCAAAAACGATTTTAGTACGCCGGTCCATCTCAACTCCGAGGCCTCGGAGAACCTGCGAAAATTTGTCGAAGAATTCTTGGATTCCGGCTTCAACCCGCTTTTCACCAATATTAGAAAAGCCATAGAACGCGAAGCTGATCGTGTGCTGGATGAGAACTCTCTCCATTACTTCTACACCGTCTCGTGGTTTCTCGAAGCAGAGCGCACACGACGTCTTCGTAAGCGCCAGAGGCGCTCACAGGATGGGAAGCCTAAGGAGACGGAGCCGGACAGCTTTGGTCTTGTTGCCAGTGTCCTCAATCAGGAGACGTTTGTCTTCTTGAACAGGTCAATGCAATGGAGTTTCGATAACAAGGATTGGGAAGGTCTCAACGCTGAAATGCGATGCTTCACCCAAATCCTGTTGACCGTCCAAGAAATGGCCCTGTCGCCCCTCGACGAGGACCAAGAGATTGCCGAGAACATTCAAAACCGGATCTTCTACGAAGGGACGACACATGACCGCATGGCTGCCATCATGCACAGGTACAAAGATCAAGGCTTCGGCTACCTGGATGCATGCACTGAGCTCTGCCATGTCTTTTTGCGGATGCTCGAGCGATACTCCAAGGAGAACGCTGACATGCAGGTCAAAGCCAAACAGCGGACAAGACGCAAGAATAAACAGGCTGAAGCGACCGGTGACGAGAACAACGAGGAAGACAACGCATCGGAAGAAGAGGACCACGCCGAAGCTGAAAGGGTCTCCAAGGAACGCAAGTTCGATTACAGGAAATTCGAGCAGAAATTTTGCACGCAGGCTTGCGTCGACACCTTTGTGTCGTACACGAAATTTTACGGAGAATTGACTGAGGAGCAGTTGAAACGCGCTCATCGCTACTTTTACCGGGTGGCCTTCAAAAACGAGAAAAGCGTTTTGCTGTTCCGTGTGGATATCATTAATTTATTTTACAGGATGATCAAGGGTCCTGGTGCCATGGACTCCAGCCAACCGATCTTTAAAGAATGGGAGGAACTGGTCCGGCAGATAATCAGGCGCCTGATGAAGAAGCTCGAGCAACGCCCTGCGCTGTTCACTGAGATGCTATTTAGCAAGATCAACTCGACTGCATCCTATCTTGAGTACGGACATGAACGGCAGACGGTCTCGACAGCCCAAAAGTCTATCGTGGAACTTGAGGTGGATCCAAAAGAAGGGTCAACACTTGAGCGAAAGATCGCCATTGTAGTGGCTGCCATTGTCAAAGATGACCAGAGTGCCCTGGTCAGATGGGTTAGCGACGTCCAAGGATCAGCGGCTGAAGAAAGGGAGGCCTGGGAAACTCAAGAAGCCGCTCGGCGGGTTGAAGACCCTACGGTAGCGACCACGTCAAACCCTCCCATCGGTATGTATCTATCAGTTGGTATTGGTGGCATCCAAGGATCTAACCTATGAGCAGACGTCAAACCTCGGGACGACGCATGTCGACAAGCCCTCAAATCCAACGCCAAGTTACGCCTCCTTATGACATTGGTTAAATTTGAACTCCTCGGAGAGGATGACCCGAGACCTCGCTGGGAGATACCGTCGACCATGGACTCCAAGGAGATCAGAGAGATCAAATCGATCGTCGACCAAAATCTCGCCAGCCCGATTGCGGAAAATACCGACCCCTGCGAGCTGCTTCGGCGCAAATTCAACCACGAAGCCAACAAGAGCAGCGTTCATCAAACGACGCTCGACGTCAATTTCGGCTCCGAATCAGAGGGCGAGGAAGTTCCCGACGGGCCTTTGTTCCCGCCGAACCCGCGGTCAAAGGCCAGCGCGCTGGATGAATTGAAGAAGAAACGCAAGAAGCGTAGCAAAGAAAATCAGGACGAAGTCGACGAAGCTGTTCTTGAAGAGCGCCGCAAGGTCCGTTCAGAGGCGACCCGTGAACGCATTGCAAAAATCAAGAGCGATCTCTTTGTCCATGCAAGCGACGAGGAGAGCGACGAGGACGGGGATGAAGAGTTCTTCCGTCTCGAGGAACAACGACGGAAAGCTCAGTCGGAGAGAATCAAGAAAGCTTTGCTGACGGGCCGGGTGGAGGGAGAAGACAGTGCCGGCCTCAAAGGGCGAGGCAGACGCAAGCGCCAAAGCGATGTGTCCAAGTCGAAGGACACAACATCCCAGAGCAAACGACAACGGCGTAAGAACCCGGTTGCTGAATTCGACGATGACGATACCGTCATGGGTGACGACGACGTTCTGGCATCTGCACTGCCCCAGACTACGACCGACAATGAGATGGAAGATCACACAAATACACCTCCCCGGTCAATGGATGATGATCTCAACTTCGACGACGACCTGGCATTCAGCCGGGATCATGGGAGAGACCGGGGACTGTCTGATTTGGAGTCCCCTGATCCAACTCGCCCCGATGCCAGCGCTGAAGCCGGGAACGACGAGGATGAAGAGACACCAGTCGCCGCACCGTCTCGAAGAAGAATGCGTGCTGGGTTCGTAATCGACAGTGATTCAGAGTAAGACGAATTTGATCATGTATGGAATGATGACTTGATGTGGTGTTTGGCGTTTGACATGTATATAGATAGTCATGGCATGTATTCTTTGTTATTCATCTATTAATATTGATCATGATTATTGTTATTGGATACTTCTCTCGTATTTTGAGGAAACACGTGGTGGGGTTCGGTATGAGTCAAATCGATCAACTCGGATGAATCAAAGCGGGGAAAGAGTTGAAGTTTTCAAATTTCCATCTCACTGTTCTGGCTATTCATACCTACTACAACTCACCCCCGTATTTACTCCTTGGACTTCGCATCAATATCAAAATATAGCTCAAAAGCCACCCTCAATATGGCCAACCACATCCGCTTCGTCACCCTGGACGTCTTCACCTCCCAGGCCTATTCAGGCAATCCACTAGGAGTGGTGTTTCTATCGGACGAGAACAACTCCCATATTCCAGCTTTGACTCAACGCCAAAAGCAAACCATCGCTCGGGAGTTCAATTTGTCCGAGACGATCTTCGTGTACCCTGGAGAAGGCGAGACACGCACCATCGACATCTTCACCACAGACATGGAGCTCCCATTTGCCGGCCACCCCACCATCGGGGCTGCCTCGTGGTTCCTGTCACTGGGGGAGACGAGCCAGACGAGCCCGGTGACTCGACTGATCACCAAGTCCGGGGAGATTCCCATCGCACTGCAGCAGTCGGGTCCCTCTAGGGGAGGGGGCGTGGTGGCTAAGATCGCACACAATGTGCATCTCCACTCGACGAAGTTCCCACTGCGGGAACTCCTGCGCCTGCATCCTACGCTGTCGCCTTTCTTCCCTGCTGCTGCGGAAGGCTCCGAGGCCGTGTCGTTCCCTGTGTTCTCCATTGTCAACGGCATGACGCAGATCCACGTGCAGTTGCCCTCTCTCGAAGCCCTGGCTGCGGTGACGACTTCCGCGGGAGGCGAGCTGGTAGCTGCGGATAGTGGCTACCTGGATGAGGAGTGGGCCAATGGTCTCGCTTTGGTCTACTTCTATGTGCGGGACGTCGAGAACTCCGAGACTGGCGCCAGCGTTATCCGGACTAGGTCAATCGTGGGGAATCTCGAAGACCCGGCTACGGGGAGTGCGGCCAGTGGACTGGCTGCCTATCTGACTTTGATGGGTGGTCAAAAGGGACCTCATAGGTATGATATTGTCCAAGGGGTGGAGATGGATCGCCGCAGTGTCATTGGGGTTGGGGTCACCGTGAATGAACAGGGCTTGATAGACACTGTGGAGCTCAAGGGGTCGGCAGTGAAGGTGTCTGAGGGGAGTATCTTGGTTCCCAGGCGTGATGTGAGTGAATGACTGGGATTACAGTGATATCAGTTGTTGTGTTCACTGTATATTATCTTAGCGCCTTTTCCACAGACTTATTTAATAGGATTTGAGTTCATTATCTTTCTTTCTATCTCCTGACTGCTTCAAATGACTATTGACCTGCTCTTGGATGATATCATACTATGATAGAAAAGTCACGCCGTAGATCCTCCTTTCTGAACTCCCTCCATGCATTCAGGCACAGTTTTGGGAAAAAAACCACTGATGATGCACAGACTCCCGAGAAGGAAGACAAAGCTGGCAACCAAGGACTTATCGGTCTTAAGCCTGAGCTCGAGCTAGCTTTAAGGCCTGCCAAACGCAGGGAGCTGAGTCCTGCACCCGTGCCATCTACACCTACAGCGTTGGCTGCATCAACTCCAACACCACAAATCTATCTACCATATCGTCACGCCTCAAATCCACTACCGTCTCGATATCCAGACATACCAAATTCCGAATACCCTTGTCCGGGTGCAACGAGGCCTCGGATCCCGGGAAGTGTATCGCGCGCTGTCTCTCCCCAACACCGTCAAGCAACAGCGTGTGTGTTCCCAAGGTCAGTGTCCTCAGGGGTTCTCACATCGTACAGGCCCCAAGAAGAGACCCTGCCTTTTTACGAGGGTTCTCAACAAGGATTCAAGAGACGCAATTTAAGGCATACGGACTTTGAAAGCGACGAGCACAGAGACCACTACGAAAGACAGAAAACACGAACCAACAAGAAGGAGACCTCAACACAGCGAGACAGCTTTCATCCACTCGAGACAACCAGAGAACCGAAAAGAACCCAGCGCTACCGTGACACCAGACCTGGACCACCAGCGGGGTTGCCAGGGTACCAAATAGCCAGCACGAACGACATCGAGCACATCCCATCAAGACGCACGCACCATCCGCTACCGTGTCCAGCACAGACATATACGAGACTTCCCCTTCCGACGTCTTACTCGGCGTCATGCATGCAGGATTCCAACGTGGACCGACTCAGCAGGGTCCCCCGACTGACGAGCACCATTCAAACATGCACGATTCGTCCGAGCGGAGAAAATTTCCTGCCCCCTAGACGAGAACCAGCTCGAGAAGGGAGAAAGGAATATGATGATATTGGTTATCATAGAGACGAAGCTGAAGCATACTATCCTTTCAGGAAGGCGCAGCTCACTGACTACGCTGACCCTCCTGCTCCTACTACCACCACCACCTACGACTCGCCGCTCTACCGCGTCTCAACACCAACCAGGCTACCCCTCGCCGGGCGATCAAACCACCCAAAGAGCAACATGTTCCTCTCAAAGAGGATTCGCTGGACAAGCGGATGCGAGAATGTCAGACGTCTCGAGAAATACTCAGAAGCGAACGAGAATACCCGCCCCATGACCGGCAAACCCTCGTCTCCTACTGATGATTCGAGTCCGACTGCTTCTAAAACGGCTTACCTGTCCAGCGCCAGACAGAGAGAACACACTGAGAGAATGGTAGGCCCTAACCCAGTTCCATACCTACCCATTCTGAGCTCCTAACCCTCTTTGCAAGCCCGTGACGCTAATGATAGCAATGTAGGTAACAACAGCCCAACCACCCCAATACTGGCTCGGCCGCTTCGTAACCCTCACCAACGCCTTCCACTACGAGGACTCCTTCGGCGAGCCGGACATCGCGACTGGGTTCGGCATGCTGTCGAGTTACTCCCGGCCGTTGGGCGGCTCGGACGGCGGGTTGGCGAGCTATCGCGTTAAGCGGGCGTTTATGGTTCTTGAGAATGTGTGTGTCACGGAGGAGGCTAATGAGAGTTTACGGAGGTTTAGGGAGAAGTATCTTCGGGAGTATGGGACGCGGAGGGTGAATTAGGTGGAAGATGGGTACTTTTTTTTTGGGGGGGGGGCAAGACTATGTAAAGGTGTTAAGTAGAATTAAGTTGGGTGGACAGGCCGTCACCAGGTTGGAGCTTTGTATCTTGTTGAGATGGCAGTAGCTGGTAGTTTAGGTATCATGTTGTTGTTCAAAACAAAACTAGCCTGAAGAAGTATGTGTGGAGAGTCCTCCGACTAATTAACACCGCCCTGGAATTTTATTGTCATTCAAAGATGAACGTAGGGAATCAACAAACAAATCATCGTAGATATAGAGCACAACCGGAACAAGACAAGACAAGCAGTCCTGTATCACGGCAGCGGATTCTCATGCAATGGGTCTTCATCCATCTCCTCGCCAGTCCCCACCATGACCTCATCTTCATCGCCAAGTCTCTCCCCGCCATCGCTATCGCCATTACCATCGCCATCGGCCATAGCGTCCTCGATGACAACATCCTGATCCCCCATCGCCTTGAGCTTCGCCTGCGTCATCTCAAACACGTACTGCCCGAGATGCTCCACTCCTTCCATCGGGGTCCCCTGAACGTCGTCGTCGTCCAGCGAGCGCGAGGCCGGGAACATCTCCCCAGGCGCAAGCATGAGCTTGTCTGGGCGTTGCAGGAGGAGGTCAAACGCGGGCTTCAGCTCGTAACAGGACGAGAACACCTCGCGCCGGCCGAGGATGTAGAGGCCTAGACGCGCGCGCGAGAGCGCCACCGTGAGGCGCCGCACGTCGCGCAGGTAGCCGACTGTGCGGGTTCGCGTGAGCGATAGGATGACGTCTGCAGGAAGTATAGTCAGTATACTGCGCTTGATAGCACGCAGCGTGTGGAAGAGGGAGGAACTTACAGTCGTTCTGCTCGCCTTGGTACTTGTCTACGGTGGTCACGATCTTGGGCATGCCGAATAGCGCGTTCTTGGCGCACCGGTGGCTAAGGACGTCCTTAATCAGAGCTGTTTGACCAGCGTATGTGGCGAGGATGGTGATTTTCGATGCCGGGTACCCGAGCAGTCGCATGTACTGGTAGAGCGCCACGGCGTATTCGGCTTCCCCGAGATTCTGGATGAAATGGGGAGTGGGTTCTCTCTCTCCGGTGCCTTGGTAGTCAGGGACGTTGATGAACTGGTATTCGAACTGGAACCCGGCATTTGCTTGCTTGAATTCTGCAGCAGTGTCAACATTAGGCAGATTGCCGAGTTGCTTGTAGCGCCACCGGAACAGTTCGGCGATGCTGCCTCGCGAACGACCCTGCTGGTCGAGGGTGATCACAGGAACCCCCAGCCTCACCAGGCGGAGGAAGAGACTCTGCTCGAAGTGGGCGTACTGCCGGAAAGCAAGGTTCTGGATGATAGGGGAGTTTTGAAGGTGGTCGCCGCAAAGCACCACGCGCTTCAGGGGCAGTTGGCCGTTGTTCATGTTCTGCAACGCAGCTGGGATGAAGCTTTCGATCTCCGTGATCTGGGCGGCCTCCTCCATGACAACGTTGTCATAGTGGAAACCGAGATTCGCGATCTCCTGGCGACGCATCGCTGCATGCGTTGACGTCATGGCAATGATCCGCGCCTCCTTTATAAGGAGGTAGTTGGCCTTGTCCTTCTGCTGCCGCAGGATCTCAAATGGCCGGATGTCCTCCAGCTCGGAGAAGATCTTGTTGATGTGCCTTTGACAACCCTCTGCCACATCCAAGACAGCGTCTTTGGAAACAGAAGGATCGAATACGGGCTGGGGAGCATTCGAAAAGTAAGCGTGGAATGGGAAAGCCGCGACGATTTCATCAACCGAGGCCTTCTCAGCGCGCGCCTGGTCCCAGAACTTAGCCCACGCTGGTTGAATATAGACCGTGTTGAAGTAGCCAGCGGTTTCACACGAATTTCCATGAGCACCCTGTGCGCCGATAGACGCTGCTAACCGTGCAACCTCTGCAAGGAAGCTGTTGCGATTGTCAAGGAAAGATTCGACGCGGCCGTATTTGCTGTAGCTCGTTTCAGTCTCTAGTTCCTCTTCGCCGTGACCAAGTCGGAGGAGATGGCGTTCATCGATGTCGAGAGCGACGATCTTCTGAAACAGCTGGTTCAGGGCCTGGTTGCTGTGCGCAACGAGAAGGGTGCGTTCGTTGGGGAAGTCATGATAGATATTATTGATTATTTGCGTTGCAACGTCCGTCTTGCCAGTTCCCGGGGGACCGACTATAACAGTGAGCCCCGGTTGCGTGCCGGATGCGATAGCATCTACCTGGGCTGGAGTGAAACGGACCGAGTTGAGCTTGGGGGCGTCAACCGGGTACGGACCGGGGTTCGGCTGCTTGTATGTCGATGCACGGAGCAAGCTGGGACCAGTCGCTTCCGCCCCTGCTTGCTCTCTCCGTCGCTTTTTCGAGCTGTTGGAGGCAGGGGCCTTCGGAGCTTCCTCAACGTACTCAAGTACATACGGAGGCCCAAAGCTCGAGTCAGCATCACCTGAGGGCTCTATGGTCGAACCAGGGAAGCTCTCAACGAGATGCTGCCAGTCCAAGAAGGTGTCCCGGAAATCAACTGATTTCAGTCGGTTCGGCAGTTCTGTGTACCGAGCTCCGGCGGGGTCCCCGTAGCCCAAGAAGATGTCCTGAATCCAGGAAGGGAGGGTGATGTCCGAAACAATGAGTTTCTGCATGGTTTCAAGGATGGATTTGAAATTGTTCTCCCTTCCGCGCCTTCTGGCCACCACGTTGATCAAGGGGTAGATATCTGGCTTGCCTTGCAGTTTGCGGTCCTGGTCTGCCTTGAACGCGGCCGCGTCTAGGTTGACCAGGAGTCTCCGAACCCGCGGCCGGGACCGATATCCATTTGTCTGCCCGGAAACTGGCTCGCGTAGTGGCCGGCCATTTTCATCGAGTATCTGTACAATTTCGGCCGTTCTGAGATAGGTAAGACTGGGACTCTCCGCCGCATCGGGGTCGCGGATTCCAAGCCTGCCCGCGCTGGGTGGTTGCACAGCCAAGAGGTAGATCACATCATCCGGGCGAAGGGCTTCCCATTCCCTTCTGATGTTATCTGCCAATCGGCCAACTTCGATGGCGATTTCTGCTCTGACAAAGGCTGGTTCTGCTGATCCAACCTTGGGAGGAGCAGCTTCAATGATTGCTGGTTTCGAGATCGGAATGGCCATGCGGGAGAAACCGTCGAAA